TGCGGGAAATGCGCGGCGTCGTGTGCGTGGTGTCTACGGCAAAAGAGTGGAGGAGAGGACGCGACCTTGCTGCAAGAGGCAGGTATCCCGTCGAACCGTCGGGACTTGGACAGAACAAGGTTCTGCGGCGAGACTAGCGATTGAACTTTACAATCTCTGGGGCACCTCAGAAAGAGGAGCCGCTGAGCTCTACGGGGATAATGCCTATAAACCGAATACGATCCGCTCCATACAGTGGTCTTTCTTCGGAAAGTTGCTTGACTTACATCCGGACAAGGGCGGGCCGACGCCCGTCGGCGTCGATGTTGCGCGCCCGGCCGCCCTGGTACCTTCGAATTGGAGTAATGACTTCTCCGTCTCCGCGCTGTGCTGGCCGCCCTCGAAGCTCGAACCGCTCCGTGACTCGTACGGTATTTTGCTCTTTCTGATTCACTCTTTGCTGACCATGTGTCTGTAGGAGACTAGAGGATCGTCGCTGCGCCTTGCGTCACTGTGTCTTCTGCGGGGTCGAGAAAAGCGATCCATCTTTGTATTTTCTTGACAATGGACATCTGAACGGGCGATCACAGTGGGATCAGCATGATTACGGCCTCGCAGAGCTTCGTGCTCTCTGTCGTATATGAATGTGGGTGTTGTCGTGCCGCATTGGTTGATCGTTGTCTGGTACGCCCAGTCGAACATGCGGCTTGAATCGGGCTTTACAAGCTTTGCAGCAATGTAAGCTACCTGAGGTCGCCGACTGCGTTTGTACGCCATACTGAGCAAGTCTGACTGCCCGCGCGCCAGGACCTCATCGCATGGGCCGTGAAGCCAATCTCCTTGATTTATTACCTGTTCCTGCGAAACACTGACGTTTTCGCATCTTACGGGATTCATAGAGCGACTTCATCATATCTGCATCGCAGCGAAACTGCTGTGTCAGAATCTCTTCGCTTTGTTCAAGATGAATGTGGGTACGCCGGCTCGAACCGTGATGCAGTGCATGACCAGTGGCAGTTAGATTCGTGCTGCACTGCGCATCAAGATCTACTTGCACATGAGCTGAGTTTGCTTACCTTGCGGAGGCTGAAACTACATCATCTTGAGCATGGTTCGCCGAGGACATGCATGATGCTTCCGTGGCCGCACAAAACGAGTACGTTGATCGTCGCCATCATATCTCCCAGATCTTCACTACGCTCACCTTCTGCGTCAGCTATTGATACGCACCTTCCGCGTTAGCCATAGGTGTGGCGCTTTGACCAAAAGCCTCGGAGTTCGGAAGGGTCAACTGGGATATCTGTCCCGCGTGCGTACAATCGTTTGCATGTTGTTTGAAAAGTCATCTGATACTCAACGCATCCCCTGAAGACACCCGACAGTGTAAGGCGTTCTGTGTGTTGCTTTCGGACCTTGGCTGTGCCTTTGTCTGTCTTTCAAAGTATGTACTCCCATCCCCACATCTTTGAACTTCTCTGAGAAGACTCTCCATAGCGCTCAGCCGATGAGGGCTGTGCTCAGTCGAGGTTGATCAATGCTACTATCCGGCGCTTGTCATCTAGAGGGGTTCAGTCCGGTTGAGTATTGAAGTTGTACCCTTCTAAACGACCCGATACCGCTTCAACGAATGTTCCCTGAAGCTGATGAGCTTCTGGGGCCACTCGGGCATGCATATAGGCGCCCGGGGTTGTAGCTGCGCAATCGCCGTTCCGACATCCTCGCGAATCGCAGCTCCGCCGATGGCTTCAGCGCAGACGTACAAGTTTAGCCCAGTACGAATGTAACCTACATTCCGAGCAGCCTCAAGGCTGCACCCCCGTTGCGATAAAGCTGCTTCTGTCAGGAATACCGCCCAGCTTATCGCAACGGCAGGCTCCACCAGCATGGGCATCAGGAGCTCTTCAAGAGCAGCAGGCAGTGGCTGCCTGTCATGTAGCAAGTGGATGCACTATACCAGTCCATTCAGATATCTTGATGGCGATACCCGCAGTCGTTCACTCGATCAAACACCCGTTCTATATGCGCAGGTTTAGCTTGCACTCCAGACAAGGTGATGTCGTATGCGCTCGCTCATGACTATCTGATTATGTACAAACACAACATGGAGCGCAGCATCTTGAAGTAGCACTGCTGCGACCGGTGTCTTCTTCTTGGACCCACAGGTACAATATCCATTAAATCACCGGACAATGCTCGGCGCCCTAGAGAGAAAGACGTCATCGGGCCACACATGGCCACACGCGTTCGAGGCTCATGCACATGCTTCGAGTCTTGATGTTATATAAACGGAAGGAAATCTTGAGGATCTCTGTAGCAAGATGCTTCCGTTTTGTCTCCGTTAGACTTTTGATGCTATGAAAGGAGGTCCTTTGCACTGGGGAATGTACGGGGTTCGTTTTCTACCAGCATCTCCCGTTTGTCTCCCGTTGCCCTGGTGGGTGATCCGACTGACGGCTTGGTATCCTGCCACTCGAGATATCATTCGCGCATGACAGATCTGGGTCGGATGCCCTTCCATCTGACCTGAGACTGTAGACCGGCAGGTTAGGTACGCCCGGCCATACACTCGGGCGCAGTAGACCAAGATAACCTTGTTGACCGTGACTAGCCTCGATATCGGAACGATGAACCAGGGCGACGACCACAAGCTTGGGGATCGACGCTGTATCATCCATCATAAACGGGACGGTTGATCGGGAGTGAAGACCGAACTGAGAGGGCATCTCCCCTTCGCATACAGGCCCGCTCAATACAATGTTATAGTGCAAGTAGGGAGCTAGTAGCGCCTGATCACTACAGTATATGCGTCACGACTTCTTCAATTCTTCTAGCGTCTCGGTGTACAAGGCGTCCAGACGGGTCGATCGGGATATTTCTCATTCCACCACAGTTTCTTCACTGTTCGACATGGTGTTCAAGCGTGCCGTATGCAGCAAAGCATATCTGCCACATTCGAATGCATCCCGTTCATTACGGCGACCATCGGCCTCTCAAACTGTTGTTCAATCAGACCGCACACACTTACCGCTGCCATCGGCCGCCAGATCTGTACACACTAGCACGACCACCTAGCCGTGCTCGGCCCCAGGCCCCAGGTCGCACCGCCATCCGAGGTTGCCGCCGGGGTGCAAGCAATTGCCGCCGACACCGAGCCGGCACTACAGCAAGAGCAAAGGTAGTCTTGAAGCCTTCGAGTCGAACCTGCGCTACATAACGCGAGCTGTGTACAGGAAGCACTATGCTTGCCACGACGGAGGTGTGGGTCCACCTTGTTCGCGTCTTCTGCTCAAGTGCACAAAGCACAGTCAGAGTGCTCCTCCGATCGCGCCCCCGCTCGCGTCCTTTCCTTCACTGTTCCGGCGAAAGTGAGATCGTAGCGCACGAGCGCGCTCCAAATGGCCTCATGCAGCGGTTCGAACTCGATTGCTCATGCTCGCCATTGTTCCGCCGACGACCGAGGATGCTGTCCCGGAGTATGCAACATGGAGATATCACCATAGTGCGTGACTATGGGCCATTCAATCACTCTATATCGCGGTGAGACCCTGCCCAGGTAGCTATCGCGGACACATGTTGCTTATCAAGAACGCCGGTCTGTAGGTCACGATCAAGATGAGCATCGAGAGGGAATGCTTGATACCGGATGCGTACCAGAGACACTCTTCGTTTGGGCTGAACATGGACGCCTGAGCCCTCTTCGTATGAACGGCAATACCCGATGGCCAGTAGCCATGAAGATAGGAGTGTAAGGGGTGAGACGAAAACGTGTATTCTTGACGAAGGTAACGCATATGGTAGATAGACTGGCAGACGCAGGTGACACGATGCATTCAGCAGCTGCACAGACGAACGTGCGCCCCCTAACTTCTCCGCCTCTGTATCCACCACCCTAGCCTCGTCCGTTTGAAGACATGCATAGGAACTCGCGAAAGTGTCCAGCATCCGAGAGGCAGGGCAGGAGAGCAGGAGAGGAACTTGTGCACGAGCCCCGCTCGCGCAGCAGGCAACCTGGCAGAGATATCTTAGCCCTGCGGCCTGCGGTATGGGTTACGCCCAGCGTCGGATGAATAGTTTCGTGAAACAGTGCCAAAGCTCGTAGCACGCTGCACCTGCTGATCCATGTACCTCCGCACTGGAGTGCCAGCGAAGAATATGGAGTCACGCGACGAAGCACTAGATTGAAGTCGTTCGTTGTGGCCCACGTCGGGTTCTACCCGATCATGATCAGTTTTGGCGGAGATGTGAGAAGGCGTACACACGGATGTCACGCCTGGAAGAGTGGGCAGTACCAGAGTTGGCTTCCGGCTGGTGTATCTAGGTGTCGTGAGGCAATTTGGAGATGTCTTGTCTGTTGCTCGTGTCAATAGAGTCAACCTATCAATTCAACAAGAGCGAAGTCATGTTAAGCGCCACGTACATATGGGGTGAATTGAGCATTCACCACGCGAGACGCCGGAGCGTGGAGTGCAACTCGGTTAGTCCGCCAGATCACTGGGAAAGCATGTTGACACCTCCAATCGCGAGCCACACGGTGATAAGCAACGGATGGAACATCGTCGAAGGCGACTTCGGAGTGGTATCGTCAAAAGTTTGTTCTGTTGTCATTTACCTGCACACCGGCTTTGAATAGACATCGTATGGGATGCCGCCGGCGTGGCTCGGAAGTCCTGCTCGTAGGAAAGGAGCGAGGCGGTGATATGCTTCGACTGTGACCGCAGGAACAAGCCGGATGCAGTGTCGTAGCCTTCGATGTTCCTGACAGAAGCATAGTAAGATAGACTGGGGCGGCTATTGGTGCTCAGACCCATAGGTCGTGCAAGCTGTGAAGTAATGCGCCTTCACGGAGAACGCATCAATGTCATTTATCATGGAGGAATCCTACGTGTCGTTACAGCGTGTGGTAAGAGCGCGTTGCAGCTGTGAGTCCAGGAAAGGAAGCCTGTCATACCGGGTCATTCCGGTGGATGACCCGCCGTGACGACCCAGCGCACAGGGTTAATATACAGGTGGGATATTCACTGGAACACACCACGACTAGGTGCCTGGTCTGTTTTGAGCGCCGGAAGTGCATGCTGGGCCGCTATAGGCCCGGGAGGAGCCTGTATCGTGCACAATGCCGCGGATCCGCGGGTGCGATTGGCTCAACCTAGATATAATCGTGCGAATTTCGCAATTATCAGATTTGATTCAGTGCTCTCGGGCTGACTTCCGCGCGACGAGTAAGCAGAACATGATAGGAATACACTGGCAGATCGACTGCTACGGCATAACAGAACATACCAGCGATAGGCTATTCATAGGTTCTTCGCAGCGTATACGCGGGAGCTCGGAGTACTGAAAGGGCAGGTACACGAGGTCAAGATGACATGATGGTGGAAGTGCAAAGGCAACGTTGTGCAGTTTGATTCTTACCACGAACGGCCTTCGTCCCCGGGCCTCTCGCTGCGACGTCCACAATCCAACCTCCCATACAACTTGTCGTCGCTCTTTGTTCCCACCCTTGTACTTGCACTGCCAATAGTCTGAGCGACCTGAAGGACGGTGTCCGGCTGCTTTAATATATGTCGGTCTCTCCGTACCGTCCGGAGTCTACTTCTGCTCGTCGTCCGCCTCCGCCTCCAATACGCATCCATGGCAAGCGTTCGTCGGTGCTAGGCTCCCCTTCCGCAGAAGAGCTGCTCTACGATCTCCCGAGTGCTCCCCTTCGTTCTCCTCCCCCGCAATCACCTGAAGTAACCTCGCCGACTTCCCCAATTGGGCGTTCCAGAATCCGCTCTCCACCTCCTAGAGCCAGTCCTCGTCCCAGCCGCACGCGCTCGGCAACACCGTCTCGAGGGGACAAAGATATTGAGGGATTCGCAGAGGCCTGCGAGCGATGGTAAGTTGCGATATGGTTAGCGTGTTGCCTGAATCGTCACCGATGATCACTTCCAAGGTTCTTCAAACAGGACGAAGAAGCCGGCCAGGCCATGACCAACACACTTGCGACCCTACCCGCCCATCAGCGTGCGCCGTATGTCAAGCTGCAGTCGGCGATCCGCTCCGCGTACCACACTTCCGTCCGCTTACGCCGGGATGCCGAGTTTCGAGCACACCTCTCCACGACTCATACGGGCGCCTCGCTATCTGCACGCGCACGAGGAGATCCGCGAGGTCCTGATGCGCGCAAAGAACGATACGAACGATTCCAAAGCTTCCTCAAAAGCTGGTGTACGCGAGGCATGCCGGGCACACAGCCATTCTTCGAGGGTCTGTGGACGCTCATGCGACTACAGGTCGTTCCACGCGATCTAGGGGGCGCCGGAGGAAAGAGAATCGTGTGGGAGATTGATGATGCAGTGTTCAAAGAATCTGCGTAAGTTCAACATTGCTGCTTCTGCCCTGATAAAAACTAACCGTACTCAGTGGCAAGGACTTCATGCTCGAGGCAATTGACGCCATCAAGGGTGTTCTAGGCTTTGAGGAACTCCCCGGATTAAGCCGTTCTTCTACAAATGGTTCCTCACCGAATGCCTCGCCCAGCATGCCTTCCTCTCCAGCTCATATAGCGATGCACACCCGCGCTGTCTCCCAACCTCATGCCATGAATAAGCCCCCTGTACCAGAGCGCTACTCGAAACGACCCCGTGCACCTAGTGATCCATTTCTCGACGCGCCTACACCGGCGCTCTCACGATCTCCGGCCTCTTCTACCTCTGTCAGCTCCGGTATACAGGCTGACGACCCGCCTACTCCTCGGGACGACGACACGTTTGATGATCGTACGCCTACCAGAGTTACAGTTACGACTCAGAGGTTATCCGGCGTCCCGCTGTCTGCGACGCCGCTATCTGCGCGCGCATGGGCAGCGCCACAACCCGAATGCGAAGAAACGTTACGGCTGTGGCTTGCACCGGACCTCTCCGACCCGGAGTTGCTATCACTACTCGAACTATTCCCGTCGTTCATCTCGCGCCGGACACTTGCTCGTTTCCCGTCGGGAGCTGAGAACGCGGGTGACGCTGAACAGGGTGAACCCGAGGAGGCATTACGCGCTGGTACAGGTCGAATGTGGGTTGGCGCGAAGGAGCGAAGCGACGGATGGCGAGGCGGATGGTGGACTCGCTTCAAAGCGTGGTGGCGCCGCATCTTTTGCTGAGCGCGCTCACTTGGACACGGCTTCACGGGCGCGTGCCCGGATTCAACACCTTTCATTCTCTACGACCACCATCCGGCATCGTGGTCCAGTCGCATTCTACTCTAGTTGAGACCTCTCGTGCCCCATTACCTTGACATTGTACTTCTCGCATGGCATACCATCTGCACGACAAATGTACCGTGACACAGCATTCCCATCATCCTCTCGCGTTGCCCTTCTCGCACGGACAAATCCTCTTTGACATTTCGTGTGATCTTCTCTAAACCCTTTTTCGTCTTTAGCTCGTCCTGGCGCTTAACCTATGCGCATGGGAATTAGGCACACCTCGAGCTTCGATTCAAGTCTCGGCTTTGCTTCTTTCCAGCAAGTGCCACATCCATCCATCGTGCACCAATATATCCCTTCTTCTCGTCTCCTTACACAGGAGTTGCATAACTTATCGTCGTCTACGCTGCAATGCCATGGCATATCTATTCAATTGCGAACTTGACGATCGTCTATGAGTCTTCATTGGCGCCAGCGTCGGTGCATGTCTGCTGCCTAGCACAGCTTTCAGGCGCCTTCAAGTTCGTTCTCGCGGGCCCGGTTATCAGCGAAGGATGTTGGGCGGCCCCAATTCGCATTACTTACGGCGAGTCCGACGCCGCCGTCTGAACCTTGACATCCGATGTCACTAGGGAAACTTGCCGCATACACCACATCAGCGCTTTGACAACACGACGGCTGCCGCAGAACGCGCGGCACGTCTTCAGCGGCTCATGCTATAACCGAGGCTTGAATACAGAATGCTCAAGTCTGAGTTCATCGACCGATACACCGCATGCAATCGGGCACGTAAGCTGTCGGTTCGAGCGCATCGCGGTGCAGGGTTGCTCTACTACAACTGTAACACGAACTGTTTTTGGATGCGCAGATTACCTTGGCAGGAAGTTACGCTGGCGCAAAGACCTATTGCGCAAGGTTGTCAATGCAACGGCCTGGGAGGATGACTGGCCCAAACCAGGGTTGTTCTTGTATCCTGGCTCCTTGTATTGTGGCAAACAGAGGCCGCTGCGAGAGTTTACGATAGCCGTGTGCGACTGCGTGGTCATCGCCCTGTATGTTTCAGTGATATGCCCGTACTCGTACCTGAGCGCTCATAGGCACTCACGGGAGCTCTCATGGTCTGGTGCCCCAATGTGCCATGGCGGATTGGGAGCCAGTCGCGTAACTCTCACGCCACACGTCGCGGCAAATTGACAATAGACCCGACTTGGACTAAATGCGATTCTCAGTACAGACGGTGACAGACAGTAGAATCATTCCTATGCAGGGAGGTCGACATCAGGTAGTTCTCATGCTGATGATACAACAGTCTGTCAATAGAGGCTATCCCTCGGTCCATCCCAACTATGTAGTTAATCGGCAGGATCCCACTAACAGTGCTCTACAAGCAGACCTGAGAACGAGAAACCGTAGCTCGAGGACTGCAATACTTGCAGGTGCATAAGGATGGTAGGATGCTGCCTTGTTAGATTGCACCTTCAGATTGCGACCGAAATCCGAGGACGTCCTGTCACACACGGCTATCGAGTTTGTACGCATCCCTGAGCCCCACGACGCCTTTACGTTACGCAATGAGCATACGTCGCTTCCCGGTTGTCGATGCGGGAATGCCGTGCCTGCCGAAGCATGTCGGTGAAGTCCGAGCCGATATCGTGAGCAACTCGGACTGTGGGCCACAGTACGTGGGTAAGAAGATCCGCTGCCGGAAGCTGCATCTCGAGGAACCATACGTGCCAAGCCCATCAGATCTGTGAGTTAGATTAGCGCATAAGCAATCGGGAGTCACGATAGAACCCATTCGTATTCGAGTACGCACGGACTTGCCAGTCAATGATCTGGCTCCCGGCGGGACCATTAACTGCGTTGGCGGTAGCAACTAGTGCTTTTTATGGAGCATCCTTGGCAGGCGGGTAAAAGCAAATGCAGTGCTCTCGTTCATAAATCAGACCGTCTCCTCTCACGGCGCTTGAACGAGAGGTCCGAGGCGATCTTTGTAGATAGCATCACAGCAAGGGAAGGACAGATTACTGCGGGCACGGCCAGCGATGCGACAGGTTACGACCAAGGACCAGTAACATACGTACGTCCGGGAGTGGTGCAATGGCAGGGCGCCGTAGAGCAGCATGGTGCCGCCGTGGGTGTACTATGGCCGTGGAAAGTATTCATACTTTGAGCCAATCACATAGCAGTCCGACAGGGACCACCCACCGGTTGAGCTCGGAGTGCCGAGTAACCTATCCGATTCGCCCACCCCTCGTCGATCTACGTTTGGCAAGGAGAGCTTAGTATGTGTCGTGGAAAAGGTCGTGTCGCGTGCCATGACAAATGCGAATTGGGCGGAAGACTGTACGCTGCGTTCCAGAAGTTCATCGACGTCCCTATGGGCCTGCACTCAGACTTTGAGCTCTGACAAAGAAGATATGAAGCTCACAACTGCTGCGCATGGCCTGAATCGACAAGGTCTACCAGTTCAACTGGAAGAGCTCTGGTAGGCTCTCGAGTATGTGACTGTAGCTACTCCAGTAGGAAACATGAGCGACGGTGTTGCTTGTCATCCTGGTGCCATGACTGTCGCAATGGCCGGTACGTGGGCTCTAACAAAGGCGAGCTTCACTGGATTAGGATACGATTGACCACGGTGGTTCGAACCGCACTGCTATTCAGGCAAGCGCTGGTCGTCACAAGGATGGTCACGCTATAGAAGAACACAGAAGCATGATCGAGGTCGAAGTTCGTCTCCGCGTTATGCACGCCGTCAACGTACACCCGCGCGACGGATTGAAAGGCACCGACGCTCCGAGTGCGATGTAGTACCCAATCTTCGAGCAAGCGCCCCGGTGTCACGAACGCATTCGTAGACCGCTGTGGGTCATCCCGCGCGCAGCATCGGGGCTCCGCGATAGGATCCTTCCAATTGAACAGATGTACAGGTCCAAGGTGTCCCTTGTTGATGAGGTAGTTATAGAGAAGTCGATATGCCGGCATTGACGCATGGCTCTCGAGTTGCTGTACATAGGTGTGGAGAGCGCCCTGCGATTGCGTCAAAGCGAGTGCTAGTCTGCGTGACGGAACACATCAGGAAGCAGGCGTCCCGACAGTACTCGAGTATTGATGAACAGCACGCTGTAGACGTCCAGACCTCGCGAAGACAACAAGTGATCAGACTGTAGGATCCGCAGAAGTAGTGGGTAAAGGGTTGAAGGAAGCAGCAGTCAAGGTCCTGCTAGTCTTCTCATAGGACGTCAGCATAGGGAAAGAAACATGTGCACACAGCAGGCAGGCGACATACGAGCGTTTGTGAGCACGGGACCGGCTTCGAAACCCATACTGGGCGATGCTCATTTCTCCGGCCTGTAGTCAAGAAGCTTATACGCACATCGATAATGCGGGGAAAATCAACATTTTACCCGAAGGTCGCCACCGACCTGCATCTTGGTCATCGACGTGATTGTTGAAGAAAGAGATATGGGCTGACATCTTGATACATATTGCCTATTTTCTTCGACCTAGTCTCTCGCTTCACTTCAAACTGATATAGCATCACTTGGGCTTATTCTGTGCGGGCGTCGCGGATATGCCGCCCATGATACTCGAGATGCCCGAAAAGATGTTGATTGAGTTCTGTGCATCTACCACTCATGCGATGCGCGGATATAGCGGCCGTCTCAGCGCAGCGAAGGAGCCTCGTACAGCCTCGTGCGGTAAGGTGCGGGTAGCTTATTGGACAGCGTCTCCTGGTCATGGCACAGGCGTTTGAGTTTCAGAAGGCCGGCTCACGTGGGTTGTGGGACTCACGTTTTACCCGGAGCCTTGCTAACGATATTCGTCTATCGACTGGCGAAGGTTGACATATCTGGGAATGTATTGTGTCTGAGATTGGATGCGTGGCGCCGCCGAACGTTCACTGAGCCTCCAGCTCCTTAACGGTTTTGACGAGTAGTTTCTCGATCTCGTGTATGACTCGCGCGCCGAAAGCAGACGATGCTGGTGTCAATGGCACATCTATTGAAAGAAAAATCTGTTTCTTGAAACGACGAGCTTGAACACCGATCTGCGTCATTTTATATACTAAAGGGTGGGCGTCGCATCACTCACCTAGACGTTGGGACATGGACGCTGCGGCGTCTGAGCTTGAGGTTCGAAACAACGGCGTGGCTGGAGCATCTCCACCCTGATGACGAAAGATGAATCGATGAGCTTTACGCTTGCGCAACAACAAGAAAATGGCCGCCACACCGATCTAGGAGGCATGGCGCACGCCCAATCCGCGACTAGTCTGCCCGCTTTCACGGCGCTCGTTGCATCTTCCTCTCCCGTCGCTCCAGCCCAGATCATATACGAATTCACAAGACAAGTCACTTGCACAGCAATGGCGGGAATTCCGTCTCCTTGAGATGGCTGGAAGCGCGTTTCAATATTGACACCGACGGACATGATGGAAGGTCGCAAGCAAGCTCTAGGTCTGGCGCACGCGTCCGCACGTTGACTGGCGCCATCAATTCCGACACTTTGGACGCCGCGTTTCGCGTGCGGTCCACGCGACTCGCGAGTCAGATGAGATGGAGAACGTGGTGATGCTTCCTTTCTTCGGCTACCACGATGCTACGAGACTCCGACGCTAGATTCACTTGGGATACCCAAGGGAAGGCTGAAGCTCTGTCGTACTATCTGAGTCGGTGATCTTCTGGACCGAGCGGGCCCTGTGTCTCGTCACGGTTGAGCGCGGCGAGCTCCTCTTGACCAGGTTCCTCCTCCGAGCTGCGCATTGCGCCGACGATATGTTTTGGGTACGTATATGATCTGCTAGCTCAAACCTCTAGGACGATAAGATGAAAAGTTGCTCTTCGTTAATACGCCGATAGTATGTAGCGTGAGTTAGTCATTCCTGACGACAAGATCGTACATGCAAGTTCGAGTCGTGGAGCTTTGTCAGAGCCTGGACCTAGGAAGAGCCTGAGCCAGTTCTCAACCGGGCTTTCTACCGGACTCTAGCGGACTATCCGACGGTAGATCGGCTATACTGCTGAGTCGTGCATGTGATGTCCGAGAGCAACTCTGCGAGCTAACTTTCACCACCGTGTGCAGGGTCGTATATCCCGGGTCATACTGTTCGCATCCCTGTATCGGCTATAGTGATAACTCGCTGGAATTCACAGCGTTACGTCCACTCACCTATCTGCTCAATCATCTCTGGCTCGCTAGCCAGTCTGTGATCATGCACGATGTTTGACCACCGGTGGCTCTACCTCGCCTATCCTATGCCCGTCAGATCGCATCGAGCCCACCCCACGTACATGTTCATTCTGAAACGCGATGGCTATATCATAGCACATGTTTCGGTGGGCGAGAAGGCTCACCATCCTCTCGTGTATGCAGCTAAAAGCTATGAGCCTCGATGCAGCATTGCGTATCATGAACGCCAAACGTCGATTCGCAAACTCTGCTGTGAGAGGTCGCTCTGGGATCCATGGTATCGACTCGATCACGCCGTACGATGTTCAGACTAGCCCTTAGAGGCAGACCCGAATGTTCGCGGGCTCTATCCATATGTGCCGCATGATTACATCTACCTTCACGATAACTCAGTGGTGAACTGGGTCCGAGTCGGGGTTGTCGGGCATTCGAGTGAAGCAACCAGTGTCCATCGTTCCACCGGCCATGATCTCATATAACCAGCTGCCAGACTGAAAAACGCAGTGCAATCATCTACCGAAGCTCACAGAGAGTGGAATGTACTGGTTTCGCGCGACGAATGCCCTAAGACAGACACTGAATTGTACATGTTGGCCATGCTATACTATACAATGAATCACAACTTTTTGAACGTGCAGAACCCCTCATTCCGTATGATACGACGCCACCCAGAAGGTGCTATGGACAGTTGTGTCTCGGGCACAATGATCAACGCGCCGGACTTCATAGAAGTGATGAGACCTCGCAGCACGTTCTGATCTTTGACATCTGTATATCATGTGAGTTAATATCTAGCGTGAGGGCCTAATGAAGGGGAGTTGCTCACTATCGGGGATGCCATCCGGTAAATTGACCAATGCCACCTTCATACAACCGACGGCCTTTATCTCTAATTGCCGAGCGACAAGAGCCAATTGCTGTCCCATGTCGAATACGGAGATCTTCACCGCGGTTGATTCTGCTGAGAGCGGGCATCGCCAGCGCCTTGGGCCTGTCTCCTCCGCTAGCCTAGTGCAGGCGGCGTGTCCGCTTTCATACTCCTTAGAGATAATCAGATTTATTTCGAGTCGCCAGACTGGGGTCGTTTACGACCTATGAAGCGACACGTACTTCTAAGAGTACCGTAGGGGGGGAGGTGGCCGTGTGGAGTAGGTTGGTATGTACCTGAGGCGGGGATGATAACTGTGAGACGTTTTGGGGTTTAAGGAGGCGTGCCCCGGGGGATGGGAGGACCGCGAGGGCCCCGAGTATAGTACGAATCTAGTGAGCATGGGGGCATATGGGAGATAGGAGATAAGAGGAGTGCATAGGGGTGTGTAAAGTAGAGTATAGTAGAAGCCTTTATGGCGGAGAATGAGTACGATCGGGTAGAGAGAAGACAGTGATTATGCGGGACTATCGTCTGGGAGGTAGTACGGGAAGCGCCATGTGCCGTGCACGTATTCCAGGAGCACCGGGTTCATACTCCTTGCCTAGTGTGTATGCGGTACTGTTGCAGCCAATGAGAGCGCCGAGAAACATGGCGGCGTGTACAGCTCCGCTCCCAAAAGCGCATACTACGTCGCTTCGGTTAAGAGGACACGTGACGTTGTCGGTCGCCGCGCCGTAGTATGCTATGGCATTCTCCATGGGCCGAGGAAGACAAGACTCTGACGCAACTTCGAGAACGATATTCATCGTCTCTCGGAGCCGATGCTTAGAATCGCACAGTTCGGGAGACTGAGACAGCGAAGCAAGTTGAAATCCAAGCATCATCAGACGCCGCCTTGCACTGTGAAACGAGTGAACATCTTTCCCTGTGAGAGCCGTCTTCGCCGCGGCGATCAGCTCCTTGTGCTCGTTGTAACCAGTGTATCCTGAAAACAATCTGTCAAATAAAGCGAGTTTGAGATAAGTCGATCGCATACTCACGAGCTAGACGTTTACCATGAGCGAGAAATGCCTTGCAATCATCCACAGGTGGCATAGTCCCTTCTTTACCCTGTAATGAGGGCCCAAACTCCGCCCAGCCCTCGAGGTTTGGCGTGCAGATGCTCCCAGGATATGGCAGGGCCATCCGGTGCCTGAGGAGATCCGTCTGTCTGGATATACTGAAAGGCAGACGAACAGATGAAGATGACGAGATGGAGCCTTTGGCTAAGAGCCCAGTTGAATGACGTCCGTCAGCAGCCGTCGTCGCAATATCCGATCTTGTTCTGGACAAGCCGTTGACGGGCGCGGCATGCGAGGCGCTCGGCGTGTCCACGGAACCGGCGAGACGCGAGGATCCCGTAGACACCTTTACAGACAAGTTCGCTGCATTGACCCTTGACGAGCTGGCTGACTTCGCCACCGCGGAGAGACTGTTAGTCATCACCGGTCGCTCAGTGGTCGCGGGTTTGCGCCGACGCGAGGCCAAGGACGACGACGTTGAGGTGGGTTCCGCGCTCGACACCAATCCATTCCCGAGCTGCTTCGACCGAACATCCCTGCTCGGCCCGCTCGATGTGGCCCGTATCGTATTCGGCGCATCAGACGCCATAGTCTTGACGGACGAGCGACCCTCGCCGGGTTGCTTCGGAAGGGGCTTTGTGGCTCGTAGCTTGGCCTCGGGCAACATATCGGTATGAAGACCGTCCTTCGGATTGCGTCGTTGAACAATCAGAGGGGTCGATGCATCGGGCTTCGCGGATGCAGGGGCACTCTTGGACTCGGCCTTGACATGATACTTCTTCTGCGTGGCAGCGGTAGCGTGCAGAGGAGACGCGGGATCGATAAGTGGGCGAGTGGGGGCGGGAGACGTGACACTCGTCTCGGGGAGAGGAAGGATGGAGCTGGTGACAGTAATGTCAGGCCATCGATAACACCAGTTCATAGAATGTAGCAAGAACTTACTGTGTGGGAGTAGCGGAAGGTTGTGCTTGCCGCACAGGCTTTGAACCGGGAGACGGGTGGTTCGCGAGTGGCGCAGAGGACGTGAGCGACTTGCGCGGACTGCGACCCGTCCGAGACAACGTGGACGGTCCCTCGCAAGGTATAGGGTGCGCGTTTTCGTTGCTGGTAGATGTTGTACGCTTGCGACGCGGATATGCAGTCGCCGATTCATCGCCGTCCGCATTCGTAGTAGACAGAGTCTCGTGGGCGGCGACTCCCTTGCTGTCTTTGTCTACCGCCATGCCAGCAGATAGCGGTGTTGTAGTCCGAGCTAGAGGCGCAATAGACGCGTTGGACAAAGTAGCATTGAAGGCAACAGTGTCGGCGTCGTGTGTTATCTTGGTTTTTTTGGGTATGGGAGGCATTGACCACACGTAGGCGGTTCCGCGAGCCTGGATCGGCGGAGGTTTCGCAGCCGCCTCCTTGAGGAACCTTTTTATTTGCTCTCGTACGGAGTCCTGCGATTCGGGAGAGTGCGGGCGCTTCGAGGCCCCGCTGCTCGCAACTGGAGGAGACATTGTCGCGATGACCGGGAGATGAGGAACGGGTTGGGAAAGGAATGCGGCGGTTGACGCTAGCAGTGCATATATATGCTTTGTTGCAGGCGAATTTGCGAGTGTGGTTGTGGTTGATGGAAAGTTGCCGAAGGCTGCATGCGTGCCAGGTCGCCTATCAGTGGGTGTGGTTCGGGGTTCAGAATATCGCCGCGGCGAGGGCGGCGCGTGCAACCACTCAGATTCTCTATATGCATTAGAGAATGAGCCATAGCTCGTTTGCCAAGTCTTGTCAGTGCTAACTGGCATCGAGTAGAGACATTGTTAGTAGTGTTCGCAAACAAACATTGAGTATGAACAGGGCGATAGCACCTGACAGGGCATGTCCTCGGTCAGAAGAGAGCGTCTGTAGGTGTTGAAGACGGATATTCCCAAGTCATGTCTCAGATCGGGTGTTGTGGGTTGCGCGACGCGTATACAGAGTACGCAGATATCCTTGCGCGCGGGTTTTGGACGATATGGCTCAGTCATATATTGCAGGGTGCCACGTGGCGCAGCATTCTGCAATAGTAATTGCGCCCGGCGATTTCTGCGCAGGACTACATGGAATGCATATCTGGAGGCGCGGTAGGGTAGGTCAGGTGACGATCTCCATGATCATTGAGGACTATAGGAGTGGTAGACCGTGCCGAAGGAGCCATTCAGGGCGCGGCAGTGAGAGCCAGAATATCTTGGTATCTCCTTCGAAGGATGAGGCGAGGAGAGCCTGTCACGCGCAACTTGTGAAGTGCATTGAGTGTGCTCATCGTCGACGTGGTCGTTAAGGACAACAAATGATTCGGCGTCGACGCGTCAGCTCAACGACGTTCGGGTTGATATCTGCAGACGCATATGGGTCCACAGTTTCTCACTCGTTTCCCTCATCGCTTGCGCGTGGACTTGGACTTGCCTTCGACGATGCCGAGACTCGGTCATTATTCGTGTACTTCATCAACGGCTATAGTCCGCTCTAACTTTGACGCTATATGCGGCTCTTCTCATTGACGCCGTTGGGCGCGCGGCTGTTTGTCCCTCTACAGGTCATGAACGGCACTACTGTGTGACCTCCGATGCTGAGATCCACACACTCTGAGGTCACTCTAAAAGAGCAATACCGAGAGCTTGCGACGTTTCGCAGTCCGCGTGATCATTGTTTTGCCTTTGCCACCGAGACTGGGATCGGAAGAGCCGAGGCGTCTCCCAACGGATGTAGCGAGCCTCCGTACGCGAACCCTTTACGGATTGCTCGCTCCATGGCCCAGAACTGATGGGTGTATCAGTAACGCCCGTCTACACACCGATTGATGCCCGCAGTTTCGACGTTAGGCAAACGCAGTCTTGACTAGGAGCATACACAACATCGCATAGAGTACATACAGACAACATATTGACCCAGAACGCATATCTTACCTATAAGTAACGATCACAGTCGAAAGCGTCCCCTCCTCCCGAGAACTACTACCTGAAACGACATGCTTCCGAACTCCTCCAATCTACGTAGCTCAAACCCAAACGCCTGCTGTTCTGCCCATTAGCGCTCAGCGCTCAGCGGCGACCGCTTCCGGACGAAGATCCAGACACGTTCTTCGCCAAATCCCTCGCGCGACCCTTCTGCAGCTTTTCGACCTCCCCGAAATGGTGGTGATAATCGAGTACCCGCTGCTTCGCGGCCGCCTGGCGCGACTTGCCGGACTCAACTTCCTCGCGGGCGGGTGCAGGGCGTTCGGCAGGCTTGGTCTGCCGTGCGGACTTGGACGTGATGAACATCGAGGACTGCTTGGACGATGCTTTCGTCCGCATCTTCTTTGTGACGGGCGCGATGGCCTTCGGGCCGGTGGCCGCGCTGGCCGCGCTGTCTATAGCGCTCGCTGAAGTAGATGGCGCGGCGATACTAGCCGTAGTTTGGGCCGAGCTGCGTCTAGTAATGTCCATGAGCAAACAGTCGAGCTTCGACGGAGTCAGACAAGGCTCACCCCTTGGTTACTTTCGCAGCGCTCGTAGACTGAGCTGGCTTGACGCTCGAGGGAGTCTGGTCCGCGACCGGAGCCGACGCAAGCGACTTGCGAGGCTGACCGCGCGCAGGTGTGGTTGGCGCCGACTTGGATACTGTCGGCGGTGGCGGCAGGTTCTCGTCGTCAGGCTTGCCCGGCGTAGTGACATTGTAGGCGGAGGTGGTACGCTTGCGAGGCGTGCGCGATGGAGTAGTCGGCCTCGCGTTCGTAGGTGTAACAGGACGATTCTCGCGTACAGGCGAGGGAGGACGCTGGCTGCTCGTGCCAGACCTACTACCCTTGCGCGAGTCATTCTTCGCGGCTGGGAGGGCTGACGCCGGGGGATGAGACGTAGTCGAGATCGTTTGTGCCTGTTCAGTGGGCGCGGCGGAGGCCGTCTCGTCGGTGCGCCCGTGCCTTGGAATCTTTGCCTTCCCCGGGTTGAACCTTTTGATAACAGCCTTCTCAGCTGGTTGGACAGTATGCTCCAGTTTTGCCTTCTTCGAGACCTTGTCGGGCTGAGGGGAGGTCTCGGGTGAAGGAGTAGGGGAGAGAACTATCGGGCGCGTGCGCTTCTTGCTCGTGCGAGGCGGAGGAGTAGACATGGTTGTCTCGAAGGTGGATGCGGAATGTGGTGGTAGGACGCGAACAAGGAGAGACGGCGGAGGACACGGAAGAAATTTAGGCGAGCGGGACGGTGGTTGGATATGCTGCCTTAAATACGGTCCAGAAATTGAAGGTGGTTGGTGGTTGACGGGACTCGGAAGATCCCGCCCGTCGATTTTCGAGAGTGGTTTGGGGTTACCGTCGGGCGCGATGGCCGTCGTAGGTTAGGTAATAAGCACGTAGTCTTGCCCTGCATATTCCATTCAGAAGGGTGAGCGGGGCTGGGATGCTGGTCTCGTGGAAGTTCAGTACCGCCGTTGAGGCATTATGAAGTCTCCAGACCCTCACCCGTCAGGTATGTGAAGCAACGCCAGCAGTGAGAGCGCATGGGTGCACAAGATAGCACCTGAAGATGGGATGATAGAGCACTGAGAGTGTGTGCGTAGCCTGAAGAGTCTCGATTGAACTTCATGTGGCAAATAATTAGGCGGGGCGCCTGATCTGGAGGACAATGGGCGGCCCGGAGAAAACCGGAAGGGATGGCTGGGGCAGTAACCAGCTCCTCAGCTACAGCAGAGAGTTGCGCATCAGATACGTGGTTAATTGAGCCGAAGAGTGACCATAGTCACAAGAGGGTCAGTCTCATACACATACGGGAAGAGGCGTTGCCGATCGAACAGGCAGTCACGACCAGAGTCTCCTGCGAGTTGGAAGGTTTTGAGCTGCTCGCGACGGGCGCGTTTCCTACCATACGTCAGTTATGACGATGCAGAGCAATAGCTGTACGCTCGAGTATCCGCCGGGTGCACTCATGGGCGTAGAAGGTGAACAATGCCGCGGACGACGCCGTGACGTGTGCCCAACTCGATTGGTGTGGGCACATATGGGTCCTTATTCCCGCGATCATTTACGTAGTGGGGCTCGGCACTCCCCGATGTGTATGCGCTTTGCTGGCTAAGTGGCTTCGTACGATGTATCGTGAGTCTACAAGAAGATGAAAGTCGTAGCGATACCAAGTGAGTTAGGGCCTCGACTTCTCTCTGGTCCAACAACTTCTCCCCGTAGACGATCTGCCAAGCTTACCGTGACAGTCGAACGGTTCGCTCGTCAAGAGCGCGCCGGCCGTGCACGCGGGACTGGTACTGCTTACGCGCCACTTTCCGATGCTCGTATTCTTCAGGGCCACTATGGTACACGCCCAATTCCATGCATGGAAGTACGGTACTCTGCTGTACCTACCAGCGGAGCTTGAAGCCTGAAAGTGAAGGAGCATGTACTGCGCCAAGTGCTTCTCCGCCTTCTTGCCCATGCGCACATCGTGTCGCTCTCTTTCGCGATCTCCAGACGTTACGTTATACCGTCGCCCAATGCGTAGATAGCGATAACTGGATGGCTTGTATTGAATGGTCGAAAGCGGCCGTGATCGGTACGGGATGGAACGCTTACTACATCGTACGCTTCACTTGCGTGCAGCCGGGCACAGTAAACGCCATCGGCAGCGCTCAAGATCCGAGCAGTGCCGCCCATGGCGGCCAGTTCGAATCGCCTTGAGAGAGCTTTCGAGCGTCCGGGTTCCTGAGCTCAGACCCTATGCGTGTACGGTACTGATCGAGGGTTAGTAGCGTACATCCCAGGATATCTGTGCGATGGTCGGACTTCTTCTGGGTAGAGGCATGTTAAACCCGAAAAGCTTACTATGTCTCGAGCTTCGCGACGCCGACGAAGCTAGCCTATTGTACGTCAATAGAGGAGCGCTGCGCACCTAGGAAGTCGGCGTCAGGGCTGAAGCCGAGAGCTTCGTTCGAAGAGATGTATGAACCTGCACGAGCCTATCCGCTACAGCATCTATGATCTAATCAGGCACCTCACAGAGCGCGAGTGCGACTATGCTCTCACCGGATATCACTCAACGTATACGGTCTCCGTGTTCTGCCGATACACCGGAGGAGTCCATGGACTGGCTGATGAAGCAAGAGGTCCATAGAGAGGTGGTACTGATGGCAAAGGACTGTGTGCCTTAGCAGGCTATCCTCGTTCACCAATCGTCTTGCACCCGTTGATACCTCGCGAGCTGTACGGTCTTGACGAAGGTGGCGAATGTACGTCAATCAAGGAGCACTGCACATCTAGAAAGCTGGATTAGAGTCGAGTTCACACTTCGGCTGACAGAAGCGTAGTCACCTACCCGTACCCGGGTTCGTACATTCGCTGTTGGGCAACCGAGGCACTCCATCGCAAGAGGTGGGACTGGACTGGGCTCTCACCCGGGCCCGCTGAGAGAGCTCTATTGATGCGCCCAGGAAGCTATTTGGTGTTATGCACGGTTACTCGCCTATGGTAAAACTCAAGATGAGTTCGCCGTGAGGGCTCTCATGGGTCGGTTCGAACACCGTCACTGGGCCACCGTCGGCCCCGAGGGGTTTGATGGTAACGCGCACTGACGCGTATGTCCGGCTTTGTCTAGTCAGCCTAGTATACTAAAGACCTCGATGATACAGTCCTGATCTCACAACGTATGATATCATATGAGCTGAGTGCTCACCAATAGGTGCTGTACGCGCTGGTTTGAAGTGCAAGTTCGCCATTCGGTCAGAGATTGAGCACCTTAATCTCCAGTTGCGAAGTGCGGCCAAGGGTGTTGAGTACGTATTCGGTACCAGAGCTTGTCGATGTTCCTTTAAGCGCTGCATGATGGACGCACTCTACCGATACTTTGGTAGCAGACCGCCGCAAATGAAGCTTCTGGTCGACTGATCAGGGACATCCATGTAGCCTCATGTAACGCGAAATCGAACTGATGTCAAGCCAACCCTTTGACTAAACAATGTGTTGGCTTGTTTAATACGAGGCTGTCTCGAGACCTGTGAAATCCCGTTCAGTATCGGCAACCGCCACAGTAAGAGCGAACCGCTCACGTACGGCGATGAGACGACGGACGGTACCGCCCATAGCAAAGCGGCTTCTGACGCCCGCGGCGATGATCACGGTACCCGTATGCTTACAGCTTTGAACCCGGTCAGCGGGGTGCCTTGAAGGTCTACTCCGTTCGTGCACTCAAAATGTCGTTTGACATATCACGTAGATGAGAAGAAAGATGGATGGTGACATAGGCAGCTCAAAGAGCGCTCATCGGGGTTCAGGGTGTTCGTGAGACGCGCGTAGGTAGAAGGATGAAGCTCATGTATTGTAGATCAAGTATCTGGTACACGAGATGAGGGTGAGTACGTGGCACTTGGAGCGAGATGTGATTGGCCAAGGACAGGTACAGCTGTAGGAGCCGCGCGCAGATATATGAATATATGACCGGAAGAGAAGACCGAGAATACCACGGAGAGAGGTGCCGGTGCGAGGGTGAATAAGCGTACTGGAGGAGCCCCACAGGGATATGGGAGTGGGATGGGCGTGCCTCGCGGGATGAGCGAGGCATGATGATGGACGACGGGGTTCAACGTAGATCGATTCCAGTTACTGCGGGCGCGGCGCGGCGGTGTCTGACGCAACGTTTGGTTTGCCTCTGCCCTCCATCCACGCTTCATCCATCATCGCCCACACACCCACTCTCTGCGTCCCCAGAGCACCTGACGCGGATCGGAAACAGGCGAGGCGGATACATCGACGGGAGAAAAGTAGACGCCCGGATATTTGATTGAGGACGACCACGAGGAAGGGCTGGAAATCGGCATGAACGGCGACGACTTTGATCTGCCGCGCTGGCAGACGCACACGAACCCGGGCTCGCCGGCGGCGTACAACTACACGGGCTCGTCGCAGCAGTCGGCCCGGCCTCCGCCGTCGCGGATCGCGCAGCTCGTCGACGACGACCCCGGCGCGGCGAGCACGACCTCGCTGCCCTATCTGGCGCCCGCACATTCCCAGGCCTCCCTCTCCCGCTCGGCATCGCTCTCGGCAGCGAACAAGCCGAGTTCCTATTACAACTCCTCCGTCGCCTACCAGGGATACAACGACCCGCCCACCCCGCAGCAGACCCAATCCGGGCAGGAGGACGTCTATTTCGGGCAGCCAGGATCGGCACCGCCCAAGCGCTCAAACACCCACCACGACGCATCAACTTCTTCGGCCGCGGCCCGGGCGGCGCGCTCGCCCCTCAGGACGGGCCAGCTCTTGGACGCCTACGGGCAGACGTCGCCCTACTCGCCCGCTTACGGCCACTCGCGCTCACACTCGCATTCCAAGGAGCAATATTCTCCCGCAGCTTATTCGCCTTCTTACGGACTAGACGCCGCCTCTCAGCCGCCACCGCCCCCGCCACAGCGTTCATCGCTCTCCCAACCGGCCACCCCAATCGGTTTCCCGGTCCCCCACACCCACAGCCCGTATTATGGCCAACAAGGTCACCAGGATGCAATGGCCGTCGATCCACCCGCTAAACGCCGCCCATCTGGTTTCCGCCCCGTTCGCGATGCACGGGAGCTGAGGCCACAGGTACAGACGCGTCCGGGTAACCGTCGGGTCGACGCTTCGGGCGCTCCCCTATCTGTAAAACTCATCTTCGCAGCAACTTGGAGCATTCGTACTGACTGTCGTTCCGTAGCCTCTCCGCCAGCTCACGACCAACATCGTGGACACGTATCGCATATGCAATCCTCAGTTCAAGTACGAATCGGCGCTCAACCCCCGCCGTGTGCTCACAAAGCCGAGCAAACCTTCCCATAACGATGGTTACGACAATGAGGATTACGATTATATCCTCTACGTCAACGACTGGCTCGGCACAGACGAAGGCCACAAGTTAGTGCCAGTTTCGTAAAGCATCTCCATGTCAACTGACATCTATCTCCGCAGATACCTCATTCTCGACGTGCTCGGCCAGGGCACCTTCGGTCAAGTAGTCAAATGCCAAAACATGAAGACGCACGAAGTCGTCGCCGTCAAGGTCGTCAAAAACAAGCCCGCGTACTTTAACCAGTCGATGATGGAGGTTACCATCCTCGAGCTTGTGCGTCCCGGCATCAGTGGGTACCCGAGAGCTGCGTGAGCTGAAACCGCCCTGCAGCTCAACAATACCTGCGATCCGAACGACGAGCACCATATACTGCGATTGCGCGACTCGTTCATCCATCGCAGCCATCTTTGCTTGGTGTTCGAGCTGCTGTCGAGCAACCTTTACGAGCTTATCAAGCAGAATCAGTTCCAGGGTCTGAGCACCCAGCTTGTGAAGGTCTTCACGGCGCAGTTGCTCGACGCGCTCACCGTCCTCAAGGAGGCGCGCCTGATTCACTGCGATCTGAAACCAGAAAATATCTTGCTCAAATCGTAGGTCACCACACTTGCTGTGACGATCGTCTTGATTAACATCTCGATAGATTGCAAAGCCCGCAGATCAAGGTCATCGACTTTGGTTCAGCATGTCATGAGCGACAAACGGTCTACACCTACATCCAGTCGCGCTTTTACCGGTCTCCCGAAGTCCTCCTCGGCTTGCCCTACACCGCCGCAATCGACATGTGGTCTTTGGGCTGCATTGCCGTCGAGCTCTTCCTCGGCCTGCCGCTCTTCCCCGGCACGTCCGAGTACAACCAGATCACGCGTATCGTCGAGATGCTCGGCCAGCCTCCGTCGCATATGATGGACGTAGGCAAACAAACGGGCCAGTTCTTCGATGCCTACACGGACGTTTACGGGAGGAAGAAGTACCGCCTGAAGTCCTTGGAGCAGTACAGCCGCGAGCACAATACCAATGAGCAGCCCGGGAAGCAGTACTTCAAGGCGACGACGCTGCCGGATATCATCAACCAGGCACCGCTCCCGCAGTTGAAGGGCGGCCGTAGTGGCGCGGAGATGGACAAGGAGCTCAATGCGAGGGCCAGCTTCATCGACTTCTGCCAGGGCTTGTTGAATATGAATCCATTGGAGAGGTGGTCGCCGCAGCAAGCGCGCCAGCACCCGTTCATCACGGGCGAGAAGTTCTCGAAACCGTTTGTGGTACGTGTCATGTTCTTTTATCTCACATGAAGGTGATCGTACTGATCGTACCGTATCCAGCCCAACGCGCCGTCACAACAGCAACAGCAAACGCCGCCTCAGTCCGCACCTCCCGCGGGTGCGTCATCCGGCACACCCGGCGGGACGCCCGACCCTAAGCGCCCGTATGGCGGTCTGGTTCCCAGTCAGCCAAAGGGCACACGCGCTTACCAGGATGCGGCGGCCTACCAGCAACAGCTCAGTCAGCACCAGGCGTACACGGCTCAAGCGCAGGCGGCCTCTCAAGCGGCCCAGAATGTGTTCCGCAACCCGTATGTGACCCCACCCGGTCAACAACAGGCGGCCCAGGCCAGTCCGGCGTACGATACGAGCGCGGCGGCCTATGCGCCGCCGCCGCATCCGGCTTATCTGCAACCTGGACAAGCGACGCAGAGTACTGGCCGTGCGTATCTTCGTCGATGCGAGCATATGGATGTTAACTGACTTTGGTATGTCACACAGGTTCAGGCGCTTCGCAACAACAAGCGGCAGCCTACGGCGGTCAAGCGCCTCAGCCGCCGGGTAGCAGCTACTACCCGTCCTCCCGCGCCCGCGCCAACACGATCAACAACATGGACAACGTGCCTCCCGCTCTCGCCCGTCTGCAACACATGAACCAAGACGCGATCTCGGGCGGACGTAACGCTCTGACGCCCGTGCTCAACCGTGATGACGCGATCCGCGAATGGGAGCGCCGGCAGCAGCAGGGCCCCGGCAAGCCCCCGCCAGGGCCGGCTTACCAGCCGCTCGAGCTGTTGCAGCAGCACGCGGAGCACTGGCAGTCCGGCGCGCGGGCGTACGCACCGGCGCAGGGGTCGGCGTTGGCGCACGCGTATGCGCCGCCTCCCCCGCCTCCACCTGCTACGGCGCCCGCATCGCAGCATGAAGAGGAGAGAAGGGATCATATCCTTCAGGGTGTACGTGCGAGTGCGAGGGAGGGCCCGCAGAGCTTTGGTGCGGCCGCGCAGAACGTGATCTCTAGTCCGCCGCAGGCGTATACGGGCCGTGGTGTGGGCGGATACAGCAGTGGCGCGTACACCGGGAACGGCGCTGCCAGTGGTGCGGGGTACAACGCGCAATACGCTCCCCCGCCCGGTGCAGCTGCCGCGGCGTTCGGCGTCGCTTCAGCGCAACCTGATTTGAACGTCTATGCGCCGATGCAGCCGGACTCGAGCTTCGGCGGGTCGAGCGGGTATGGAAGAGCTGGGCAGGCTGGGCCGGTTACGCCGGGTGGCCAGGGCTTCTATCCGTCGGCCGTGCAGGGGGCGGGGAGTCCGCAGAGGAACCCGTTCGCGCAGGGCCAGGCTGCGGGGAGTCCGACGGGGCAGGTGCAGGCGACGGTCAAGACGGAGAGGAGAGGGAGCGGGATGGATTACTGGCCTGGGTAAATGCCCGGTCTGACGCGGACGTTCGAAGGGTGGAGTGTGGGGTGTTGGGGAGAGGGACGGTGAAAGGATACGCGTATGCGCCCTGGGGGCTCCCGCGCTGGCATTCGAGATGCGCTGCACTTATGGACGGACGGACGATGTATGCCTGCTTTACAGTGCTGTTGTGTGTAGTGTTGTTCTGAGATTTCCGAGATTTGACCCATGAGCTTGAAACTGCGTACTGATCTGCCATTTCCCCACTTCTTGAGTTGAGCGTAGCACGTTCTTGGGCACGGGGCTGTATGGCCACTATATGCCTACTTGAATCGGATGTTTCGCATAGTCGTATCGTCTAGCAGAGCAGCAGTTGTTGAAATGCTTGGATCGAGGATATAGTCAGTAGCACGTGTAGCGCGCAGCAACAGTCGCGACGCGTCTGGCACACACGCTCACGACGTCACGAACGAACGCCCACCATGGCCTCCGCAGGGGACAACTTCTCGGCCGCACTCTCAGCATGGAAGAGTGTGTGATATACCATTCAGACGTGTGATAGATCACTGAGACGCGATTGTCAGCTATAAACCTACTGGAATTGCAGAAGACGCTCGACACGCAGGGCGTGGAACTGGTTGAGAACCAAAAGGAGAGCGTCGTAGGAAGGAAAGCTCTGGCGGACAGGACAAAGGGTGCGTAGTATATGCTGTGTGCTGTGGTACGATCCTCACGAGCGGGTGCTAGACTTCAAGAAGATACCTGAGGAGGAGAAGCTGAATGCATTCAAGGGTCTGCTCAAGGGTGCGTGCGTATATTGTTGTCCAATGCCTTATGTTCTCTGACCTTCGGACTCTCAGCGTACCAAACTGAGATTGACAGCCTCACGAAGCGGTCTAAATTTGCGGAGAATGCATTCTTAGATGTATACAAGGTACTCGCAGAGGCACCAGACCCGTACCCGCTCCTCGAAGCTACCGTGGTACGTATGACTATAGTGGTCTTGGAATCACTGCGAACTGAACGTTATTTATAGGACCAAGCAGTCAAAGCGAGTGAATCTTCTGAGGCGCAAGAAGAAGTCAAACGCCTACGGAAGGAGAACGCGGAGTTGCAGAAGAAGCTGGATGGCCTCGCCAGCGTTGAATCCGCCAAACGCAAGGCTGAGACCAAGGTCGAGCAGCTCGAGGAGAAGGTACGCGACAGGCTGACAGTGGCTTACTGTATATGACTCGCCGTTCATGTATATGCTATATCCAGCTCGATACTATGGTGCAAGAGCGTGTGGCGCAGAAGGAGAACGAGCTCAATGCGGCTTACGACGAGAAGATGCGCAACTACGAAGAGAGGTATGTATCCTGTCAGCATTACTGTCGCTCTTGGATGTATGGCTGATGGTCGTAGGGAACAAGACCTCCAGAAACAAGTTGCCCTCACGAAAGAGCAACTCCGCGACTTGCGCATGTCCAACGAATCCAACCAGGCGCGTCTGCTCGACCAAAGTCAAAGACAAGATCAGGAGGTCTACGCCAAGCTCGCCGAGATGGATATGATGGTAGCCGACCTCGACCGCGCAAGCACGCGCGTCGCCACTGTTGAGCGCCGGAACGAGCTCCTGCGTGCTGAGATCGAGGGACTGAAAACGGGCAACGAGCGGTCAGATCGGTGAGTACACTGTAGATGGCCGTGGTTTGGACAGTTGCTGATTAAAGTATGAATACAGAGTTCGCGATCTTGAGGCGCAAGTTGACGCGTTGGAGTCGGAGGTCGACCGTCTTTCCGATTCCTTGGAACACGAGAAGAGCGTCGTCGCAGAGCTCGAGACAAGGATCACGCACACCGCCGATGAACATGGAAGGCAAGTCGCCGAGAAGTCTTCTGAGATCCAGCGCTTGAAGGATAAGCTGAAGAGCTACTCCGACTACGACGAGATCAAGCGCGAGCTGGACATCATGAAATACGTCGAGTTCGCCGGGCTGGAGGGCGATCTCGATGACGACGAGGGATACGAGGTGTCAGAGGACGGGCCGCTGTCTCCCAGCTTGCAACTACCCAACCCGAACGCTACGAAGTCCAACGCTCAGCACGGGAGCTCATTGGAAGCGCTGCTTGCTGCAAAGAATAAGCGCATACTGGACGAGTTGGCGAAGTTCAGGATCTTGCATGGCGAGCTGGAGGCGTCGCTGCAACAAGCAAGAGGGGAGCTGTCCACGGCTTCGACGGAGTTGGAGAAGCAACGCGAGCTGAACGAGAAGCTGGAGAACGACTTGTTGATGCTTGACCAGCGAGGTCAGGCGAATGGGAAGGCGAAGGATGCGTCAAAAGGAGACGAGGACGAGGGCGACGCGTTAGCAGGACTCGACATTGGTGGGCGCAAATCCAAGACGCCGTCAGCCACAGCAGCCCGCAACTCGCCTGTACCCTTCACATCATCCGCTGACACATCTATCCTCCCCATCGTTACATCCCAACGCGACCGTTTCCGCGCACGAAACGCCGAGCTCGAAGACGAACTTCGAAAGCAGTTCCAGACTATCTCCGAACTGCGTACCGAGGTTCGCGGACTGCAGACGGACAACCTCAAGCTGTACGAGAAGGTGCGGTATATGCAATCGTACAGGGAGAATACGACAAACTCGACGTTGGACCCGTTGCCATCGAACGCGGCGGGAGGGAGCGCGACGGAGATGAGCAAGTACAGTGCGCGGTATGAGGAGTCTATGAACCCGTTCGAGGCATTCCGTGGACGAGTGTGTACTTATCTTGTTGCTCGATACGTACGTCATACTGATGTTCGCGTAGGAAGCCGCGAGAGCGTACTCGAATCTCAATCCGCTGGAGCGCGGTGTGTTCGTCTTGACACGCACAATCTTGGGTAATCGGCGAGCTCGGACTGCGTTCATATGTTATGCGTTTGCATTACATATGCTAGTCATGTACACATTGTACGAGTGCTCAGGGAGCTCTGGGGCAGATCTGGCCAAATCACCTACACCCTTCTCATGATCTTCATGGTAGTCATACTACACCCTTTATGCCTCATCATGCACTCTATCGGACATGCTTTCAACCGTACATATCTTATTACTCCTGCATATATTCACTGGACATCGTCACCATGATATCACATCGGCCGCAGCCTGACCAAACAGGTACTGCTCCCAGTCCCAATCGGGCAAACCAGAGCATCGTTCCAACATCAGCCGCTTTAGTGGCTTCCACTCTTCCGCACGTCTTCTTAAAGCCAGTATCCATGCGAACCGCACATCGGCCCATATCCACTCCAACAAATCTTCCTGATCCTGTTCCTCGTATTGCTCTGAGAGAGTATCGGGGTCGAGCGCTACGGGGTGGTGATGCGTGTCCCAGTACACCGTCTCGCAGTCCTTGGTGACTGCATCTACGAGAGGCTGGAAGGCGACGTTCCAAAGAGTGAGGCGCCGCAGCGACGGTAGGATTAGATGTACTTTCCCTTCGACCACCTGGCCTCTCTCGAGAGGTTGGGATAATATCTTGCATATCTCGGGGAGAGCGGGGCCTCTGAGACCCAACTCCTCCAGTGCGAGAGTCCGGCACAGGATCGCCTGGAAAGGCAGCGCGCCGCCGGGCGCGGACGCTCTCGGTGAGGCGCAATCGATATACAGAGCTGTTAGTTGCGAGAACGTGAAGCTCTCGAACATTATGCGTGTCGCTAATCGGAGCCAGAGTGTTTCAGAACGCCGGACCGATGCGGGCTGGTCGTGTTCAAGCGTGAAGGGCGCGGACGACCCTGGCCCACTGTCATATCTGAGGTATCTCGGGAGTTCGAAGTGAAATTGGAGGCAGAAGTCTTCTGCGGATACTTTGACGGCTAGGGCGACTGGGGCGGGGCATTGAGACTTCATGAGGTCGCAAAGTGCCATGGGATTACGCAGGCCGGACAGCTGAAGGAGTTGTGAGGCAGTATGGGGGAGGTCCATGTAGCGCATCATAGGAACGATGTCTTCGCAGAGGCCGTATAGTTTCATGACCTCCAGGTTGGGCAAGGATATTGTGCCCAGACGTGACGGGTCGGAAGGTGGCGATAACGACTCGGACCACCGAGGGCGCTGAAGCTCGAGCCATCGAAGTTGCGGGAGCCTCGCGAGCAAGGCAAGTATTTCAGCGACTGTATTCCTGCTATTATCGCGGGAGTGACTAAAGTTCATCGTGTGATATATCTTCAGCACGGCGAGACTGGAAAAGGCGAGCTGTGTCCATGCGAAGTAGATATTGTTGAGAATGATAGACTCGAGTTTCGGAGCATGGTGCTGAAACAAGTGCGGCGGAAGTTCGACGGATTGAGTATTTTCGGCTTCCATACTGAAAGCGCGCAGCTCTGGTGCCGGTGCATCGAGATACCGCGGCCACTTTGGGTATGCGCCCTTGAAGTAGGGAAAGAGCAGCCATAGTGCATCCATGCGCCACAGGTTCGTATGTATGGTATCGCAAATCGTAGAAGTCCGCGATATCATCTCAGCGCTTGAGAACGGGGTGTTGTGGAACTGGAGAGACAGCTGAAGCAGTGCACGCCCTGAACGCGCGACAAATGTCTGCTGCCATTGGAAGCAGAGGGTTCTGGGTATCACGGCCCACAGCAGTTGGGCGCTGAGCGCCGCGGATCTCCATCTTGAGCATGTATGCGTTAGACAGAGGACCCATCCAGGGGCACCGTGCTCCGTCGGGTCTTCGATGCAGACATCTCGTACGGAGATGAAGATAGCTACGAGTAGCTCGTTAGGGAGTCCGTCTATCACGCAGCGATCATCCGGAGGAGGTGGGATATAGGGAGGAACTCTTCGGCCACTGGATATGCGTCGCATCGTAGAGAGTCTGTGCGCTCAAGATGAATATGTGGACTGAGGGACTGAGGGAGGGTGGTCGCGGTCCTGCGCAAGGAGCGATGGCTCGGACACAGAGCTCGGCCCGAATGCCGACGTACAAAGGCTCCGGATTGTGCGAGACGCACATGAAAGTCCAGCTCACCGACTGACCGAGCTCAACTCCTGCCACCACCTTCACTCACTCGCCCCAGCCATGGCACTACCCATGCTGATTAACGGCGCTGAGTGCGGTCTATCTAATGGACTGCAGAGTCTGACCAAGAATCTTGAAAGAGATCGTGGGTTGCAGCAAGTGCGTGGCGACTTTGTTGTGGCGCATGATTAATACTCATGCGAGTGCTCAGGATTTCTTTGGCGCTGGACGAGCTGGCCCATCTCGAGAAGTATGTATCTAATACTCTCACAGACTCATATAGTCTCACGAATATACTCGTACAGACCTTTCGTTCTACTCCGGCGCCTGCTCCAGGGCTTGGCCAAGAAGCAGCACAGTTCTTCTCTTCCCAATCATCACATGGACCAGCTTTCCAGCCCGACGCTTTCAACCTTGCCGCAATACGCGATGCTATACCCCAACCTATCCAACAGTGGACTCAAGGACGACCTCAAATACAAACTCATGCACCCACTGCTTCATGGGCCACGGACTTCCTCGTTCAGGGGAAGACGGCGTCGCCCGTCAATGTGCAAGCCGCCACTCCTATTCAACAGCAGCAGGAGCAACAGCGACAAATGGTTACTTCTCCGGGCCCTTCCAGTACGCACGTCATCGCGAGTTCATCTGGTTCAATCCTTACATAGCACCTCAGCGTATATCCAGCCCTACAATATGCCCACGATGAGCATGAACATGAATCAGATGCACACATTCTCCCCTCCCGCACAAGCGCAACGATCATCACCGGCCGCACAGTTTGATTGTATGTGTCTACCCGCATTCACAATCACCTGTATCTCATTATACCAGCGTCTGCTCTTGAACAGGCATTTCACACACACGAGACGACCTTCGCTCAACCACAGCCTGTCGCGCAGGAACTCTTGTCCGAGCAGCGGAGACTTGAGGAAGACGAGTTGGCACGCACCGCAGGCCAGATTGTCGACGCTGTTGGCAGCAATCCGAAGTTCAAGGAGAGCTCGTTCATGGGCCTCATGCGTCAACTTCGAGATCACGATGTCGTCGTATCGGGCAATGACATGGTGCCGCGCTCCGAAGCGCAACCGGAAGCTACGACTTCTAAGTCGCGACCTGAGTACGCGTATCGGCATCCGTCACAGACAACATATCAAGGGCAGACCTTCGCGTCCAGTGGATTAGCCGTTCCCCAACCATTAGGCGAGGTGGATGTAAAGGGGAAGGGTCGACAAGTCGACGTCGACACACCGCCACTCTTACAAGGCGCATCGACGACCGGTGCGTCCACATCTGAGATGGACGCGTACTGGGAGGAGGAGAATGCGAGCATGGCGGAGTACTGGGGTGCCCACCATAATCGTGCCGATGCCCAAGCGCGTGCCCGTGCTGCGGAGACGAAGGAAGGAGGCGAATGGGGACAGTTGCAGGCGGACTGGGATGCCTTTGAGGCGACTGCGAGCGGGGTCAGGGCTGTAGGGGCGGAAGGACATGGATACGACTTCCAAGCGAATAATCCGTACCTGCTGGGATCCAGTACTCGAACGCACGCCATGCACTCTCAGCACGGTGCCTTCTTCGAGAGCGTGTTGCAACTCGAGGCGTCCGTACAGTGCGAACCGACTAATGCGCGTGCTTGGTTCGACCTGGGTATCAAGCAGCAAGAGAATGAGCGGGAATCGTTAGCGCTTAGCGCACTCCGTCGGGCGGTGGAGTTGGACCCGGGACACCTTCCGGGATGGCTTGCGCTCGCGACAGCCAGCACGAACGAGGGTCTTCGTGGCGAGACGGTGCGGGCTGTGCGGGAATGGATCGTTCGTAACGAGCGGTACTCGAGCGTCGTAGCGACACATGGAGGGCCTGGCGAGACGATGGAAAGCACTGTGCAGTGCCTCATTGCTATCGCCCGTGCGGGTGGTGCAGACGTCGACGCCGATGTCCAAGTCGCATTGGGCGTGTTGTTGAATGCGGACGAGGACTATGAGAAAGCGCGGGACTGCTTCCATGCCGCATTGGGTGTACGCCCGGACGACTGGGTGCTGTATAACCGTGTCGGCGCGACGCTCGCGAATAGCGGTGCAAGCGAGAACGCCACTGCGTTCTACTACCGCGCTCTCGAACTCAACCCCGCTTACATCCGTGCACGGTTCAACTTAGGCATCTCATGTATAAATCTTGGGGTACGTCATGCCTGGATCATGGCCCAGAGTCAATTCACCGTATGCTGACGTGTCGTGCAGAGGTACGCCGAGGCAGCGCAGCATATCTCGGATGCCCTTGTATTGCAAGACGGGGATGGCGTCGCCGGCGCAGACACTCGAGGCGTGACTAGCGCGTCGCTTTGGGACAGCCTGCGGACGACGTGTCTGCACATGAAGCGCATCGACATGGCTGCACTCTGCGATCATCGCGATCTGGAAGGTGAAATAAAGATCGTTCTTAGAATTCAGATAGCTGACTGAGTTCACAGGTATCCGCCGGGACATGGCTCAGGCGTAGATATTGGTGTTCATAATGTGGATTGCTACATCTATTCATACAAGCTATGTGGTGTTCCGTGATAGCAGGACAAAGAAAGCAGGTTGCAGAACGGAATTAGAGAGATTGTCCTGCGAGTTGAAGTCAGAAAATATACACGAGACACAGCCACATAGACCTACGCGGTGGTATTTAGTTCGCAAGACCGAGACGCTCATCCCTGGACATAGCCTCGCGCTGCCTCTTCTGCTCGTCGACAGCGCTGTACGGCGCAGGCGTCACCGGATCTTTGCCCTTTCCACCCGAAGCGGCTGCTGCAGCCGCTGCCTTCTTCTGAGCCACCATATTTCTAACAGCCTGCACGTCATTGTCGCTCATAGTAATGAGCGTAGGCTGCCTGCGAATCATGTTGGATATCGTCTATTTCGAGTGTGCGAGGCCTATGTGGTAACTGCGCAGCGCAGTAGGGCCAGGGTTTAGACGCGCAAGACCGTGGTGAGGGTCAAAAGGAAAGCCGGCATTGTCCCGCCGCGTTCATCTTTTGACTTCCACGTACCATACCCACATATCCTCATCCTCCTACGCTCTCTCAAACATGGAAACCGCTCTTCGCGTCGTCGATACCGTCAAGAACTTCCGTGTATGTACCACCTACATTGATGCAATAAATATGAGAAGTTGACGCCGGAGTAGGAGACGCGTCTCAGTGCGCTGCGCCCTCCGCAAGAATTCTTTGACTACAACCGCATCTCGCGCCCCGGCGACTTCTCCGTTGCCGTTCAGGTATGAGATTGAGTGTATGGAGTGCATTATAAGAGGTCCCTCATACGGCACATTAGCGCATATCTTACAACACCCGTTACTTCTCTGGTGCGCCACGCTCACGCCCTGACCCACGACGCTTAGATGCTGAACAAACATTGCAGGCAACTATGGGTTGATCGTTGCGGCACTTGCCGTATATGCACTGTGAGTCCTGATGCTCTACCATGTGGCCTGATTGGTGTCTCATCCTTCTCTAGCATTACGAGCCCGTTGCTGCTCATCGCCATTGGCTTCCTTGTTGGCGGCTTCGCAGCGATCAACAAATGGGGTACGTGTCAAGTTGATGCACGGAGAATATACCTTTCTAATGCACATATATAGCTCCAGAGCCGATGCAGGTCGGCGAGCACGTCGTGACCCAAAAGTCACTATACACCGCTCTCTTCGTGATCGGCATCCCGCTTCTCTGGTGGGCATCCCCCATCTCCGTATTCTTCTGGTTGATCGGCGCCAGCGCCGTTCTCATTATCGGTCATGCTTGCATGGTCGAGCCTGGAATCGAGTCGGAGTATGCTACTGTTCAGGAGGCCGTCTAAAGTGATCTTCAAACTTGGAGAGAAGGGGTGGCTAAATCGGACTTTCTTTATCTATATATTCGCTCGTTCTTGCTTCGCTGTCATCGTTTTCGACTGGGCTTGTAGTGGAATGCCGTAATGCTCCATAGAAGTGCCCGCGCGGTACACCTACTCTCGAATTATGCAGAACAAGCTTGTGATCTTGTGCCGCGAACGGTATGTACATGCCGTCTACTGAACTTTGACGTGAACACGGTCCGCCTCCTCCAGCATCACGATCACGCAATCTGCCGCATCGCCGTTCCCAATCTGCGTTTCAACACACGCAAGGTCCATCGGGCCGTCGAGGACAGTCATCGGCAAGTCTGTCAAGTCCAAGATTAGATAGTCGGCCCGCGAACGAGATGTGGACTACGTACGCCACACCGCGGTGTCATATACGACACCCTGGTCGCCGCGAACGATAAACGCGCGTAGGGTCCTCACATCGGGCTTGTCGTCTGCGCCATTCTTGCCTACAGCGACAATATACCTCTTGCTCGCATCCGCGCCCATCGGCACGAAAGCCTGATTGGTGTACGGATGACGCTCGAGTGCCTTGACTTCAACCTCTTGCGCATTTGGCGTCGGCTCGCAACGATACACGGAGATGCCCGGTGTTGCGCCGAGCTCAGGCGGATAGCTGCCCTTGAGTATCGTCTGCTTATGGTACTTCAGCGCAGTACCAAAGTTCGCGGGCGTAATCTTGCTCCCGCGAGGGTTAGGCACGGCGTTCACATCCGGGTACGATTGTATAACCTGACCGAAAGGCGCAAACGCCTCAGGGCTAAGCGGCAAAGCGGGTATGGTGCGGAGAGGTTTCGAAGCGGATGCCCCTGCGGCAGAAGCGTCCGAAGCCGTGGAAGTTGCGGCTGGTGGTAGGCCGGCACTGGGCGTAGGCGCCTTGCTGCCGAAGACACGAACACGCTTGACGCCACCATCGGGATAGATGGTCAGGCGCACATGCGTGAAAGCTTTGCTCTCCGCACTCTCGACCTGGAAGAAGTGTTCGCGGTGCGGGCCGAGGTTTGCATGCGGAAGGATGAGTTGCCATTCATCGTTTTCGGATACGGCTGCTTGTGCCTCGGAAGCAGGGCTGCAAGTGGGTGGAGGTGCATGAGACACAGAGTGTGGTGGTATGGAAGACGTCGAGGTTATCGCATGCACGTCGCAGTACTGCGGGAAGTTGCCCTTGAAGTGGGCTGTATCGATGCAGATATGAGATATATGCGTCGGAGCGCCACTGAATGAAGGAATCAGCAATGCGGTGTTGGTCTTGAGATATGAGATGAAAGGGCTTCACTGACAGCTTAATGATCGTCCAGTCCTTGTGATTCGGCTGGCGACTACGCTTCGTCTCCCACCCATCGCCCATGTCCTTCCCACGACCAGGAAGAATGATGTTTGCCCCTACACCGAAGTGCTGGTCCGAGGTGAAGGTGACCCGTCCACCAGCGTAGACGTGCGCAGAGTCGAAGACCTCATGTTCGTCTGCAGGCTGGATTGCGACAACGTCGCCGTACACTCGGAAACGAGCCTGCGATTGCGATGAGAAGGTATGAGATTGAAGATTTTGAATGGCACGTACGATGCCCCCATCAGGATACATGTTCAATTTCACATAGTTCGTGGCTGAGGTGGTGGGTACGGTGAATAGATGGCGGGAGCTCGGGCCGAGATCGACTTTGGGCAGGATCTCTGCCCACTACAAGACGAGTTAGTTGCAAGATCAAGGCCGTACAGCCGCAAAGAGATGATTACCCTCGAGTCGTTAGCATCAGGTGCAGCTTCACCCTGTGGCGCATTGAGGGCCTGAACGGACACTTGTGGCGCCTCATTGCCTGCCAGATAATCAGTCCGAGGATCGGAATACATGAAGGCGATTGCGCACCGTTGAAGTGGGTTGTATCGATGTCGAAGCCTGAGATAGTCCCAGTGGTACCAAGTTTGATGATGACCCTATACAACGCATTAGCAGACAACAGGGAAGGTGATCAGATGCACTCGCCAATCATACGCGGGGTTGTGGCGCCGAGTCTCCCAACCGCTGTACAGCGCGCCCTTGGGCCCGAACTGACCTTTCAAGCTAGGCGCGGGCTTATGGTCGCAAACATGTGCTTTGAGCTCCTGACCTGTTCGCGGCCGGCGGAGTACGCACCTCAACAAGGAGCAGATGGAAGGCTTCAGCGAAGAATTCGTCGGAGAAGGAGACGATACTCGCTCCGGTGGCGACGCTTGAAAGCTCTGGTCATGCATCGGGTGAACTGGGGTAGGCGGCACACGACCTCGTGTTTGCACCGACCTGTATAGGAAGAGAAGACCTCGGCGAAGCGTTCAAGCGGCACACGTTCGTAGGACATCTTGATCAAGCTGAATGCAAGAGGATTGCAGACTGAGCCGAGAGGTGACAGTCGGAGAGACAGTTCGCCTCGGGGCCTTCACGCAAGTCAAGCTGCTGTCTTTCGCCATCGTTATCGGCGGGCCAGTCCGAACGTCCGTCGATCGCGACGGTCGAGATGGACGAACGGAGATAAAAGCCGGAGAAACGGGACGGCCAACGGAACAGAATTCGCGGAGGCAAAATACGAAAACGGCGAACGGCGGGCCAATCGTAGCCAATCGTTGCGCGCTGATGTACGTGTACATTGTGCATGGACGGTGACGTGCGAGTACTTTCGCATCTCTGGCGCGTATTCCGAGTCTAGATGGTCATGTATAGCATACGTGCTCGACCAGCACTCGTCATACCATAGTCGTATGAGGATAATGGGCGGCGCTTCATTGAGAGAGGCACGAAGCGTGGAACTGAAGCCACGCGAGTCGCCATCAATATGGAACCTATGATGCGCTGTTATCACATGCAATGGCTGGGCTACAGTGGCAGCATTGCTGCAGCGCGCAACTTGCATAAACCCATCACCTTCTCTGGCTTTTCATTACAGATCCTGAGGCCTGACACAGAGCTACCACCGTCGGTGTCTACGCTGTTGTCATGATCGACCACCTGGTTGGACGACCGAGCCCTTCGTGGAAGCGGCTGCAGGTGCGTGGCCAAATGCGGGGTTGAATAGCAGCAAGGTTCTGACCGACGTGTGGCTCCAGGTCTTTTTCGTCTTGTTCTTCTGGACTTGGAGGATCGTCTGGGGGGACTCTCGAGGGCCACGTCTGCTATGGATCAGGAAGCTCAACCGTCGCATAGGTACGAAGCCTCACAGTTCTGTATACAGCCAGTATCAAATTCGGTGATGTGTGGGGCTAACATGTGAATTGTGATCATCCAGGGCAGAAGTATACGCCTTGGCAGGTCGTCGTGAGCACGTTGACTGCTGTTTACTTCATACGCAACCTCGACAAAGTACTTGGGTTGGGAGGTGCGTTCCCGGATGGCGCCCATCGCACTGCTTTCTAATACCATTGGTACCTTATAGCACCTGAGCCGCTCGCGCGTCTGGTATGCCTTCTCGCGGCTGTTATGACCCTGAGAAGACTAATCTGGCCCTTGACCAGTACTCACCCGGCTACTATCGTGCAACATGGATCGTCACTGGACTAGACGCTGGCTTCGCCACAGCTATGAACATTCGTCCCAGATGGTTCCGCGATGTATGCTCCATCATATTCTCGGTATACTACATCATATACGCAAACGAAGCCGATGAGAAGGTGCGTGGTTCTCATACTTTTATCTGGAATTGTACGAACGCATCTGCTGCAGTTAAGAAGGTTCCGTGCCGTGCCTACTGTGGAGATGCTGAGAGCAACCTGGAACAAAACCTCCAACCCCATTGTGAGCGCGACTATTGCATGGTCGTACACTATATGGCTAACTAGATGCGCATATAGATACGTCTGGCGACTCGTCGCGAGCCTGTAGCCATGTGTCGCAAGATTCTCCTCGCGCGGCCTAGTAACTCGCCCTACAGTCGACCATTGACGCTACACCTGTTCTATAAGCCAAAGAACCCCGCGGATAATGCAGCTAAGGAGCTCGCTAAGCAGCAAGATCTCATCCTGGACTTTCCGGGCGGTGGCTTCATCGCCATGACACCCGAACATCACGATGAACGTTTGAGGCGTTGGGCGGTTAAAACCGGCAAACCTATCATATCGGTCGACTACGGAAAGGCCCCGGAATGTACGACCATTGAGCTATCAGTAGAGTGATATGACTGACCTCTGTCTAGATCCGTATCCTTACGCAATTGAGGAAGTTTTTGACGTCTATCGGGTTCTCGTGGAGTCGAAGGGCAAGGCAATCGGCATGTCTGGCGAGAAATTGAATGTAATCTTGACGGGCGATTCCGCGGGCGCACAACTCGCTGTCAGTGTCGTGATCAAAATACTCGAGCATTCGATCGCTACATCCGAAGCACACTCGATTTTCCCGCTCCCGTCGTCGCTTCCACCCCGTCCACTTCCTCTTCCCGTTGCTGTCGTGTTGAGTTATGCAGCGCTCGATCTGAACTTCACATCCTGGATGACTCCCGAGAACCTTCGCGTGCTGAGCCTGGAAACCGAAGCAGACGAGCGGCGGCCCCCTTCACGCACCCCGTCTTTCACTCGCAGACGTTCTTCCAGCTTCTTCTATGGCTCCGATGAAGAAGAGGATCGAAAGGATAGCTGGGTTGACACGGTTCGCGGGACGAAGGATCACCTGTCTCATGTCAGCCCGCTTGCTGTCGTTGGAGACGACTCCCCGCGCCGTAGGCGGGTGCGTCGGAAGAAGAGCTGGCGCGATTCCATTCGTGTGCTTCCGACGGTCACGGAGCCATCATCCTCGATTCCGGCTACAAAACCTCTCCGCACTCGCAAGAACTCGAGGCGCCATGTCATCGTCGAAAGTCCTGAAGAGGATGTTGAGGCTGATGGCGAAATGGGCGGACCTAACGACGACTACTTTGCGCATCTTCCCGAGGAGCAGAAGCCCATCAAGGCTCGCGTGCGCTGGAACTATGGTGGTGGCTACAGTCCGAGCTCTACCCCCCTGGCGAATACTCCATGCCAATCTCCCGCGATCTCACACCGAGCGCTCAAAGATCCACTGGGCCTTCAGGAGCAGGAGAAATTGGAGGCAGAGGTGGCTAAGGAGGACACGGAGGTAGCCAATGAACTCAAACGCGCCGGAGACGCTGCCAAGGAGGCGCCGGTCGGAACACTTCTGACCATGACCAGTCGTACCGGCTACTTCCAAGATCGCATCATATCTCCTAGCATGGTAGGCGCCTTGAATGATAAACTTTGGTGGCCCTCTGACAAGACACGCAGATGCGTGCAATGGCTATCCTATACATCGGTCCCCACCGAAATCCCGACTTCGCATCTGACTACCATATCTCACCCATCTTGACGCCGGCTCGCCTTTTGGCACAATTCCCGCCGCTGCTGATGCAGTGCGGCGAGAAGGACCCGTTCGTGGACGATACAATTATATTCGCCGGCCGCGTGCGCGAAGCGAAGCGTGAGCGTAAAGGCGAGCTGCGCAGCCTGATCGCAGACCGTCGTGCCGGACCCGCTTTCCGTCGTACAGAGGACTTGATGGCACTCGAAGACGAACTCGAGTCTTTGGAGGTTTCAGAGGAGGAAGACTGGGTCCAGATGTGCATCTTTCCGGACTGGAGCCATGGCTATCTGCAGATGCCGATGCTCATGAAGGAGGCTACGGAGGTCATTGATGACCTTGCCAAGTGGATTGACGGCGCCTTCGCGCTCGATCCTGCAGCCGGCAGCGCGAATGGAAGCTCTTCTGATACACCTTCGCTCGCCACCATCTCAGCAGATGCAACGCCACAGGGGCGTTCAGGTTTCTTCTCTTCACTTTGGTCCTGGGGCTCCAAGCCAGCGGTGGACAGCAGAGCCAGCGACGCGGTTCGTATCGTCGACCCCGAAGGGACGCGTCATGAAGTCGTCGAGCGCGAGAAGCGTGTGCGCAATGTTCTGCCATCCGAAACGGAGACTGAGGCAGAAGACATCATCACCTTCGTGCCCAAGGCGCGCCGCACCAGCTCCATTGGCAGTGCGAGTACTGAGCAGGGCGCCGTTTCCCGACGGTCCTTCCCGCCAACGCGGCGTTCGCCACCTCCCCTCGTTGCATCACCTGCGTCTTTGGCTTCGCCTCCACGAGCAACCCCTCGCCGCTCGTCGTCACGCTCTCGTACTCGTGACTCTGCCTCGCCACCGCATGCGGACGGTCTCTCGGGCAAGGTTGAGGCAGGAACCCCCAAAGGAGTGAGCACGCCTAGCAGGGCAGGCGTCATGGCACAGACCCTGACAGAAGCTGAGCTTGTCCGGCGACGCCGCTTACTAGATTCACATATCTTCCAGAGCGAGTCTGAGTCCAAATAGATACGTCCGGATCTGTAGTACTGTAAGTTTGTACATTAGTGCTGTATAGTCCCTCTATCTCACATAGCTGGACGCTGTCGATAGCATAACTGGACTGAAGATCATGGGTAATGTAATGTCATGTGAGAACTGAAAAGACAGCCGAACGGGAAGGTGAATGGGGCCATTTAAGATATAGTAATATTCTGGGCGCTGTAGAAGAAGTTTCCGGCAAGGGGGGCCCTGGCAAGACCAGTCTGTTCGGCGAAAGCAGTAAGGTTAAAGGAGAGCCGATCAGTCGGAATGAGCCCTTCTGCCTTCTCAGCAAAGGCTTCGGGTTCAGCATACAACAGGACGGTATAACTGATATCTCTCGTCAGCAAGGTCAAGATCGACTGCATGTGATACACCCACCGATGAGGAGCTGAACCGGTGGGCGGCGCAGGCGAGACATAGTCGGCCAGTGCGGGCGTCGAGTTTGTCAGCGGTGCATATATGCTCAGGTTGCCACTCGGGCGAAGCCCGTGTGCAAGATGGTGCAAAACATTGGCCACCGAGGCATTACCCGGCGTTGGTGCGTCGGGGTCGAGCACGAACAGGACAAATGACTCGGTGGAGTTGGTGATGGTAGGCGCCTTGTAGGTAAGTAAGTACTCGGGTTCAGCCGCCACTTCTGCATCGGATGTCAGCATCGACTTCGGATTCAGGAGGAACCACAGGCTCACGCTCGACTGTGAGATTCATGCCGGCGTTTGGGATGAAGCTACCGTTGCCTGCATTGGACGGGTATGATAGATCCAAAAGCGCAGAACTGGAGAACTCCGGAAGCAGGTCGGGCACCAGACCCGAACTCTGGAAAGCAGCATCAAGACCATCCGTGGTGTGTGCAGCTGTGGCGTTTGAGCCTGAGAGGAAGAAGGTGCCTGCCACGGGCTCCTCCAGTCCCGTCGCCAAGGTGAAGTCATCGAGAGACCAGGCGATATAGCTCGTATTGTCGACGAGTGGCGTCGCAATGTCTACGAAGTCAAACGGCTGATGGTACACCAATGTCGTGTATCTAATCGGTGAGCTCGATGAGCATGTTCGCTATGTATGCGATGTGGCAACATACCGATGAGGCGCAGAACCGTCAGGCGGATTGGGCCGGATGTACTCCCATAGGGCAGGTGTCGAATTGACGAGTTTGCCGTCCGCATCCGGCTTCATGTTAGGTGCGACGAGATGGCGAATATTGGCGTAGATGCGGTCTTGAGGAGTGCGCGCGTCCGGATCAGATATGATGACCACGTAGACTTGGTCGGTGCGGTTGTCGGAGATCTCAGGCAGGTAGAACGTGGGCAAAGAGGCCACCTCTGTACCATGTAGTCAGAACCAAGATGATCGTCAAAGGCAATAGGGTGTTCTCACGTGCCGGTGCTAACCCGTCGCCAATGGAGACAGTGGTGTTTAGACCGGGGAACCGAAGATCCAATGAAGTCCCAGCGAAGGAAGGAATGAGATCTGGCACAATCCCCGAAGCCGTGAAGATGTCGCCGTATGTACTGGTAGAATTGCTTGGATAAGCACCAGCACGTAGTGCAACCATCAGGAGCCCCAAACCAAAAGTCCGAAGACAAGCCATGTAAGCCAGTCCTTGTCGCCTAAGCAGAGAGAGGGCTGTCGATGCGAGTGCTCGAAGAGCCCTTTTTATGATACAACCGCAGCTTCTCGCATCACAAGCAGAGGTGGGGGCCCATATGGTCGCGTGAGCTCGAATTCAGCTGTATGTGGGTCCCGTACATCTGCACATTGGCCGCGCGCCGCTGTCGTTGTTACCGGAAGTCGTTTGTGGTTGACGATGTGCAATAGCCGCCACTGAGCGACGTTGCCGTGGATAAGGGGATTTTTAACATGTGCCAGGGGGAAACGACCCTTCGCTATGCACCGGCAGGTACTGTATTTCGATTAACGATTGCCTGTAAACCCGGAGTCGGGGAGGTCGTGCGTGTCGGCCAAGACGTCAGAAGTCGCAGCTGAGGTATTGTCTGACGGGCGCAGATGTGGCGCTGTGGTGGCTGTCCTTCCAGAGCGCGCAGGCTTCGCCGAAGCGCGGAGAGGTTGTGGAAGACTGGAAGTTGAGCCACACGGGATAGTGTGGGTACCGTGAGCAGGTTGATCGGCCGGGGTCGGCGTTCGGCAAAGTGCGCGCGCCTGCTGTTGAACTTGACCGTGATGGTCTACCAATCCATTGCTGATGACAATATGGACCGCATTGAAGAGCCGTACGGGGGAATCAATTACTTGGCGCGTTATACTCTCAAGCTATGTCCATGGGATTGTCGCAATCGACAAGTGTCAAGGCGCAATCCCGCCGAACTTCGAGTCGCAGAAACCCCTTGGAGGATCAGATTATTACTGCAAACAGCCTATTTGCTCGTTACTTATCACTGTGGCCCATATGCGTATCTCCACCAGCCCTGCTACTGGTGACCTTGTACAACCATGCGAAGCTCGACTATCGGCCGGAGCACCTCTTCACCTCACGATCGTCTCCCACTCCGGATTTCCATTCACTCACCATCTCCGGGAATCTGCAGTAGCCGGCGCATTATCCGCGTCCATGGTGTACTACGTTGTATCTGACATTGTGCACGCCCCAATCCGCTCGGAAAGCTGCCGGGTACTTCCTCTATATCATACTCGAAACAATGACGGCCGCCGTACTGGCCGCCGCTTTCAAAGGCACAAGACCAGTCGCGCAGCTTAACTATAATAATCCGTCGCCTATCGTTGGCTTCGGGGCAGGACCAGCCCTTTGCTAGCCTTCAGGCCTGCGAGAAAACTGCTGTCTATCTACGAGCGGCAGAGACCGACGTTCACCTGGGATTCCCTCTGTCCACGGGACCGATGCAGACCCTTCTTGCACGGCGCTCGTCCCGATGTCTGCATCCCAGTTCTGATGATCCTGGCCACTCTGACAGGCCAAGGGGACGCGTGCGCTCATTGGACAGATCGATAGCCATCTACTTACACCTATATCCTAAACACGGCTATCTATTGCCTTGCGCGCACTTGAGCGTCCGACGGACACTCTATATGTACATGCGGTTCGGAGCGGTTGACTCGTGGGGACGATAGAGCTGCTTCGTTAATGAAGCAGTTCTCAGCGCCTACACCGGGTTTCTCGGAACGGGTGTGTGGAAGTCTATCCGATGGAGGCTGTGCGACGAGAACGTTTGCTTCTTTCCGCTCCTCGCCCACGAGCTTGCGAGCGCCGTGTCAACTAGAGAGGTGTACATGGGGCGCAGCGTGTACGTGTTAGCGTAGGAGGCCAAACCCGTGCTAGTTGAGAACGTACCGATATAGTCACGAAAGATAAGCATACGCCGGGCATGAAAGTATTGAACAGAACGGGGTATGAGGCCGGAAGAGGGTGATCTGCACGTCTGCACAGCTGATCGAGCTTCGAGCGGAAAGCTCTGAGCCCTCCGCCAACTTGGTCCGCGCCGTCATCTCGTTTCAACAACGTGCTGGTGTTTGGGCGCTCTGCGGCTGCGATATCAGTTTACCATCGACTGACGATTGCCGCTGCTGTCATATTGAGGTTGTATCAGAAGCTGGCGTCCTACAACAGCACGCAGCGCGTCCAAGCCCGGTAGAAGCGCGCCCGTTGAGAAGCAGGGCAGGGCGTCCGGACCCCTTTAAAGCGCTTCCCTCTCTCGCGCTCTCCCGACTTTTCCTTCGGGATCGGACGCTGTCAACTGTCTATCTCCTCGCAACCGGTGCGCGCCCTCTGACCATTGTCTTACTCGTGCTGACCCCCTCTGACCGCACTTGGCAGTCCTGTTCAGGGGTGTACTGGGTCATTGTCAAACTGGCACGCTCAAACCTGTCTTGATCATATCGACGCACGCACTTAAAACGTGTTCCCTGTTATCGCTCAGTCGCTTCTACTGTCTCAGCCCGCAACCCCTCGGCAGGCTGTTAAATCCGCGCTTGTCTGTCGCGCGCCCACCATGTCCTTGCCATCTGAACATGGTCCAAGAGCACCGCCGCCTCGTTACATATGGGAAAAGCCGGGATCTGATACAAGGAGACCCTCAGAAGCACGAGTCAAGGATGGGGACGCGTATATGAGTGGAGGCCCTGACCGTCGCCACTTAACCATCTCTACGTCTTTTCTTGACGTCCCCCGACAACGCTCTGCACGGCACTCGGACTCGTCACAGGGCCCGTCACCTCTTCTCGGTCCTGAAGAGCTATCGCCTTTTTCGCGCTCACCATCTTCTGAAGACGAACTAGAGGACGACAGTGCCAGTCCGCCACCACTCTCAAGTTATCCAGCTTCCCCGGTGGACGCTCCACCTTCCACATCTCCGATGGTCATGCCACCAACCAGCAGGACGTTTGCCATGAGTTCCTTGAATGGTCCTTTTCTGCACAACAGGCTACCGCCTCTCCAATTGCCACCGTCAAACCCTGGTTCGGGTTCCGAGCTAAGCCCGCAGGCGTCTTCGCTCTCACCGCATTCCCGGGGCGCAAATCCTCCTTATCCTTCCCCCACGACGCGCCGGGAATCCGTTGCCACTCAGAGTCCCCAATCGCCGTACTATGAAGCGCATGGTGCTCTCGTCTACAGCCACACCTCCGGCAATCCCGCCTTCTCGCCGCTGTCTCCCCTACCACCTATCAGGGAGATTAAACGAGATACTGTTACAACCACTGCCACGCAGGCCGCCAGTGCGAACAGGCGTCGCAATGAAGCTCACTTTTTGTGCCCTGTACCCGGCTGTGGGAGCACCTTCACCAGGAGGTTTAATCTCAGAGGTACGACTGACATGCACTTGTCGCGGTTTCTTCAGCTGACTATCGCTCGCAGGACACATGAGGTCGCATCTGGAAGAAAGACCGTTCGTCTGCGAATGGCCTGGGTGCAATAAGTCGTTTGCGCGACAGCACGACTGCAAGTGCGTGTATACAGCTGAAAGCGTAAGATTGTAAACCCATAAAGGTATCATTCAGGCGCCATACCGCACTCCACACCATGAAACCCAAGAATAACGCATGTCGAGGATGCGGCAAGTCCTTTAGTCGCCTGGACGCTCTGAACGTGAGTGCAGCGCCCGAAGCATCGTTTCTGTATTCGTGCTGATAACGCCGTATGTTTCTAGCGCCACTGTATGTACTCGTGTTGTTCCACCTGTCTTCCGAGCTCTCCTCTGACAGTATCATACAGTGCGGTCTGAAGGGGGCGCCGATTGCCGTCTCGCGCTCGGGCAATCACTACCGTCACTTTCTGCGGCGCTCTCCTCCGGGAGTTCTGACTATGCGGAGCTCATGCAATCCGCAACTTCATTCCAGGGGCCACCTCCCGTGCTCCTGTCTTCTGATCCTCACCGTCCGCATTTACACAGGGTCAAAACAGAACCAGCCCCGGACGACGATCTCACGCTTGCACCTCTCTTGTCGCCACTGGGAGATCGCAGCGGCCCTGCATCCGCATCCAGTGATAGCGCGACATCAACCACGACGATATCTCCTGCCACCAGTCCCTCAACTGCCCTCACCGGATCCCCAACCTCGTCATTCTCTCAGCCCAGGAAATAAGACATGCCTGTCACAGCCCTATACCCCAATACTGTACCCTGATTCCAGTGTCATCACTCTTTGGCGCCGTAATGAGCTCTCCTATTGTTGTATTCTGGTTCACCAGATGTGTATTACTATGTACGATATTCCTTGTGGGACGCGGCAGTCTTCGCATGGTACTTGTTTCACACGATCTCCATCCCATTGTATCACTATATCGCAGCAAATAGCATACACGGTTCGGACGATGTGCATGTCGCAGTCTTTCATTTGATGGTTTTCGAGTGTTTGTGGGCCACGTGGAGCGTGGGGAAAAGCGCGGTCGCACAATCGTGTGCGAGTCGTAGTCGGCCGCATCTTGCGAAGTGCGTCCACCGTTCACGCTGGCGACGAGCTGCCACACATCATGCTCGAGACGGACACGCGCAAGCGACCGTCGCAGGACCCTATTGCCCCACCTCCGACCAAGAAACGTGCATTGACGGGAGAGAATGGGTCGCCTATATTGGTCAACGGCAATGCGCCAGCGACGCCGTCGCCAGATGGAGACGAGCCCAGAGACCAGGATAACCTCGAGGTTTGTGTGTGTGTTCAATATAACCACTATGTTTCTGACATTTATCCGTTCGTTCAGCAATTTCGCAAGGAGGCTATATGGCGACGCATGAAACACTACTCGCGTGAGGTCGAACGAAGTAAAGCGCGCGTGACAGAGCTTGAGCGTGTCAAGACATCCTTCGAAGCCAGTCTGGCAGCGATAGGATCGAGCTGGGGCCAGGTGCGCCATGACCCGACTCGGCGTCGATGCAATTGTCAATATTGATATATCAGATTATCAACGTTGTCCAAGATTTGAGTGGTCAAGTCGACGCGAACGGAGTGCATGCGTCAGCGGAAGGTAAGCTTCATAACAATACCCGCCGGATATTGCTCACCCACATCAGAGTTGCTCGACCTGGTTAGACCTGATCCTGCTGTCAAGACTGAAGACCTGGCAGAGGTTCTGCATGCCAAGGCGGAGGCGACGAAGGCATTACTGTCCGGGTTAAGTCGAACGTCCGCACCGGATGACGTCCGACAGAAATATCATGCCGCGCAATCTGAAGTGCGTCTAGCTTTTGTCGGTCACGTACAAAGGCGCTGAATGTATATTTAGCTCACCGCACTGCGTTCACAACTCGCCGTTTCTCAAGGAGCGTTGAAGGACACACGTACGCAACGCGATGAATTGCACCGAGAATTGCGACTGGCCCAGACACGCCTTGACCGCGAAAGCAGCCGAACCGTTCGTGCGAACAACCCCCGAAGCGCGTCAGATGCCCCAGAAGATGCGAACGGCGATGTAAAGCAGGAAACGACGTCAGCTACAGCGACGCCCGTGCGTGCAGTGAGTGGTCGCTGTTTTGTGGTGTGAGCATACCGGTTCTGATTTATATTCTCATCTGACATTTATCTAGTCTCCATTGCCTGCTGTCGAAGGAAGTGAAGACGTACAGCGCTTGCGCGATGCTTGCGAGGCAATGCATGCCTCAAAGACCAGCCTTGAGCACGAACTTGTCAAGTTACGGGACGAGCTTCACTCCGCGAAGGCCGACGCAACTCGCACCGTCAGTTAACTTAATTACTAGCTCCAAGTGTCTACTCAGGCTCACTACTCGTTCCAGGCTTCCAATCTGAGCGAAGAGCAAATTCACTCGAATCCGTTCTATCAGGCTGCCATTTCGAAGGCGGCAGCGCTCGCAGAATCGAATCGGGAGTTACACGAGACATCGGATGAACGCATGCGATTCATCACGTCGCTACAAGCCAAATATGAGGAAGACCTTTCGACGTATGAGGTTCGCCCATTGCTACGCTCATAACGCGGACACGTGCTCATCATGACGTGGATAGGCTGACAGCAAGAAGATGGAGCAGAATCTGGTAGCGCTTGCTGAGAAACGGGATGCGGACCTCGCACGTATTCGCGGAGTTCGTGATGAGATTGCTGCGCAGAATAGGGAATTGAAGGCGCGGGAAGAGCTCAGGCTCCGTTCTGTCGACGAGGTGCAGAAGCTTGCGGATACGCGTGCTGTGTGTATATATTTTCTCCGTTTGGGGGTGTTGTATTAACCGAAGTTGCGATATAGGCTCGCATCGAGGTTCTCCTGTCAGAATTAGCGCGCGTAAAGAGCCTTCTCGCCGCTAAGGCCGGCGACGAAAGTTTGGCTGCTTTCCTGGCGGCTGAGAAATCAGGGGATATTACATACGTTGAATCGCTCAAGGAGCGCCTGTCGTGCGTCATCTAGGCTTTCTCTCTTTACCATATCTGACTTTTGGAATCAGACAAGCGGAGAGCGAGGCGACAGCAATGCGGGCGACACTCGAGTCCCTAGACCTCGAGCGCCCAGACCTTGCATCGCATCTCCGTTCAGAGGCGGAAGTTCGTGAACAGCTGGCAGAGGCCAACGACCTCCTCTCTCGCTATCGTGCCACATATGGCGAATCTTCGTCTTTACCGCCTCAGACGCGCGAACTTTCGGAACAGCTTCGACGTAAGGAAGAGGAGCTCAAGACCTTAAGGCTCCAGGATTCACAGCGCGAGCAGGGCGAGGCGGCGCTCTACAGCGAGCTCGATACGCTCACGACAGCGTGGGAAGGCGCCGAGCAACAGCTGAAGAGCAAGGTGTTGGACTTGAAAGGAATGGAGGAGCAAATGCGCCGAGTGGCTACAGACGTACGCCGTTCTATCTGTCTCATGTTGAGCGCCACTGACATTCGTGTAGAAAGCGAAGATGGAGAACAAACTCTACGCCGCTATGAATGCCAAGGACGCTGCTGTTTCTGAAGCAAAGGCCCTGAAGCGTACGAATGACAAGGAACAGAAGGTTATCGCCACGCTTCAAGAGGCAAAGAAAATGCAGGATCAGCTTATCGTGCGTTTGATGCATTGCACGTTTCGGCGTGTTTACTCACATGCGGGTGCTATCAGACGCAAACCAAGTCCACTCTAGCCAAAGCAGAAGCGCATGCGAATCTACTTACCAAGCGTGAAATGGATGCGAAGCGCAAGCTCTCCGAGCTCGAAGTCCAGCTCGCGCAGGCGAACATACACGCGCAGAAGGCGAATAGCATGTACAAGTCGCTCAGCCAGGAACATGCACATAGCGAACGCCTACGCCGCAAAGCCGAGGAGCAATTCAAGATTACGCAGAAGGAGACTGAGCGCGTTAAGGAGACCCTCAAGAGCCGCCCGGAGTCGTCCTCCCAGAAAGAGGAGAACCTCAAGGCTGAGGTTGAGTCGTACTCGTCGATCCTCAGATGTTCGACCTGTCGGCAGAACATGCGCTCAGTCTACTTGGCTAAATGTAGTCACAGTACGTCCATTGCCCTCCGTTGCTGCTATGATCACGTCACTGACTTGTTCCACTTCAGCCTTCTGCAAACCGTGTATCGACTCACGATACGCTTCACGACAGCGCAAATGCCCCAGCTGCCAGCTTGCTTTCGGACAGGCCGATATTCAGACATTATATTTCCAATGAACTCGGTTGTCACGCTGCTTGTGTCTTATTCCGTCTTCGCGATCTTTATTGTTTTACACTCTCGTTGTATTCTGCTCATGCGCAATATCACTTCATACTCAGACCAGCTGGTAGAATTTAAGGCTATCTACAGGATGTCTGTGAACTCTCGGGGTAGCGCGAAGATCTCCCCGTCCTCCATGGCATGAGCGTTGGCTTCGGCGTCGTCTTCCCCAGTCAAGGAGTCTGCCTGCAGTAGCCCTTGGCATTCGAAACGGTCTCCCAAGACCTGGCGAATCTTCGCCTCCCAATCGCTCTCAACTATACACTCCGCTGCGCTGAAACTTTTCAACGCAGGACACCGTGCTACGGCACTTCTGGCGGCCTGTCCGAAACACAGCAAATCCAGGCGCTCAAAGCGTAGTTCGCGCAGATGGGTAAAGTCGTGAACCGAGTCGAGGAATTCCTCCAGTGCGACTTGCTCGAATGTTCGCGAGCCACGAATGACAATGCGATTCAGGGCGGGTATCACTTGAGAAAAGGCTTGCCACGACGGCCAGATGGACAATGCTTGAAGCGTAGGGTGTGTAAGCTCAATACTTCGCACACGCGAGGACGGCATGCCCTGCAGGGTCTGAAGTAACATGCTCAGACCCGTGGTGGGGCTTGTCATTCCATCCGGTCCAGCGTAGATAGCACTGAAGGCGAGGAGGTCAGCCAGTCCGGCGTCGTCTATGGGCTTCGAGAGCACCAGGGAGACAGCAGCGCTCTGAGCGGTCGCATATTGAGGACCCGCAGATGCGATGCGTAGGTGCGTATACGACGCGATGCCGCTGACGCGACCTTTCAGATGGTACTTGGAAAGCGCGTCGAGTGCATCGACCGGGTTGAAGGAGTAGCCCTGGCCAACAACGTTATGAGGGCCGTTGGTCTCTATCGCTCGGATGTCGAGTGTGGTAGAAAGTGGTATCGAGAGCCAGCTCAAGAACGCTCTGATCTGCCGAGGCCCATCTTCCATGCGCACGTATTGAAGATTGTTCGATAGCGCTACGGGAAACAAGTCACCGTGCGCGGTCGAGGTGGGCTTCACGCGTGTTTCTCTTTGAACACCGTCCTCCAGAACCAGACGTTGCAGCGATGGGAGTAGACCAAGTAGTGCGATCAGAGGTGGTTTGATCCCGACAAGTTCAGGTTCTGGCTCTTCGAGGCCGATGTTCGATCTGACCAGCGCGAGTTCCGTGAGGCTCGCGCGGAACAGAGGTGCAAATGGGGATGCCCAGGAGTCGTATAGAATGACTTCGTATAACAAGGTAGGTGTCTGTCCCTGAAGTGCCTTTTGACCCAAGACGCCGTATACGAGAGTGAGTGTGCGAAGAAGGGGCGCTGGCTTCTCCTCGAAGCGTTTGATCGCGAAAGCGCAGCTGGAAGGGTCGGACATGCCTGGATGTCCAACGACAACATGCTGTGCGCGAGGGAGCTCTGCGAGAGACAGGTATGCACTCTGCCTCGGGTGTGCCGCGGTCTCCGTGTAGCGAGGGAACGCGTGGAAAGAGACAGGTTGATCTTGCGCGTATTTAAGAGCATGTTTGGTCAGCTCTGGGTGTTGTTGGGGAAGATTGGAAGCCCATAGCTCAGGGAGTGCATATGCAAGGCTACGCCATAGCGAGCTGACTTGGGAAACTATCATACAGGCCGGACGGGTAGGTGCAGGGGAGGTGGCGAGGCTTCCAGGTGGGGAGCATACAAAGCAAAGAATGACCATGAGGATTTCTGGTGGTAGAACATCGTTCAAAGACGTCGAAGGGATAGCTGTGGGCTCTCTTTGCGTGCCCTCCTTCTGTAGAACGCCTGGCCCATTCAAAGTCTTCTTCACGTTCGTCGGGCTCGACCAGAAGATAGATGACCATGCAGCCGGGTTCAGTGTCATTACGAGTTTGTCCCACACTACAAGATCGTTCGATGCTGCTGGTAATGCTATCGAGCAGGGGACGAGCGCACCAAAGAGATGCTTTCCGCTATGAGGAGTCCAATCAGTCTCGTATATAGGCGGCTTGACACGGAGATGACGGTAGAGACGAAGTTGCGTTCGGCGACTATCCGATTTTCCCGCGCTCGTGCTATGCCATCACGAGCGATTGTACGGCACGTACTTCTAATCAAAGTGTGAACTACGGGCGATCTCACAACGTGAGTAGGTCCTTGTATATCTCCTCCACTTCCCAAGCCCCTGCCCAGTATTTGATCTGGCACTGTAACCCCTCCTGCTTTCCCTCTTTGAGAATGCGCTTCTCCAGACCTCTATACGCCCTGCAGAGAACAAGATCCTGTCTATCCAAGGGATGAGCAGCAGTCAGAAGTAGACGACGGAAGAGTCTTACTTGCGTAGTCGTAGGATAGGGCAGAAGTCGTTTGAGCCATCCCCGACATAGATGATACGATCGAAATCCTTTCCGTGGCGCTTGAGGAAGGCTTCGAGCTCCTCCCCCTTACACATATTAGGCTGACATCCAATCTTGCACGAGTGCTGAGGACCAGATGGATCGACACGTCGACGAAGATTCAGTAAACCGGAATCCTCCCACGTCGCCGGGTTCGTGATGATCTCTACGAAAAGATCCTCAAGACCTTTGTCCTGTGTGCGAGAGTGAGACCCTAGGGTGTAGTGAAGTATGTCTAGGACCTTCTACCTTCAAGATTGTGTCGATGTAGACGGAGTTAGAGTTCGATAGGCAGAGGAACGTAGTTTCCGGTTTCGCAGCGGCTTTCACTGCCTTGACGCCACGAACCATTGCAGGGTGCTTTCATCGAATTACGACTGAAGACAAGTGGGTTTGTAAAAACACTCACGAATGGCATTATCCTGAGAGCATCCTTGATCTGATCTGGTGTGGTTCCGCGCGCATGGAGTTCACGCAGCGATTGAGCTCTGCAAGAGATCACTCTGAGTAGCACTAGAGACCGGTAATCATTGTGCACCGTACACAAGATCGGTCCACTGGACCTCATCCTTTAGGCTCTTCATCTTGCGACGAAGATCTGGCGCGAGAACTTCCAACACCCAGCGATCGGTGTCCTGGTCCGCAAGTGACCTGTAACGGCCCGCGCTATCTATCCCACATTTCGCACAGTAGAAGGAAGACAAGACGTACCAGTCGAAATCGTAGATGATAAGTTGTGTCGCTATTGTGTCGGTCATGTTCGGGGAGGAGAGATGATAGGTACGACTGCGGTGGTGGAAGTGGTGGTGGGTGTGTGGAACGAAAGTGGGGGGAAATGTATTCAACAACGTTCGTTCAGCGGCTTTTAGGGCCGATGGCCCGATGCGCGCGGATCGTCTTCGGCCTAGCCTTGCACTCGGACGGCCATCGTTTCATACGTGTCGACAGTATGCAAAGTTCACAGATACGCTCGTTGAATGCCAGCATATGTGTACGCGGAAAGCTACTATATAGTGTTCCGGCCAGCGAACCGTATTTCCTGGGGTACGCTTAGTCCATGCCTCCTTCCAATTCTCAAAGACACTGAGAATAATCTGAGAACGAATGAACCCGTCAGGACACAAGCGCGAATCTTCACACAAGACGTGATACTCACAAGTATTCGAGAAAGTACACGTAGAACCGGACGCGCAAGTTGCGCAACCCGTGAAGCCTGATTCAAAACGAGTACGTTGAGCGAATGTTCTCGGCAGCCTTAAGAATACGAGCTCACCTTGCCCGGCGCACTGCCCGTACTTCGCAGTAGTGCATCCCGTACTACCCCCCGTTCCACTTCCACTTCCACTTCCACCGCCAGTGCTGCCTCCCGTTCCGCTTCCGCCCCCAGTGCAGTCGCTACTTTCTAATGACGCCTCTTCGGACAGCACAAACGTTGCCATCGCGTGTCCAGGAATGCTAGCAGTGGTCTGTCCGTCGGTAAACGTCACACAGAGCGTACCGAAGTCTGTTTCTTGAGCTGAAACGAAGGCGGAAGCCGAGTTGGGTGTGAAACCGCTGGGTACGACAGTGACGCTCTGCTCGGATGCGCCAGTGTTGATAACCTGGACTGACACTGTCCCGTCGACGTTCTTGAACGCGGAGAATTTCAGGTTCGTGCCGGTTCCAGAGGTTCCGATGCGGACAGCGCCGGGGCGTACGAAGCATGACCATTGGGCGAAGGCCCATAGACGCTAGTAGGGACAGTGAGCACCTATACGTCTGCACGCAATCGAATCACAGATTCCTTCGAAGCGTACCTTAGACGCCTGGGGCGTAGTGCCAGAGATGAGAACGAGGGCCGAGTTAGTTGTGCCGATCTCAGCGCCTACATGAATGTCAGACGGAATGCCGCGTATCGAGGTAACACAACGCACCCTCCCAGTAGAGGTAAGCAGAGACATTCGCATTTACGATGGCCGTGTAGATGTTGTTCGCCCAGGTCAAGCCTTCTCCCGCAGCACCACTACTGTACCAGTTGTTCGGTGAGAAAGATCCGTCGAGATCGGCGGTCTCCGTTTCCCAAACCTTCCGCGTGGTCTTCATGGGAGTGCTAGGGCTTGAAGAGTACGAATGCGATGTGATAACGTCCACAATGTCCTCGACACCGGCCGAGATAAGCCCCGCGGTCAATGTGGTTTGCGCTGACCAGCCTGTGGCGTCGCAGCAAGTGAGTTGGACATCAACGCCCGAGCTCTGAACTGTAGAGTGGAGGACCTGTTCATGAGGTGAGATCAGTGCATACACACCAAGGTGATACGACGATGAGCTACCTTCAAGAAGTCCGCGGCTTGCTGCCCATTGGAGTTCATGGACGAGTACGATGTCCTGTGATGCAACTTAGACACGGCATATCAAAGAAGACGGAGATCACTTACGTGTAGTCAGGTTCATTGAGGAAGCCCAGATGCGTAACAGCGATGCCAACCGAAGCATAGTACTTGACGTATTGAACAAGGAAGTTAGCATACGCTTGTTTCCAATCTCCGCTGGAACACGTCTCGCCAGTGACGCCGCAGAGGTAGCCGCCACTGTTTTCGTTGTTGTTCGTCTTCATGAATGCTGGCGCACTCCAAGCGTCCGCGTAGAACGTGTCGACGCCGTAGCTTTGAGCCTGTTGACTGAACCAGACCTGACCGGAGTCATTCCCATCCCACACATATTTGGGCGTAGCGGTAGGTGACCCTGGGCTAGTTGGCTCGATGCTGTCTCCTGTACCACCAGACCCAACCCGGTTGCGCAGGATCGTCATGCCAGCACCAGTAGACGTGTTGAAAAGAAGATCAAGCGTCTGCTTCTGTTGTGCCGCCGGCAGATTCTTGACGTCGTTGGCACGACCAAACGCCTGCGAGAAACCGAAGCCGTCCATTTCTTGAAAGGTTTGTTCGCTATTGACGGTGACGGTGACAGCAGAGGTGCCCAAGATGCGCCCGAGCAAGAGAAGTGTCCCCCATGCAAAGAGATTAGACATAGCTGAAGAGGGCCAGGAGACAGAAGCCGCACGGTATGGTACAACTACTGGAGGTCCAGCTTTTGAAGGTGGCCACAACCGGCCATCTGAACCGTAAAGTCCGCCATTATTTCGGGAATACGTCGTAACAATAAACAAGTACAAATGCCATACTTCTTCAAAGCAGGTGCCCAACAAGCTCTTCGTGACCGCGCAAAGAACGTAGGCGGGATTCCCGTTAAAGTTCGGAGGACTCTAGTTCCTGGAACTATATCAGTGCTGAAGTCATGCCGCCGGGATATGGGCTGGATATCGCGCCCATTGGGTCAGCTCAGAAGGCTGTAGTGCGCTGGAGGTCGCCGTCAGGAACCGGAATCACCTCAGTCTAGACTGGGTGTGTAGAATGCACTCACTTGCCCTTTCGTCGCGTATTACCGCACATCTCCTAGCACAGCAGAACCGATCGTGGATCTTGCCGCCTCTGTATTCAAAACCGTTGAACTCTGTTGAACTACCTCATTTCGCCGAGACTGGGTCATGATCGTAGCACGAGGTATGCGATTATAAGCGCACCCGCATCATCTGACATCCCGGACTTTCGCCTCTGAATCGAGCACATTGTATGTGCTCGATATGCGATACTATTCTCATAGGCGAGTATCTCAAGGACTTAAACTGGACTTGCGCGCGGGTTATATGGCGGGCCGGGCGGGCCTGATTCCGCTGCCGGAGCACCATGTAAGAATGGTGGCAGCCCTACGCCTTGTCATAGCACTTGCTCCTGCACAGCGCAAGGATATCAGGCCGCTGTCCCCGGAGTCCTAAAGCAGCCGCGTCGCCGGAGATCGGCGCCTTCCTCGACCAGTAGTTTGATACCGATTATGGGGTGAATCTGGGATCTGGGAGCTGCCGCCCGAGCGCGCTGCAGTGACTGATGAGATATTTGGCGACTATGAAGTCGAGTCGTCGTTCGTGCATGTTCAGGTCAAGTTAACAAATACGCCGCGACAGGGTGCAGAATGATACTGGTAGGGTGCATATGTAATCGGTTGCTCATGGAAGTCAGAAGCAGGCCGCAGCGAACGTGATCGGCTGATAACGGGGGCTATCTCCGACGCCGTGCTTTGACGTCGACGCCAACGTTGTCCGCTGCGACTGCAACTTCGTCGCACCCGAACATGACGCCCTCCAGCTGCCATTTGTATCCCTTGCACGGACTATAGACCTCCTTTCTCTGCACCGGGCCGTGGCCTTCACCACACGTTATCTCGGTTTCAGGCTTACTTGTCAACTCGTCTGGCCGAGGACTGCTGAGCGCTGAGCATGGATGCAATAAATGTGTCAAGGTTCTGATCGAAGTCTAGACAGCATTCCCCTCGGTGTGCAACAAGCTTTGGAGAAGCTCTCTTAAAGCTATATACGGACAGCGATCATCCCGGCGACCCTCCGTCACCTTCCACGACGATGTCCGACTCTGTTCAATGGGTTACCATATTTTTTTTCAAGGAGTTCGTCGACAAGGCGCAATTACAAGCTTTCGAACGATTTCGCGGGGCCTTTCAGAAGCAATGGTGTGTCGTATCAAATATTGCCTCGTAACACTATGGCTAAGACGGTTATCGGAGGGGCCATCTCTTCAGCGAGCACGGCCAATGGCATGGGCGAGAAGTTGGCAAGCGCGAGCGGCTGTGGGAGGTTATTTGTGAGTTTATCCACCGGTGGTCGACTACGCCAAACGTATAATGAATGTTGCCGACCGCCACCTATCAGTCTGGAAGGACAAGCATAGCGATGAGCTTTGTCGATCCGACCCAGTCTTCCAAGCATTCGAACGCGAATTCTTCGCAAAGGTCGCCCCCATCGACCAGATCTGGGCCGGTCTGCCAGTTCGAGGGACACCCTTACATCAAGTCCTTGCGGCAGGCGTAGTCCTACTAGGCTATTACAGCCTTACGCCCGCTCAAAGCCCCTCCGGCTTCGACAATTTGACGCAGCAGTTTTTGGATCAGTTGGACTGTCCTGGATGGCAAGGCATGGCCTACATCTCGGCCGCTGATGCTTACGGAGAAGCTCTTTCGATGGGTGCATGGGATAGCATAGAGGTGGGCCGTTATGCCAACTTCTGACTAATGCATGTGTGCTGACATTGACACCAGGCTAGCGCGCAACTCGGTGCTGACGGTCGCTTCGTTGATTTATTAGCCGAAGCGAACGATGCATTCGACGCAATGAACCGCACCTTCATGGCTCATGTGAAGTTTCAGAAACATGTCATGTAGTAGCTCACACATTATTGGACGCCAAGTGTACATATAGATTATACCCCTATGCAGTTGATTAATGTTGGACGGATTCGAGCGTTGAAGGAAGCATGGTCTTTAGGCAGTACTGTAGTCTTTCATCGAACCCTGAGTGCGTGGCTGATGCGCCGCTCAGAGTCGTCAAAGCTAAAGCGCCCACAGGTTCAATCGACCTTCAGCGCGTCAGCGTCATCGTATTCGCACTACACATGTATAGGGCCCTCTCGGTTTGTGCCTCTGTACTGAACTTGCCCATATGTTCGCGTACCGGGCCGCACGCTCCCCGATATTTGATCACTGTTGGCGCCAATTAATCATTCGACATCTCTGATCGAAGAGTCGAGAATCACACCCCCGCAGCGCTGGCCTGTTCTCTAGGGGGTTTGGCTGGGTTTGGCTACCGGCCACCACCACCACTGTCACGTTCTCATACCCACTTACAGCCATGGCTGCTCCTCCTCAAGAGAGAGTGACCGTCTTCTTCTTCCAAGAGCTTACGGACAGCTCACAGTTACGGATCTTCGAAGATATGCGCAATGCGTTCCGGGAAAGATGGTGCGTTCTGTATGTCTTTATTATGCAGCTCGATCATGACCTCAAGTTTGTAGGGGTCATCTTCTGACGGAAGATGGACAGTGGTGGGGACGGGAAGTGGGGAAGCATGAACGCGTGTGGATGGTTGTCTGTGAGGCTCGACGTTCTTGTGGCTCGCGCTTGTCGCGGTATTGATGTTGGCATTAATTGTCAGTTTGGAAGGACGAGCATGGTTGGGAGGCGGTCCTTTCTGATCCAGCATACCCGGTGTTTGAGAAGACCTTCTTTGGGAGCGTTGCGTTGCCAGATTCTCTCATTCACAACGTCCCGGTGCACAGCGCGAAGCCCTTGCGAGAAGTTCTTGAAGCGGGAGTGAATTTTGCCGCCTACTGTCGGCTCAAACCGGACCAAACGGCTGAATGGATCCGAGTCACCGAGCGACTACTGACCGAACTGGACTATCCTGGATGGCAAGGTGGCGCCTACCTTTCCCCCGTCGACACGGGAGGCGAAGGTCTCTCCCTGGGAGCGTGGGAAAGCGTTGAAGTGCGTGTCCTCTCTTGGCCCTGGCGTCCATCGTCCTCCGATACGCTAGTAAGCTGATCAGTCTCTTCAGGCCAGCCAGCAGCTCTTTGCTGACGGCCGATTCTCTGACCTGATGGATGCGACGAACGACGTATTCGATGGAGCCGCGCGCACATTCAACTCTCTTGTGAAATTTCAAAAGCATCTTTCGTAGTGGGCTTAGGGTTCATGTCAACATGGCATTCGTTGAATTCATCCACACTTTATTCGGGAATTACTGCATAGAAGAGCGCGACTCAACACGCACAACGCGGATTATCTCTGAAGGAATCGCTATGTCATTCAGACACGTTTCCATTCCGGCCGTCGGCGCTCGCGGAGAAACCCTCTTGATGAATGCTCGTGGGAGCGTGGAGGTATGCTGTTGGGATAACTTACTACTGTGCTCACCTGACTGATGTCGCTGTCAGGCTTGAAGTAGAGGCAACTGCGTGTAGATGACCGGTTCGCTGATATATTGACCAGAGCCAACGACACGATAGACCGAATCTCGACGGGTATTGTCAAAACCGGCCCATGTATAGTTCAATCAATGCTGTCTTGTGTAAGCTAGATACAAATGTTGTACCAGTACGCAGATGAATTGTGTCCCAAAGGGGCTACACAACGTACCTGAGCCAGGGGAGGACCCAGTAGTTGAGCTTTAGCGTGGGCAATCATCAACGTTGTCGTGACCGACCCAACCCGCGCCCGAACGGTGTTTGGACCCGACCGCCAGTCGCTTCGCATCCATGTTACCTACACACAATGCTAAAGACTCGGAGGTGCTCATGTACCGGGGCGCGTGCTACACTAGCCTTGGATTGCGGTTGTACCATCACGGCACATTAATCACTCAGGAGATCTGATCGAACGCTCGTGAACTCAGCCATGGCCACACTTTCCCCTCCGACTGGCGTATTCCCCACGAACGACCACCATTCCCGCGCCCCCACATCCTCTTGCGGTCATGCCTGCTTCTTCTCAACAGAGGGTTACGGTTTTCTTCTTCCAAGAGTTGACGGATAGCTCGCAGCTGCGGATCTTTGAAGACTTCCGCAATGCAATTCAAAAGAACTGGTGCGTCCTCTGCACATGCGGGAGGCGTCCTGGATTCTGACTTAACTCTTTGAAGGGGTCATCTTTTCTCAGAAGACGGGCAGTGGTGGGGGCGAGAAGTTGGGAAGCATGAACGCGTGTGGGAGATTGTCTGTGAGCCTCGATTTCCTTCCGTGTGGCTCATACCCGCCGCGGTATTGATCTTCACGTCCCCAGTTTGGAAGGACGAGCACTGCTGGGATGCTGTCCTTGCCGACCCGTCGTTTGCCGAGTTCGAAAAGACGTTCTTCAAAGAAGTTGCCCTACCAGACTGTACAGTCAACAACGTTCCGGTATACAGCCCTGCGAAACCCTTTCCAGAGATTCTCGGGGCAGGAGTGAACTTTGCCGCCTACTGTCGACTTGAGCCCGATCAGATCGCGGAATGGATTGACATCACCGAACGGCTTCTGGATCAACTGGATTATCCTGGCTGGCACGGAGGCGCCTATCTGTCTCCCGTTGAGACTGGGGGTGAAGCGCTCTCTTTCGGTGCTTGGGATAGCGTGATGGTGCCCTACCTATTCTCTTCTGGCGTTCGCTCAGAACTGATACCACTACTCAGGCTAGCCAGCAGCTGTTTGCTGATGGACGTTATCCCGAGCTGATGGATGCCACGAACGAGATCTTCGATAAAGCAACACGCACATTCAACTCTCATGTGAAATTCCAGAAGCATGTCTCATCCTGAGGCGTGCAACCGGGCGTTTGGGGGCTTCACTATCAACTGGGTTCAAGGGTATCTGATTAACGAATTGTACGCCGAGACGAGAATTCATGAATAGGATGACTGCAGTGTACGTGTCGCAGGACAACGAAGTGCGCCCGCAATGCGGAGCTATATCTCCGCGGGCGCCCTGTCAGGACACAGATGGAAAGTCGACTGAATAACTTAAGCGTACGCGCAGGCAGTCGCGATCCACTCATGAGGATCGAGTGAAGGGCTCGCAGACGTGCACAGACTGCTCATGTATCGTAGACGTCCTGCAGACGTTTGCAGGCGAGCTCGTAAGCTTCCCATTTAATCTTTTCGGGACCTGTGCCCTCCTTCACCTCATGGTCCCAGTTATGCCCTAGCAAAGGTCAGACGTCACTGTGATCGATGGCACACGTATATGTACACACCTTGGCCCTCTGCCGACCAATACACTGCGTCAACATTGTCGCCCTTCAGCCTCTCGATCAGTTCCTTGCCCTCTCGCGCCAGTGCGTCGACGGAGCCGGTGATGATGGTGGTAGGTGGAAAGTGGCTGGACGATGCGTAATAAGGTGAGATGCGAGGATCCGCGCGTGTAGGCATCCCGGGCGGAGGATCGCGAGGTCGGCCATGAGAGGCATCGTGCACTTTGCTGCTAGGCAAATAGCACGAGTACATGAAGCGCCTGAACCAGTGCGGAATGCTGGTACCGGCCGTCTCTTCAGGGTGTTTCAGTTTGAGTTCGGGTAAATGGACACGTTTCTTGTATGGAGCCTCTGCAAGATTTGTACTGTAGGGGAGTGAGCATTGATGGCAAAATTGTGCAGATACCAGGATGGGAGAACGTACGACGGATAGAAGGCCACGCAAGCTACTACCGGAGGCTCGTCGTCGTCGCGAGGGCGTGTTGCCTCAACCATGGCCAAACAGCCACCACTAGAAAAGCCGCCTATGGACAAGCGCTCGGCGTCCCAGCCATGACCGTGAGCGAGCTCGCGGACTGTTCTGAGGGCGTCCCGCACATCGTCAGGACCGGCGGGCCAAGGCGCTTCAGGCGCCTTTCGATGATCGATATCAACCACAACACAGGGCGCCGAGTTCGCCAACCATGCACAAAACTCTTGATCCTGTTTTCCGAACGTGTTCATGCAGAAGCCGCTGCCATGTATGGTGACATGTACAGGAAGGCGACCAGAATACGCGACATGTTTCTCCGGTAAGTACACGTGCATCGCTCGTGGTTTGTGGCGAGGGTCGGTGGTCGGGATGTAAGACAACTCTAGATTCGGCGTCGGATGTGGTGGCCGAGAAAAGATGAGCTCGGCAAGGTTCACTCCAGCACGCGTAGTGTTCATTCCGAGCCATTTGAGCGGATAGTAGTAATCGATCGGCATCGTGAACAATGGAGGGGAAAAGGTGTCTGGTCTTGCGTTACATAGCCTTTATATGTTGCCGTCTGGAGACAGCCCCTGTCGTGAGCCACGGAGCTCATCGTGGACGTTCAGGTCCACGGTTGAACGCGCTAGGGGCCAGGCATTGTGACGTCGGCGCCGATGAGCATACTTGACAGTTCGCATCGGGCGCTCAGATCCAGACGCCTCGAGATGTCCCACCACCAGTCTTAGGCGCGTATGAGTAGCGTGCAACATATACACACAGAAATGTGCTGTTGGGGGTACATACGTGAACGTGAGCGTCGCGCGCGTCGTATGACCAGTCTAAGATCCTCGTAAATTCCTCCTCGCTCTCGCCAATTTTCTTCCGTCGAAGCCGAGCCGAGCGCAGCCACTCAGGGCGCGCGTGCAGTGTCGATGGAAGCATATACTGCCGTTACAATGAGATGGTTCTCTTAGCCAAGAGGCAAGGGAACGTCTCCACGTTGGAGAGGGCAGGAGTCTCAGAAGAAGGCATAGTGTGCATAGACGCCTCGTCAAAATATTCACTAAACCAGAGGAAGCTATGTGGTGCGAATTCCAAATAGACAAGCGGGGAGGTCGTGCAGGGAGATCGTCATTTCAGGTACTGCAGGAGAGGAATAAGGTGGTTGCTCTGCCTTCCGAAGCTGCCGCCGGAAGCCGGAGGGGCTGATCCGAGCCCCACGCTGGCTTACTCGACGGAGGTACGTACTAACCCACCACGTACTTGGCCATTTGCCATAGGCCCCCTTCACACTGAAATTCTTGGATTCATGCACGTTGACCCTATATATAGGTAGTACCTGTATACATGAAGACTTTCAATACAAGAGCACCCAGATTTTTGTCGATGTTGAGAAAGCTGAGTCCGCGTCAGCACTCCGCGCGCGATCCGCGTGAACCTGCTTCCAGACCCGGCTGTTCAACGTTCAACGGCTGTCGCTTGAAGTATGTTGCCGAGATATAAGTACACTGTAAATGGGCTCGCCACATGGAGGTCTGTCGATCAAGTACACGATGACTACTGTCCGCCGCACCGTTGGTGCCGGGCTCGGCGCCCCGAGGAACCTGACGGCGACCGCAGCAGTTTGCTACGTCGAAGTCATCAATCCTCTCTGTCACTCAGCGTATGAGTGAATCTGAGGAGCTATACCATGTCGTTGAGCAAATAATTGCTTTTTGAACGATGCCGTACTGTATCGCGTGGCACGCGATTGGCACGTGAGCGCGTTCAAGCACCGCGCAGCTCGAGCGGCGCGGCGAGTCGCGCTCTTTGCTCCTGGCGACCATCTCGCGCGTACGGCGTCGAGGGAACTCTACTCGACCTCAACTCTGCGATATCTCCTCTCGGAAGTTATTGGATACTCTCAGCCGGTTATCGGTCTACTGGGCCCGGTCGTTCGCCCTTCTGTCATCAACCACCGCCGTCGCGCCGCGCCACACACTCTGCAAGCCTAAACCGAATAATCTCGCACCTGCTTCCAGTGAGTATCCCGCATATATCTCATCCATTATTGCATCTGAAATTATCTGCGTTTTGAGGGCAAGGACCTGCCATGTCGCTCGACGTGATCGATCTGTCCTCCTCGCCGGAGACCGCTACGTTTAGGGCAGGGCCTTCGAGGAGCCGGCACAAGACACCGCTTTTCTTACCCGATGAGCCCGACCATATCGATCTTACCACAGACGATGAGGATCCGTTTCAAGACCTTCGTGTGGTCAAACGACGGCGTTCGGACACGGTAGGCATATTCACGGCAGGCCCAAGGTATGCGACACGTTCCAGACTATCAACCCTGGTCCTCGTGGCAATGATCTGATTGAGACTTTCTCAGTATCAAGCCCCCTCCGAGTCATACAAATACCCACGTAACCGTGCCCAATCATGCCCGGAATCACTCGCCGGATAGGTGGGTCCTGTAACCGCGTTCCACACAACTCGCCTCTGATTCATCTCTAGGTTATTGGACGAGGAATTTTTCGACGCTGAGGATTGGGGACCACAGCCCATCGATGTGGACGAGTTTGAGGCGGGACTCCAATCGGAGAAACCGCAGGCGGGTGGAGAGGATCTATGGACGCTGCAAGTTTGCGAGATGATCCCAGACGTGTCACCAGACCACGTCCGTGCGCTCTTGAGACAGCACAAGGCGGCATATCCAAACGATGTTGTCAACTTCGTCGTGCATACGCTACTAGAAAGCACATCTTACCCCAAGCTGGGAAAGGGTAAAGGGAAGGCAAAGTCGTCGACACCAGACGAAATCGATTACACCAGCACAACGCGCAACATTCAGTATTCAAATTCCTACTACTCGCTTGCCAAGGTCAGTATTTTTGAGTGCATGAAGATTGTATTCTCATTGCATGCTCAGACTCAGTTGTTGGAAGACTTCCCCGATGGGGCCGAGGCGCATATCTTGGCGGCGTATGAGAAGCACAAGAAGCTCTATGCTCCGACATATCTTCATTTGGAGGCGGAACAACGTGCAGGAGAGCTTCCCGGAGGCAAACGCAAGGGCGTTAGCAAGAAGGGAAAGGGCAAGTCGGTGACGGAGGACGCAGACTTTCTCATGGAGCTTTCTTGGCTACAAGAGAAGCGACGTCGCGACGCTGAGCAGCAGGATGCTGTTTTGGCCCAGCAGTTGCTGGAGGGGGAGGAAACAGCGGATATTGAATGCGGGTGCTGCTTTGACACCTATCCATTTGTGCGTCTATCTTTCAGGTCACCCGCTCGAGCAGATTAGCTCACACTCTATCTTTAGAGCAAAGTGGTACAGTGTCCTGAAGCTCATCTCTTCTGCGCAGAATGTGTCGTCGGTTTCGCGGAATCGAAGTTAGGCGAGCAGAATCATCGCATCCCCTGCATGTCTTCAGTTGGAGATGGCTGTGCGGCGCATTTCGGCGACTCGGAACTTCGACGAGTGCTCCCTCCGAAGCTTCTGGAGCTATATGAGCGCGTTCGTCAACGGCGCGATGTTGAGGCGGCTGGTATCGACGACATGGAGGAGTGTCCTTTCTGCGACTTCAAGATGATCTTCGAGGTGGACGCCGATACCGACAAGCTCTTCCGCTGTCAGAACCCCGATTGTGAGCAGATTTCGTGTAGGAAGTGCAAGAAGATTGTACGTAGCTCCTTGCAATTGAGCTGCGACGCATCCGAAGCTGACCAACGAACAGGATCACCTTCCCAAGACTTGCGCGGAGATGGAAGAGGATAAGAAACTAGAGGGTCGGCACGCTGTTGAAGAAGCTATGAGTGAGCCATTTACTATGATAAAACTTGCTCGAATGCTGAGAGTTGTTGCTTCCAGCCGCTGCTCTTATGCGGAATTGCCCCAAGTGCAAGAAGGCTTTCATCAAAGAGTCCGGTGTATGCTTATCCGCTCTCTTCATCCCCCGTTTCGCTTCTGACACGACTTCACAAGTGTAATAAGATGGCCTGCCCGTACTGCAGCACGCTTTCGTGTTACGTATGTCGCGAGATCGTCACCGGATACGAGCACTTCAACGTACGTTCAAAGTCATGCGGTTTCGGAGTTAATCGGGCTGAATGATAGTGTAGCGCGGTGCACCTGGTCAAGTTCATGCAACCGGAGCTACGATGAACGGCGCCTGTCCTCTGTGGGATGCAGTAGAGCAGCGACATCACGACGAGGTAAGCTGGCTGCGTTATATGGACACGACATCTGTCTCATACCTGGACCAGGTTGCGGCTGCGGCTAAGAAAGCGCGAGAAGCATACAGGGATGAGCATCCCGACGCGGAAGAGACTGATCTTCAAGTCGACCTCCCGCCTCCTCCCAAGCCAGGCCAACAGGCGTATCCCGGGATGCCTGGAGTTCATCCTATTGGAGCAGTATTGCCGGCCTTTCCGCATATGCATGGGGTGGGTGGCTTGCAAGCCCATCATCAAGATATGATGCGGCGTATGCAGCTGCAGCAAGCGCAAATGCGTGCGCGTCTTCAAGGGCTAGACGTCGACGGTGACGACGACGACGACGACGACGACGACGTCAATCCGTTCGTCGCCTTTGCGCGGCGTCGTGCACCGGCCGCGCGCGCACCTCTTCGTTTACCTGTAGCAGCTCCCGCGGCAAGAACGCGAGCTCAGGTAGCGGCAGCAGCCGCGCGCGCTCCGGTCGCCGGGCCAGCTCGTCCTCGCAAACGCAAACGGTAGCCATGTTGTTCTACCTCAATGAGGGGAATGCGTATTGGTCTTTCTCCATTTTCCATTGGCATGTCCCGGGCGCAGTCTGGTCATTCTCCGGCATGCATCATGCGTCGTGCTGCACTATCGATACCTAATACACATTTATATATCTCAATGGGCTTTTATTGTCGACGCGTTTGCCCTCCTGGGTGTAACTTTATTGAGAGAATCTGGTTCCCGTACGCGATAGGTGCCGGCGTGAATGAACAGCAGTCAGTCGCCGGTCGTCCGGACCTGGTTACCGGACACGTCGCGCTCCACGCATCATCCCACTGCGCGTGCACCGCGAGATCTGTCCTCTCACCACCATGTTTATCTTCAAGGCCTCGCTGTTTTTGGCTGTCGCGACTATCGCGGCTCTCCTCTGCGCTCAGCCCGCAGAGGCAGCGAAGGGCCCGAAGATCACCAACAAGGTCTACTTCGACATCAAGCATGGTGACCAGGATATGGGCCGCAGTACGTGGCGGTTGCTTCTGACACCGCGAATTAAACTGACGGAATACTAGTTGTGATTGGTCTCTTCGGTGGTGTGCGTATATATGTGCATATCCTCTAAATATAATCACTGACGAGGCTCCTGTGCAGACCGTCCCCAAGACCGTCGAGAACTTCCGTGCTCTGGCAACCGGTGTGAAGAAGGACGGCGAGAAGCTCCCCGAGGGCTTCGGATACAAGGGCTCGAAGTTCCACCGTGTTATTAAGCAGTTCATGTACGTTGTGTCTTCAGTCTATGGTCTGTATGCCAATTACTAAGCCACTCAACAGGATTCAGGGTGGTGACTTCAGTGCGATCCAATAGCTTCTAAGCTGGCAAACGACGTGCTGACATTGATACATAGCTCGTGGTGACGGTACGGGTGGCGAGGTATGTGTCACTTCAGCCACTTTACCACTTTTCGTGTAGCTAATCATGGCATACAGTCCATCTACGGTGCCAAGTTCGCCGACGAGAACTTGTACGTTTCTTTCCAGTTGATGATTCCTGTAGACGTGAACTGACTTGTGTATCCCTGTAGCAAGCTCAAGCACACTGGTCCTGGCTTCCTCTCCATGGCTAATGCTGGCAAGAACACCAACGGTACGTGTGAATCATAGTTCAGGCCACCAGACAGCTTACGAAGCAACGTTCAGGCTCCCAATTCGTGGGTGGAATTCATTGGCTTCGCGGCTGTCAGACGCTGACATCCCGCAGTTCATCACTACCGTTGTCACGAGCTGGCTCGATGGCAAGCACGTTGTATTCGGCAAAGTGCTCGAGGGTATGGACGTTGTCTACGCCATCGGTACGGTTTCTTGGTATCATGCAGCACGTACCCCCATTTCTGACATTGAACCACAGAAAACGTTCCTAAGGGTCGCCAAGATAAGCCCCTCGAGGATGTCATCATCGTCGAGAGTGGCGAGCTGGAGATGGATCTTGAGGTGGATGAGGAAGGGAACCAGGTGCCTCTCCACGCCGAGCTCTGAGCGGCTGGCGTGTTTCCTCCCATGTAAAAGTTGGCAATGTACGAATGAAAACGCGTTTCTTCGCGCAGGTTGACTCTCCCGCTGCAGCCCCTGCTGCACCCGTCAAGCCCGTCGAGAACACCCCTGCCGCACCTGCGGCGGACCTTGAGAAGCCCGTTGAGGAGGCCGCTGCCGCCTCTGAGATCGACGAGGTCGTACGCCCCACGAGTGGCTCGACGATTATCTTCGGCGGCATCTTTGTGCTTGTCGCCGGTGGCGTAATCTTCTACGCCATGGGTGGTGCGCGTGTCGTGCGCAGGCTGCTCGCCACCCATCTGGGAGTTGGGAAGTCCAGCTACCGCAAACTTGCTTCGGAGGAGCCATAGAGTCATGATGCTATCGTTGCTTACTGTACCGACAGGTATATAATTATCATCTAGAGTCGCTCGTTTCAATCTTGCCTTTATGCGGCCGTTAATGATCGCTGAGTGTATAGTGCACTAGGCTTCGACAAGTTGAATGTTGGTCGGTCAGAATCCTTCCTATATAAATGGTACAGTGGTCGTGCGAGAAGCGCCCTTTGTCTGCCCAATGACCTTTAAAATTTAACCACGCTCGGTCGCCCATTGTCTCGGTCGCACTAATCGCGAACCACACAATCAGGACCACACTCGTGTTGCCCCGTGGTTAAGACCGCGCAAGGGGTATAAAGCAACTCGCTGCGCTCCTCGCCATTCCACCGCACCCGATCATGGAGGACTCGCGGAGTGATTCCGATCTTGCTGGTATGTATCCCTTGTTGTGATCTGCGTCTCGAACTGAATGTCACTTTGTAGCCGAAAGCTCGATCGCATCCATCGACAAGACCATTCGCGCTCGTTATTCGTTGGACTTGAAATCGAATCCGCCCACGATCGGGAGTTCAAGCTCCTCAGAGACAGCCTCGTCAGGCACACCTAACCCAACCTCGAAGTCGACACGACGCATCTCACTAGCCGATGCCAAACGCACTCATCATGATGATATGCCACTCGTCATGGTACGGGAGATAGCAAGAGGACACTCGGGAGTATATCAATGGCGAAGAGGGGCCATCTTCGTCTCCTACCCTCCTGTCGAGCAGAAAGAACTCGAGGGGATGCAAGCGCTGATCAATCAGAAGTGCTGGTGTCACTCAAAAGAGCCGTGGCGTATCCTTGAGCTATTCAAGACTTCGACGTACGCCGCTGGGCCGCACTCTTATGGGGACATCACGATCCTACTAGGGACTCTGGCGGCGTATTGTCCGGAACAGCTCTACCTCTTCAGCGATCCGGAGGATAGCCGCACGTTGGACCGTCACAGAAACCGGCATGCCTTTGAACTTCCGAAAGAGCCATTCAACCTGCCTCTCAAATGTCTGTATCTGGTTCACCAGCGAAACGCGCTAGCCAAACTCTTACCCTGGTTCCGAGTGCCTGCGGATACTATGGCCATCTACATAGACATACTAGAGTCGGCGCCAAGGTTTCCCGAGGATGACCGCGTTGTGGAGCTACACGCCGTACATGAGTGGATTGCTGATTTGCTGCGTCGATGCAAGACCTCAGAAAGCTTCGTGGAGGTTGACCGAGTCGAGGTGAAGGTGAAGCAGCGGCGACGCAAGAGCGATCCGGGCGCATCAAACCAGCAACACGCAGATCGCGATGGCAACGAAAGTATCCCTCGAACCCGATATGCTGTCAAGACCAGGCTGCTGCACAAAAATGGGCGAGGATCATCTTGGAGCTTTGCTCTTGAAACGGTCCATGCGGAGCACGGTGTCGAGTTCGTTGTGAAGGTACTCGATGCACTTCGAGGTGTTGGCCATGCGAAGAAGGTCATTATGCCACAACTCCAGTGGACCTCCGTTGATTCGCGTATGCTCGTCGCTCTTTCTTTGGCACTGAGCCATGAACACTAGTATATGCACCTTGTATGCCTTATGCCTTATGAATACGCTTTACCCCTACAACTGCGCATCGGTGCGATGAATGAAAACCAATGCTTGAAAGAGAGGGCGCGAAGATTGCGCGAAGACACCAGCCTAGAAGTTCGTAAGCCCGTAGTCGCGAGTCAACGAGAGTCAACGCGGACCGATAACGGCGGCGGGCGCGGCAAAGTCCGGACGGAGATCGAGCTTTGAACAGAGCTCTCTTCCCGACTTTCTGCATCGCGCCATCATACCCTTCTAGTACCCCCGTGGTACGCAGTGCGCGTAGCCGTACGACCATCCGAGGCTCGAAACCATGTCTTTCCCCGCACACGATCGTGCGTACCGCTGATCTTTCCTGGCACGCGCCAGACGCGCTGATCGCGCTTTCAGTCAGCTCTCAGTTCAACTTTGCAAAGGAGGAGGAAAAGGTCATCGAGTTCTGGCGCGAGATCGATGCTTTCCAGACCAGCTTGAAGCTCTCTGAGGGTCGGCCAGAGTATTCCTTCTACGATGGCCCGCCTTTCGCCACTGGCCTGCCGCATTACGGACATTTATTGGCCGGGACGATCAAGGTGAAGATTAGTTAGACTGTCTGAGATCATATGCTTATAGTGCTCTAGGATATTGTGACACGACATGCACACGTCTCCGGATACCACGTTCCTCGTAGATTCGGCTGGGATACCCACGGTCTGCCCGTCGAGCACGAGATCGACAAGAAGCTCGGCATCAAATCCCGTCAGGATGTGATGGACATGGGCGTCGACGCGTACAACGCCGAGTGCCGTGCCATCGTCATGAGGTATTCCGGAGAATGGAGGGCTACTGTGGAGCGCATGGGTCGCTGGATCGACTTCGACAAGGACTATAAGACCCTTGACCTTACTTTCATGGAGAGCGTCTGGTGGGCCTTCAAGCAGCTCTTCGACAAGGGCATGGTCTACCGCGGTCTGCGTGTCATGCCTTACTCTACCGGTCTCCTGACTCCACTATCGAACTTCGAGGCTGGACTGAACTACAAGGACGTAAATGATCCTGCAGGTGAGCTCCCAGTGACTCGTTTTCGCGGTGAAGACAATCTAATCTTATCTCGCAGTCACCGTCTCTTTCCCACTCGTCGACGACCCCAAAACCGCGCTTCTCGCATGGACCACCACGCCATGGACACTTCCCTCCAACCTCGCCCTTTGCGTGCACCCCGACTTCACATACATCAAGATCCATGACCAAGAGCGCAATACGAACTTCATCCTTCACGAGAAGTTGCTCAAAACGCTATACAAAGACCCCAAGAAGGCCAAATTCAAGAAGATTGGCGAGTTCAAGGGCTTGGATATGAAGGGCTGGCGCTATGTGCCTATGTTTGAGTACTTCACGGAGAAGGTAGGCCTATATGCTTGGCCTTCACATAGAGATTGACTGTTTGCAGTTCGAGGACAAGGCGTTCCGTGTGTGCTGCGACACCTACGTCACTGAGGACAGTGGTACCGGTATTGTTCACCAGGCCCCGGCCTTTGGTGAAGATGATCAACGTGTTGTGCTCGCGCACGGTATCCTGTCTGCAGAGGATATGCCTCCCGACCCTATCAACGACGCCGGCCTCTTCACCGATGAGGCTCCCGACTTGAAGGGTCTGTACGTCAAGGTAGAGTTATACCGGCTGTGAAGTCTCGCCTGCTGAAATAACATCTGCAGGATGCAGACAAGGAGATCATGAAGATCCTCAAGGCAAAAGGACGCCTGATTGTGCAATCCCAGATCATGCACTCGTATCCCTTCTGCTGGAGATCCGGCGCCCCTCTACTCTATCGCGCCATCCCTGCATGGTTCGTGCGCGTCACACCTATCGTCGACGAGCTCGTCAAGAACAACAAGGAGACGCTATGGTATGTACGTCAACCTTGAGTGGGTTATCTCGTGCTCAGCCCATCACAGGGTGCCACAAAACATCGGAGATGGCCGCTTCGGTAACTGGATCGCCAACGCTCGGGATTGGAACATCTCGAGGAATCGCTACTGGGGAACGCCTATCCCGTTATGGGCGTCCGAGGATTTCGAGGAAGTAAGCGTACTAGATACCATATAGTGCAAGCCGCGCTGACATACCGTACTCGTAGATGATACCTGTGGGCTCGGTTGAAGAGCTCGAGCGCCTGTCGGGTGTCAAGGGTATTACCGACCTGCATCCCGATAAGATCGCCCATATCACTATCCCTTCACAGAAGGGCAAGGGCGATCTTAAGCGTATCGAAGAGGTGTTCGACTGTTGGTTCGAATCAGGAAGGTACGGACCCCGCCGTCTCATGGATTTGGACTACACTGATGATTCTCCAGCATGCCTTATGCTCAGCAGCACTACCCCTTCGAGAACAAGGAGCTCTTTGAGAAGACCTTCCCGGCGAACTTCATCGCGGAAGGTATTGACCAGACTCGTGGTTGGTTCTACACGCTCCTGGTGTTGTCGACACATCTGTTCGGGAAGGCACCGTGGAAGAACCTCATCGTCACCGGCTTGGTTCTTGCAGAGTACGTCGAACGGATTTGTATTGGGTCATCATTCACTGAAGTGCTGTACCCAGAGACGGCAAGAAAATGTCCAAGAGCTTAAAGAACTATCCTGACCCCATGAACATCGTGAATACGTATGGCGCTGACGCCACCAGGATGTACCTCGTCAACTCTCCCATCGTTCGTGGCGATAACCTTCGCTTCCGTGAGGCTGGTGTCCGCGAGACCGTCTCACGTGTGCTTCTACCGTGGTTGAATGCTTTCCGCTTCTTCCTCGGTCAGGTTGCTCTTCTCGAGAAGTCGACTGGCCACAAGTTCATGTACGATGCGCATGCGCCCGTATCGAACAACGTCATGGACCGCTGGATTCTCGCTCGATGCCAATCGCTTATCGCACTTGTCAAGCAGGAGATGGCCGCCTACCGTCTATACACCATCATCCCACGCCTTCTTGACCTCATTGATGAGCTGACGAACTGGTACATCCGCTTCAACCGTAGGAGATTAAAGGGCGAAGACGGCAAGGAAGACACCGTCGCTGCCCTCAATACTCTCTTCGAGACGCTCTTCACGCTCTGCAGGACAATGAGCTCTTACACCCCATTCGTCACGGAGAACATCTACCAAACTCTGCGTACGTTCATTCCTGAGGATCCCAAGGCTGGCGACACGAGGAGTGTTCACTTCTTGCTCTTCCCCGACGTCAAGGAGGAGTACTTCGACGAGGTCATCGAGCGTCAGGTGAAGCGTATGCAGACGGTCATTGAGCTTACGCGCAATATCCGCGAACGTCACAATATCTCCCTCAAGGTTCGTTGATATGCCTGATGTACACTACTAGCGACTGATAGGCCTTGCAGACACCTTTGAAGGAGTTGCTCGTCTTCCACGCTGATCAGGAGTACCTCGACGACTGCCGTTCATTACAGCGCTATATCCAATCTGAGCTCAACATCCGCGATGTCATCTTCACCTCAGACGAGCAGGCGTCGGGTGTGCGGTACCGTGCCGTAGCAGACTGGGCCGTGCTCGGACGCAAGCTGCGCGCGAACCTCGGCAAGGTCAAGAACGCTCTGCCTTCGCTCACAAGCGACGAGGTGAAAGCGTACGTGTCCAGTGGCAAGGTCATCGTCGCGGGTATCGAACTTGTCAAGGGCGACTTGACTGTGCAGCGGTACATCGAGCTCCCGTCCGATGGATCTGGCCAATTCGCCACCCACACAGACGCGGACGTCGTCGTGCGCTTGGATATCCAGGAGCATGCGGACCTCAAGAGCGAGTGGTTGGCGCGTGAGCTTGTGAACCGTGTTCAGAAGCTGCGTAAGAAGGCCGGGCTGCAGGCGACGGACGATGTCCGCGTGTTCTACGCGTTTGAGGCAGGCGAGGGAGATGATCTGCGCGCGGCGATGAACGAGTACAGTGAGATGTTGGCGCGTACAGTGCGCAATGTTCCGGAGGACGTTTCCGGGCGCGCTGCCGGCGCCTCGGTACTCATCGAGGAGGAGCAGGAGATCGCGGAGACCAAGTTCAACTTGTCGCTCGTTCGTTTGTAGGGTTTATGGTAGCTGACAAATGTAAACTTTGCTGTTGTATCATCGTTGTATTGCATAGACTTGCGCTGGGAATATTCCTAGGCGCTGAAATGCTCGGAGGTTGAGAATGATGGCAACAACCAGGCACCGATACCCAGATCCCGAACTTGGCACTGCACGTGAGCCTGTAAATCACGAACAGCTGACTTGCAAGCTCGTGCATAGCTCATACAGCCATGAACGTTTACCTTCTGACATGCCATCTCGGTGCCCTCAGTAGACTTTGACCACGAACGGGACGCGTACGGGGCGCCGTCCAGGGTCCATAGATACGCGTGATCGCGTTCAGCACGTGGCAGGGGCGCTTGTTTGAACGGAATCCGGGGAGAGCACGGCGGTCATCAACACCCCGCGTCTCAAGCGGACGTACACACTCTGCTGCTCTCGGCTCGGATCATAGCCGCAGCGCATAGACCAGCGGTCCAATACATCAACGCCGTGCACGCCGTGACGTCTCCCTTCAACCACCACTCCCTCGTCCTGAACTACTCTCGACGAGCACTCGATCGCGCGGTTGAACTGTCTGCCCCTCGCACGGGTTACTGAAACTCTTATCTCCTTCCGGACTGCTTTGAGATTGATCGAGACCGACTATATATCGTACCACTGCGACTGTCCTCGCTGCACAGCTCACGCCTGTTCACGCCCATCATGCCCCTTCTACGACGCGCCACAGCTGGTTTGAGAAAGGCGCATGTACGCCATGCCTCCAGCAAGGCCTCTGTCACTATCGGCTTACGCCAGGAAGACCCGGAACGCGTCTGGGAACGGCGTTCGCCTCTTACGCCGGACGCGGTAGCCGACCTCATTGCCAAGGACGGCGTGCGAGTACTCGTTCAGGAATGTGACAAGCGTGTCTTTCCGCTTGACGACTATGTTCATGTAAGACTTTGTTGTTCACACTTAGATCCACGTGAAGTGACACTGTTTGCGATTGCTACAGGCTGGCGCTGAAGTACATCCGACTCTCGAGCCTGCACATCTCATTATGGGCATCAAGGAGACGCCATTAAATTCGCTCATCACTTCACCCGTACCGTCGCCTGTCGCTAGTGGCTTGGTTCCGCGAACGCACCTCATGTTCTCGCATACGATCAAGGGTCAAGAGTACAATATGCCGCTTCTCTCACGTTTCTTGGCCGACGGCGACGCATTCCACGCTGGAGCCAAATCCGAACCTGGGCTGGAGGCACGCCTGATTGACTACGAACTATTGACTGACGAAAGCGGAAAGAGGACTGTCATGTTTGGCTTTTACGCTGGAGGTAAGATGCACAGCTTCGCATGGACGATCTTCCATGTACTCACTCGTATGAAGTCGCTGGGGCGCTCGAGTCGTTGTCGGCTATGGCCCATAAGCATCTGGAGCATGGCGTCGCCTCCGCATTCTTGGTATGTGTGATTAGTTGACATCATGATATAGTCACATCTCTGATACTTCATACAGTATACACCTCGCCCGCATGCATCTCCGTCACTGGACACGCATCGGTCTCAACTTCGGTACATCGCATCGCAGATAGCCGAGCACGGCACGCCGAAAAGCCTGGGACCGTGTATCATTGGCGTGACCGGGTTAGTCATTACCTTTGCGTGCGTACCCTGCGCTGACCAGGCCTTAGCCGTGGAAACGTGACGGAAGGTGTGATGTCCATATTGGAGGAACTGCCGCTGCAGCATGTTACAGCCGATGACCTCCCCAATCTCGTCAGTAACCCAGGTACGCGGTTCTTCGTCGCTCAAGAAGAGCGCTATTGAGACGATATGTTCAGAAACCGATCTTCGCAAGATATATCTTCTCCATGCTCTCCCACCATCGTATATCACGCATTCGAATGGAGCTGCGTATCAGCGTGAGGACTACTACGCCAATCCACAAGCGTATCAGTCACACTTCCACACCAAGGTATAGCATGATGAGCTATTCGGAGACGCGTAGCTTTCAAGCTGACGCTTATGTAGATCGCACCCTATCTGACTCTTCTCATCAATGGCGCAGGTTGGGCTCCCGGATTTCCGCGCCTACTCACCAACGAGCAATTACCATTGGCAAGACGCCTCGCAGCCATCGGCGACATCTCATGTGACATTGGAGGAGGTCTGGAGTTCGTCACCAAGGCTAGCACGCTCTCATCCCCGACCTTCGACGTTGGTGGTGTATCCATCATGTCGGTGGATATTCTTCCTGCCAGTCTCCCTGCAGACGCTAGTGCTGCCTTTACTGGAAAGGTTCTTCGATACGTCCGCACACTGGTGGGCGAATACCGTGGCCAGGAGGCCACAGATGTCGAGGCGGCTCGTGCTCTTGATCGGGCGACAGTCGCCAGAGGTGGCCATCTGAGCGAAGGGTTCACCTGGCTGCAGGAGAAGGTCGACACCTGGAGGACCTCAGCCCGCTCTCAAGGCGCGGGGGCCACAATCCACAAACCACGCGTCCTGGTACTTGGTAGCGGCATGGTGGCTGGACCCTGCGTTGATGACCTCGCAGGACCGGGAGACTTGGACGTCGTTGTCGGTATGTAGAGGTGTATATGTGCAGGCGGAGCGCTGATGCTGCTCGAATAACAGCCAGTAACATCCTTGCTGAGGCGGAGTCACTTGTAGCGCATCATGGAAACCATGCCCAGGCCGTGTCGGTCGACATGAATAATGCATCTGAGGTCGACCGTCTTGTGTCGCAGGCTGACGTCGTTATCAGGTCCGTATTCTCTACCAGTCTTCTGATGATCTGCTCACCGTACGTCTAGTCTTCTTCCGGCGCCATTCCATCCTACAGTGGCCGAGCTCTGTTTGACGCATCACAAACATCTTGTGACGGCATCGTACATCTCTCCCGCCATGCATGCCCTCCATACTCGTGCAACTGACGGCGACGTCTTGCTACTGAACGAGATCGGTCTAGACCCAGGAATCGACCACTGCTCAGCTCATGCAATGCTTGAGCGCATCCGAGGCTCAGGCGGCTCAGTACGAAGCTTCGTCTCGTTCTGCGGTGGCCTTCCTGCTCCTGATGCCGCGGAGGGCGTCCCTCTGGGCTACAAGTTCAGCTGGAGTCCTCGTGGTGTCTTGCGTGCCGCAAATGAGAACGCTCACTTCTTGCTCGATGGCAAGGAGATCAGCATTCCCGGCGAGAAAATCTTGGCGCACCACTTCACCGACGTACCAGTCTCCGATGTTCTTCGCCTCGAAGGTCTTGCGAACCGGGACAGCATGCCGTATGTCAAGACCTACCAGCTGCCCAGTCCACAAGATGGCCTGCATACGATGTTACGCGGCACGCTGCGGTATGTGCTATACCATAGCATACATGTCAATCTTGAAACTCACGGCCGACTAGCTACCCCGGGTTCGCGCAGCTCATGCAGTCTTTCAAAGATGCTGGCTTCCTTGAGTCTATCGACACGATAGCTGTTGAAAATTGGTCAAGCTTCACTCATGCAGCACTGTCTCTCAAGACTGGGGTCCCGATACCGTCAGATGAACGTTCATTGCTGGCGGCTCTGAGTGAGCGGCTGGGCGCGGAGCGCGCAGAAGTAGCCTGGGATGCTCTCCAAAAACTGGGCCTCGTTCCATCATCTACATCGCCGATGGCAAGTGCTGTGGATGCCCCAAAGCCGCCTCGCTCGCCACTTCCACCTGTGGACCTCCTCGCGGCGTACCTTGCGCATACTCTACGCTACGGTCCTGGCGAGCGCGACCTCGTCGTTCTTGCACACGAGGTTCTGGCCGCGAGCCCCAGCGGCGACAGTCTCGAGGTGCATACATCTCGTTTGACGGTGTATGGCGATGAGAAGGCGACTGCGATGGCTCGCACCGTCGGATTGCCGGTGGCGTTTGCCACTCGCGCCGTGCTCAGCGGCGCCGTTCGTACCCGCGGCGTTGCCGGTCCCACGGCAGATAACGCGGTCTGGAAAGGTGTCCTTGAGGGTCTGGAGAGAGTAGGGTTGGGAATGCGCGAGGATGTTCGTCGTGTTCCGACGACCTCAACCGGTATTGTGGGCACGCTTGCGCTGGGCTTGCAATCCACGCGTGGGGAATAATTGGCGCTCGAAAGCTTGTTAATAGGTGACCATAGTGTAAAGTGCAGTTCGATCAATAGCAATATAGCTTGAATACAACAACTACACGTCCGTCAGCGCAGATCAGGTCAGGGAAGGCGGATATCCGTTTCGCAAGGCTCCGACCGACACCATCTTCGTTCGCGGCCATCCGCCATATGCTGGCGTGGTGATGCGACCACGGGGTCTGTCTGGACTACAGCAAAGGACGGTGCGATCGCAAGGTGATCCTATACGCGCCCGCTTGGATGTGGCGACAGGCCCACATGAAAGGACTGCGTGCTCGGCACAAATCACTTTTTGGAAGTTCCAAATCCTGCGAATCCCATGGCGGCAATGGTGTCAACACTGTCGACGTCCATGGGCGTCGCTTTGGCCAATTCGATGCGTGTCTTCTCCTTCGCGGCCTTCTTTTCTTCTTTCTTCATCGCGCGTGCTGCCAACTCCTTGTCGCGAATCTGGCGTAAGCGTTCGTCGAAGTCGAATTGTTTGGCTTCCGATGCCTCCTTCGTCTTCTCACGCAGAAAAGCGATGCGGGCCCGGACTTGCTCGACAGTAGACCGTGCAATGCGAGTGGTTTGTCCGAGTGCCCGTAAGTCTGTCGTTTGGGTATCAGGATATATGACGTACGCATTTACCAGAGCAAGTGATACATACGAGCGCGACCATTGATGTGATCGAGATAGCCAGTGCTATCTTTATATGTCCTGTTGCAGGTTTCGCAATAGAAGCCAGGTTGACCGGGACCACGACCACCAGGATTATTGACGACCATAGTCTTGCCCAAGTTCTTGTCGAGCTCAAGATCGCCCTCGCGTTGCTTCATTAGTTCAGTCGGTTTAGGTAGCACCTTCTTGTTACCCTTGAGCGGCCTTTTGCCTACGTTATTGAGAATATGCGCTCATATCATGATGACCGGCGTACCTTGTTTTGCACGCTCCTCGTTCTCCTTTGCAAGCTCATACGCCTCCGCATCCTTCTGCTTCGCCCGCTCTGCATACTCTTCCTTGTCCCATTTCTTACGAAACTCCGTGTCTTTGGCCTGGGCGCCGTAAGCGCCGCCCTTGTCCGCCATGTTTGGGGATGATGACGATGGTGGTCACAGATTAAGACGCGAGACGCGCGCATCGACGCGAACGCCGAACACGTTGAGAATCCAACTTGATTTGGACCTCCATGCTACGATGAACGACGCCTCAGACGCGTCCTTCAGCGTCACCTTTCCCCTTCCCTTCAGAGTACTCTCGCTCATCGGCCTCGGAATACTCGGTTGGGCGGCAAATGTGCATGGCTTGCGTGCACTCGGCGTAGACGCAGTGCGGGCTCTTGACCTTAGGCCCGAAGCCGACGAATACCCTCAGGTCGCTGTTGACGGTGGCCGCGTACACAGGCCCTATGCCGATCCCAAAGCAGTGTACAAGCCGGTGTACAGGCTTGCCGTCATCTATGCTACCTTTTGTACAGTTGCATGGTGGTTCTACGACCGAAGCACCCAGGGAAACGCTACGCTTGCGAATGTCTACAAGTTCATACCGAGCATATGTGCTCTCTGCACGCTGATCATGCTCGTCAATCCATATAACATGCTATCCAAACGAACTCGTGACGCCTTCATACTGTGCGTGTGGCTTTTCTGCCTGGTTTAGTAGCCTGCCTAATCTCATTCCTGTAGCTCGCTCAGACGTTGCCTGAACCCACCACATAATACACCGGTGTACTTCTCTGATGTTGTATTTGCCGATGTCTTCACTTCGTATGCAAAAGTAATTGGCGACGTCTGGTTGTCTCTTCTCATGCTTCTCCCTGGCGGGAGCCTTTTGTCCCCACCTCGACAGGGAGGGCTTGCACGTTGGATTTTGCCAACACTCATGAGGTGTGTAGGTGCTCTGTGCTGCGGTCGTGTATCCAAACGTCTGACTTCAATGCTGCGCAGTCTCCCCTACGCAGTCCGTCTAAGGCAGTGCCTCATCGAATACTTTCTTCCCGGAAACACCTCGAAGAAGCAGCTCTGGAATGCAATCAAATATGCTTCGTCCTTCCCCGTCATCTATCTATCAGCTGCACAGCGTCTCGTCGTTAGCGATCTTGTCCGGGACAAGGGAGAGCGTGTTGTTGACGAGCCATGGCATGGCGAGCATGCGCTTTTCAGATTATGGTAAGATAGTACAGCACAAAGCCAGCGATGTAGCGATACTGATCTTCGTTAGGCTTTTGGCCGGTGCGGTCAACTCGCTCTATTCGTTTTGGTGGGATGTCACGAACGATTGGGGATTCGACCTCCTAGTGCCTTCATCAGGGTCCAAACCCATGCCGCCGCGTGCTCTGGTTCTTCCCGCTTTACACCAGCGGGACGAGTCTGTTACTTCGCGCTCTTCCTCGACTACCTCCCCTCTTCATTCGCACGCGCCGACATCTAGACCGACGCATCCGTGGGGCCTCCGTTCCGTCCTGCTCTTCCCACTCCCGCTATATGCCGCAGCCATCTTCACGGACTTTGTGCTGCGCCTGACCTGGGCGGTCAAACTGAGCAGTCACCTACACGCTCACCGCGCAGGAGAAGGCTCCGGCCTCATCTTCGTATTGGAGGTCGCCGAGATCTTCCGACGGTGGATGTGGGTTTTCTTCCGTGTTGAATGGGAGGTCGTCCGTTCTCCGGAGATGCGGAGGGGACATGGGGATGAGATTGAAGCGCTTGAAATGGCCGCGGACGAGCTGGGCTCGGATGGCAATGGACATGAATATAGATACGCTGAAGAGCACAAGATGCGTGGATAATGTGGCTGGTCGGACTGTTTGTATGTGGAATAGAAGAGGATACGTTACATCTCCGAATAACGAATCTCACGCACACATCCTGACGCAAATGCGGCATCTCGTTCGTGACGCTCAGGGCAGTGTGCCTGTTGACCACAGTAGCGTAGAGTTGTTTCACACGGATAGAGTTCCTTACCCATGGTCTATCTAAGCTCTAACCCCAGAGACGATGTCGAAGGGTACTAATATTATCGACGATCAGAGTATGTATGGAATCAAAGCACAGCGGTGCGCCACGTTCACAGAATCAAGGGATGATGTGGCCCAATCGGCCGTTGCCGCTGTGTGGTGATTCGCTTCCTGAGACGTGTTTTCCGCCCGAGGTTGTTCTGCACGCTCGGGTAGTCTACTCGATTACCACATGAGTCCGAGAAGCTACGCGCGGTCATGTCTAGCCCCAACTTAAACGGTAGATGCTTATGCTCAGGATGGGCCTCGCGGCCTACTGAGAGAGGATTAGCACTGTAACTTGCAACCCGTGTCTACCGCAGCGCTGCATCTCTCAGTGCGCCTGACCAGAGTCTTGTGAAGCCTTTAGTCTCAGATCTCACTCTCGTGGGTCACGTCTCTATAGGACCCTGGCACGTTCTCCTGTTCCTCCCGAGCGCGACGCTCACACCCAAAGGGTTGTGCGCTTCTGACAGAATACTTCCTTGTCATTTGTCAGCTCTTCCGGGACTAGAGACCAACCGCGACGTGGCTGCCAAGTGTTGAGGCGGGCCGGCAAGCCACTAGAACGGCAACACGTTCACGGATGGCCGACATCATCCGATGCCTGTGCGACTCGGACCACGGGTGCTGTGGCGCTCACGGAGAGGACCGTTGACAACGTCACTCGGATCGGGTCTGCTAAAATGATCTTTGAGCGGGTGAAGGAAGATCTCGGAGAGTGCCTACACGATAACGTGCTCAAGAACACTGACGCGGTCACGTACGCGCTCCGAATCCGATACTCGCGATGACACTCATGACCGTGTCGCGCTCACATCCGACGTAGCTCAATCCGGCCTGGATCCCATGCTCTACTTTAGTCCGGGCGTAGAGCATATAATAAAGGCGACCTAGGCTTCCCCTCACTATCTCACCCACCCATCCAAGACCACTCCACCGCCCACTATCCATCATGAAGGTTCTCGCCATTCTTTATCACGGCTTCGAGGCAGCTCAGCAGGAGCCGCGCCTCCTCGGCACTGTCGAGAATAAGCTCGGCCTCGTCGAGTACCTGCAGCAGAATGGTCACGAGTTCATCGTACGTCCGCTCAGATGCTTGTGTTCCTGTGTATATACTGACAGTGGGATCGGGTAGGTCTCTGACAGCAAAGAAGGCCCTGACAGCGACTTCCAGAAGCACATTGTCGATGCGGAGGTTAGATTACATTCGTAGTCGAAGAGATCGCAAGGATACTGACTATGACGGTGCAGGTCCTCATCACAACGCCCTTCCATCCTGTACGCATCCACCTATTCATTCCTGCATGCGCGGTGACAGCTGACGTTCTGTGCCTTCGCAGGGTTATCTTACCGCCGATCTTATCGAAAAGGTTCATCATCTTTGTCGCTAACTCCGCATATACCCCTAACCCATCCATCAGGCTCAGAATCTGAAGCTCTGCATCACCGCTGGTGTTGGTAGCGACCACATTGACCTCAACGCGGCCGTCAAGAAGGGCATCCAGGTGCTCGAGGTGTCCGGCTCAAACGTCGTATCCGTTGCCGAGCATGTCATCATGTCCATCTTGCTCCTGGTCCGCAACTTTGTACCCGCACACGAGATGATCGAGCGCGGTGACTGGGCTGTTTCCGACGTCGCTCGTGCTGCATTTGATGTAAGCCCTGCCTTGAACTCTATATGACGGTGCCACTGACTGTGGTCTCAGCTCGAGGGCAAAGTCGTCGGTACGATTGGCGCCGGCCGTATTGGCTACCGTGTGCTTCAGCGCCTCTTGCCGTTCAACTGCAAGGAGCTCCTCTACTATGACTACGCAGCCCTCCCGGAAGAGGCTGCCGCGACCGTTGGCGCGCGCCGTGTCGAGAACCTCGAGGAGTTTGTCTCCCAGTGCGACGTTGTCACAGTGGTGAGTACTCTTCGGTTGCTTCTCCCTTCACCTTCGAGCTCACACATCGAATCAGAACTGCCCTCTTCACGAAGGCGAGCCTTAGCGACATCTTGACTCGACCTGAGATGCTAATCGGAGCGTAGGTACCCGCGGCTTGGTCAACGAGAGCCTGCTCAAGCACTTCAAGAAGGGTGCTTGGCTCGTGAACACAGCACGTGGTGCCATCTGCGACAAGGATGCTGTCGCTGCGGCACTCAAGAGCGGTCACCTCTCTGGCTACGCCGGTGATGTGTGGAACGTCCAGCCCGCACCGAAGGACCATCCCTGGCGCACGATGCACAACCCCCTCGGCGGCGGTAACGGCATGGTCCCCCACTACTCCGGTCAGTGCATACGCGCTATCTCATCCTACATATGACTTATATGGACTGTAGGGACGACGATCGACGCTCAGGCCCGCTACGCTGCCGGCACGAAGTCCATCCTGCAGAACTACTTGGATGGCAAGCCTCAAGACCCCGCCAACATTATCGTCGGCAAGTCTGGCTACGAGACGAAGGCTTACGGCCAACGTTGAATGCGCTCGCGAACGCCATTGTAACTTTTATCACATTTGTATCGGGGTGTTGTACGACTAGCATAGCGATTCACAACTCGAATATTACCTGACACCTCACATCGTGAAGGATCTTCATTCGACTTGGCTCATTCCTCTCATAATGATGCCATAGATGTGTTAGGAGTGCATTGTACAAGACTCATAGCGGCGATAGCAGATATTAGCAGGTATAAACAACTGACAGCAAGGTGCGAATATAAGGCACGAAAGCAAGGACAACAACGATATACGACTCGACTAGCTCAATAACCCCGTGCGCGTCGCAACGACTCATGCATGCATTCCTCGAGCTTGACGGCGGACTTGACATATATCGAGTCCTCGGGGTTGTAGAACTTGCAGTTGTCGAAGATGAGCTGGCAATCATTCAGGAACTCGTCGAGCGTGGTGTACTCGCCCTTCTCAAGCTTCGTCGCCATCGTCGCGAGGTCTGCAATGAGGGTGAGATCGATCAGCTGAGTCTACGTTTGTTCACGTACCCATTGGTGTGTCGATAACGTTGTAGTAATCCGGCACTTCTTCCCTGCTGACGGGTTGCTTGAACGGCCAAGCAGAAGAATGCATTTGCATGTCAGAGAGAACGCGATTCATGATGTTGCGATCAGTCGGCGAGATGGCCGCAGGCGCAGCGCTAAAAGTACAGTCAGCGTTTGTGTGAGATAAACGCAGCGAAACCTGACTAACGGTGCAATCATGTCAGGTGTCCAGCCACTCTCGCGCAGACCAGGAACATCCTTAGGATCGACCGTTACGCCATCAGGTTGACCAGGTTGGAACTGGGGCAAGCCGGGGTATATGACGTGGCTCTTGCTCATCTGGCGAATCTTCGCGAGTATGGCTTCGCGCTGTGCGGCGACAGTCGAAGCGACGTCCAAGTAGTCGACTTTATCGAGAAGAGTGCATTGCATGATCGTGCCGCCTTCGTAATCCTTGATATATCCGGCCCAGACAGAGCGGTCGAGGGTAATATCCTTCGTGAAGCCCTGTTTTCGGAAGTAGCCCACAGCAAAGTTGTCTGCGTAAGTGAGGAAGTGCTTCATGTCCGGATACACGCGGCGAATGTGCATCTTAAAGTGGTTCATCAGCATTGCGCCATAGCCCTGTATGACTCCGGGTGAGCAACGAGTTCGGGATGAGTTCACAACAACAAACCTTTTCTTGATCGTTGGAAGACGTGGCGAAGAAGACGATCTCGGCGAATCCGCGATGAGGAAAAGGGCGAAAGCAGATACCACCGACGACCTTGTATCCGCGTTTGATGATGGCGAGACTTTTACTCGTATGGTCAAATACCAGGCGCGCAATGTATTCGCGAGGCATGACGGGAAGCTGCTTTTGGAACAAACACTTGAGGTTGACCAAAAGAATGCGTGATAGTGGTTCGCCGTCGTTTTCAACGGGTATAATCCTGATCACATCCGTGCGGAGCTCGCGCATAGATGGTTTCTCACGTTTCTCGGTAGGCTGGGGGTATATATTAGTACAAGGCCTCGTGTGAATTGCAGCTGTGCGCGTACCGCCATAGATTCCGCACTACCCGTGTCGACGGTTACACCTCCGGCCAGACGATCCAGCTGTTTATCGCTCATCTGCTCCTCCATCGTGGTCTTCGGTCGCCCATCCACAGGAGTTATCTCGCCGTTCATGATGGCTTGAACTTCGCCGGTTGGTGGTGGAACCACGGCAGGACCGGTATGACCGGTATGACCCAGATGACCCTTCGCCTTCATGCTCATACCGGACGTCTTCCCACCTCCTCGGCGTGGCGTACTCTTCTGTGCACGAGCTGCGAGCGCTAACGGCTTATCCTCATCCCCAGAATCGTCATCCCCATCCGCGTCGGCGTCCGCATCGGCGTCTGCATCGGCGTCTGCATCGGCGTCCGCATCTGCATCTTCGTCGAAAGCGATACGCCTGCGCTTCGCGAGAGGCTGAGAATCTTCCGAACCGCCGAATGACGAGGTTGAGTGCTGAGAATCTCGCTTCGCGTGACCTGGAAAGACAGAGAATTGAGTGAACATCAGGAAGGTAGTGGTGGTCGAAAGAAAGGGGCACTAAGCAACGTGGCTGTACTGGTCAAGCACACGCGGCGCATTCGCGTGGCGACAATGTATGGACTTACCAGGTGAAGCCGGAACTGGATCGGTTAGCGGACTAGTTGCAGCAGCAGGAGCTGGCAGCATCTCGTGCCGAAGGGCAGTAATCTCGTGATCCGTGTACTCGAAGTCAAGCAGCTTGTTCTTGTTCTGACGAAACAAAACAAAGTTCATTCAGATGATGGGAATTTCCCGCTCGAAAGGCATATAGGCGCTCACCTGGGATTGGCTACGTCAGAACGAGTTTCATGAAATGTGCCCATCACAGTCCACACACCTCGAGCAGCGCATCAAGGCGCGCAGCTATGAGCGCTCGGCGCTGAAGTTCGGCTCTGTCCACCTCCGCGAGCGCTCCGTGCTCTCTCGAAGAATGACCACAGGCGCATGTAGCCAGATAATCCAGTCCCGAGTCGTCTTCGTCGTCATCATCTGACCCGTAGCCAGCAAGATCGGTCAGCGAGTTCTCAGACTTGAGGCTCGCGACGTCGCGGACGAGGTCTACAGAGGGCGGCGGGTGTAGGCCAGAACAATCAGAGCACTCAGAACAAGCCGAATGACGCGCTATCTTGAGTGCGACCTGGTCCTCGGAGAGTTCATCTAGGACGCTGGATACCGGGTAGCGCGCCTTCATATCGAGTCCGTCGAAGTCGAATGCAACGAGGGCGAAGACGATATGAGCGAAGAGGTACCTTCGGACCCGCGCGCCGGCCCGGTGACCCCGGTCCCCCGTTAACCGAAATATTGTGGCGCGCAGCGTGGTGCGAACTTCTTGTCTCCCACTGCCAGGCGACCGGAGCAATTACCAGCCCTGCGTTACCCCCCACCATATACCCTGTCTATGCTGTGAAATATTCTCGTCTGAATGCTGCTTTACTGTGTTGTGCTCGCCTGGCTGGGCGTGACAGCCCATGCCGATAATTCTTCTTGGATTTCATACCCTTCAGATGGTGTCGCGACAATGACCCATTATACCCTCCCGACCGACTACATTACTTCATGCGGGTGTACGACAGAAAGCACCCACTACCCCACAGCAGCCATGAACCAGATGGCATATGGCTCGAGCACATCCTACGGTCCTGCCTGCGGCCGATGCTTCAACCTAACGCTGCTTAACACTTTCTTGTCTGACCCTCCGTTCTATCCTTCGGAAACCAAGAGTGTTGTGGTAAAAGTGACAGATCTTTGTCCATTGAGCACGACAGGCTGGTGCAATGCAACTAGTGTGGGGCCAAACGCGTGCGTACTCATTACATGAGGCGAGAGCCAGAGCCTAACAATAATCCAGCGCCGGCAACTACTTGAATTTCGACCTCGCGTGGCCATCTTCCTCGATACCGGACGACTTCTTCCCGTCAAATGAGTCTTTCTACGGCTATAAAGTCGGTATGCTCCTTATGCGCGCTATGCACAGCACTGACTTCAATACAGGACTTCGGCGTCTGGAACATCAGCTATCAGAGTGTTGACTGTCTAGACGATTGGGCAGGGGGAAAGAACGCCGCTGCACTCGGAAGCGTCCCTGCGCTCGAAGATGGCGCATGTTGTCCGAACAATCCCACCGTGCGTCTATACACCATTCCTACGTGCCAATTTCTCACGCTCCGCAGGGCAATGCAAACGATACATGCCCTTCATACTCAGACGCCAATGGCATACCGTGCGTTGCATATGCTTAGGCCTTGTGCGTATCCACTCACGTCTCGCAGCCCGGACACCGCATCGACAGGCACGTTGTCTACCGGCTCCACCGGTCTTCATGCTGGTGGGAAGGCAGGTATCGCTATTGGAGTTATCGCAGCTGTTGCTTTCAGTGCCGTTGCCGCGTACTTGATACGCAATCGGACTCTTGCTAGGCGAGCCAAATTGAAGATTGGCAAGAACTGATATCTACATCCTCTGTCGACGCGATACGTCACTTATATGCCAGACATCTCTCCGGGCTTCATGGAATACACTTGTAATAGCTATAGTCGAAGTCCGATTGCACGATGACGGGGAGGTAGAAACATCGCAACCCGGAGTGCGATGATACATACAGATTCTGTCGTACGTCGTACCTTGTGGTAAGCATGGCGGCGTCTGGTAGTTGTCCTTTGGATTGGTGTACAAATGACAGTTGTATTGGACACCCTCTCTCGCTGCTTCGCATGACCCCTTCCTATAGACATATCGGGTGACGTTCGAGGTGATAATTAGGACGAAATCTATATGGCGACCGGGAGAAGGTCGTTGCACAAGCTGCGACGAAATCCAATGTGCAATTATGACCTTCGTCCGTATGGTTTGGAACATGAAACAAGCATCATATAGGATGAGCGGCAAGGATGTCGACATCAGGGCCAAGACGATAATCGTTCCTTGGCCGTGTGAACTTGCCACGCGTACGGTGACCGGATCCCGCTCAGTCTGATCTGCCTCGTTTCGAACGCGCATGAGCCTGCATGGGCGCTGGATGTACCTCGTCCTCCTAGGCTAGCAATCACAGTATGCGTTCTGCCTGATGCGCGAGGACCACCAACTATGAGTTCACTCCTACTCGAGTGCCTACGTACCTTTCGAATCTCGCAATTCATGCCATTCACGGCGCGCGTACGAAGACCGCATTCCGGCGATTTCCCGACTGTACAAGTTTGCTAGCGATCGCCACGCTGGACTTTGCCAACCATCATACATCAGCGGACTGCATCTTCGGCTTTGAGTGGAGGAACATTATCGCCGTCAGTGATGACCTCGTTAGCTACTTGGCAGCACCGTCCACACCTCGTCCAGTGAATGGTACAGCATTATTTACAACACTGGCGGATCCGCGGAGGATTCGATGGTATGCTCCCTTCTATTTGAGTCGTGATACACACAATCTGGTTCAAGTAGGACCCATCGACCGAACGAAGGGCTGCGCAGCTATATTGATGCCAGACAGTGATAGTGTCGATTCGAGTACAACGCCGGTGATTAAGGTGGCTGCTCAATTCGCTTCGAAGAGTACCATCATCTCGTGCGGGCTGATCATTAAGACCGGCCGTCTTGCGAACTCCACGAGTATGAAGCGGATATCGGGCGGAAGGTCATATATATGCGGACGGCTTGAGGCACTAGTAGGTCCGGTTCTCTCTTGCCTTTTCCCCTTCCTTTCCCTCACGTTGGTTTGCAATGCCAGCCTCGACGACCGCGACGTCTTCCACGGACACGGTGTCTCAGAAACCGGGACTTGAGGCTGCCATCCATACAAGCGATAATCGAGGCTCGCGCAGAGATTGGATGTTCTGGTGCATCATCTTCTCTCTAGCCATCCCAACGCTATTGACGGCCGTGGAACTTGTACGTCTTCGATTCGTCCTCAGTAACTGGATACCCTCGATTGCTAACATGCCGACACAAGACAGCCATTGGGACTGCTCTTCCAGTCATTGTCAGCGATCTGAAGGGCACACAATTTGTCTGGGTCGGTTCTGCATATACTCTGGGCGCCACCGCACTTCTTCCCTTCTGTGGCGGTTTGGCACAGGTATGGATATCTTGTTCTCGCTGTCCTCGGGGCTGTGACTGAAAGCTTCGCAGATCTTTGGCCGTCGCTATGTCATGTTGGGCGCACTCCTTCTCTTTTCGGCCGGCAGCGCTGTGTCCGGTGCGGCCACCTCAATGAACATGCTCATAGCGGGTCGGAGTGAGTCCTCCGGTCTCAGGGTTTGCGTTTGCGATCGTTTGCTAACTTCTCTAAGCTATACAAGGCCTAGGGGGCGGAGCTATTACCGCCCTCGTCCAGATCATCTTAGCTGATCTTGTACCATTGCTTGAAAGAGGGACATTCAATGGCATCATGGCTTTGTACGCTATCTCTAGTGAGGTATCGCAGTCATATCACTTACAAACACGCATAGGGCTTGGGCAATGGGCGGAGGAACAGGTCCGGTCATTGGAGGCGCACTTGCTCAGGCAGGCCAATGGAGGTGGCTCTTTTGTACGCCCGATTCGTCTCGCTGTTCCATGCCGAGACTCACGACTTATTTTAGATCTGAATATTCCTATCTGCGGCGTCGCAGCTGTTTTGATTGCATATTGCCTACGCCTACGTGTTCCGAAGGCTCCTCTCGGAGAAAAGTTACAGACTATTGATTGGATGTGCGTGACTTCTATCCTTCACCTGAGTCTATCTGACTGTTATGTCAAATTCAGAGGGAATGCCCTCATCGTGGCATCGGCGACATCCGTCGTTATCGGCCTTTCGTGGGGTGGCGTTCAGTACAGTTGGAGCTCTGCGCGCGTGCTGGCTCCTCTAATCCTTGGCCTAATTGGTTTCATTATGTTTGGCGTGTATGAGGCGTACTTCGCATCTCATCCCATTGTGAGTATCGGTCATGACACATCTCGTAGCTCTCACTGATCGCAGTCGTGTAGGTTCCAACATTCTTGGTGAAAGATTGCACGGCGCTCAGTGGATACGTGCAGAACTTCATCATGGGCATTTTGATTGCAGGGCTGTCTTGTCAGTTTCACGTTCGCTCATTTGCTTCATTCCACACTCACATATTTTTACAGACTGGCTGCCTGTCTACTTTCAAGGATGCAAGGATGCCGGTCCCATCGCTTCGGGCGTTGACAGTTTCGGCTTGTCGTTCAGCATCAGCCCTACGTGCATCATCACTGGCATAACAGTGCAGAAGTCTGGCAAATACCGACCACAGATGTGGTTTGCGTGGTGCATAATGATTCTCGGCACCGGTCTCCTCAGTTATCTCGACGCAGATGGCAGTCGTGGGCAGTCGTTTGGGTTCCAGATACTTGCCGGCGTCGGTCTCGGCATCATCTACGTCGCCGCTTACTTCCCCGTCTTGGCTCCGATCCCAGTCACGAAAAGCACACCGGCACTCGCTTTCCACACCTTCTTGCGTAACTTCGCTCAGGTAAGCACCTGTTACATGAGCAGGAACTCCCTTACTGGCACTGATGCTTGATACAAGGTATGGGGCGTCACCATCGGCGGCGCCGTTTTGCAAAACGAACTCCACAAGAGACTGCCCTCCGCTTTCCTCTCCCAGTTCCCGCAAGGTTCGGAAGTGGCGTTCGCCATCATCCCGACTATCCCTGTCCTTGAGCAACCTCTCAAAGACGAAGTTCGGAATGCCTTCGCTGGATCCACCCAAGTCGTCTGGCAAGTTCTCGCTGGTATCGGAGGCATCGGCTTGATCGCGGGCCTATTCATGAAGCAGTTGCCCCTGCACACCTCCGTTGACGCTCATTGGGGAAGAGAAGATGCCAGTAGTACTTCTGTGGATCTGGAGAAGGACACACCCAAGCAGGCAAGCCCGTGACTGGTAAGGTTTGCTTGGGGAGCTCTGATACCAGTTCCCCACCTTCACCACTGTTGTACATTGCTATCGTTGCCCCGTGGATCACCATAACTAGGACATACATCTATTTATCGGTTCTTCACAGTCCTTACTTATCCATTTCTCACGCCGTATATACATGAAGTTCTGTTCAAATCGCGCTTGATACTGTACAAATGCGGCTGCCAGTGACGAGCCGGTTGCTCCCACGCCACAATCCCGTCCGGGCCGAGTGGCCGAGACGCGTCGCGCTGCGCGTCCGGATGAAGGAACGCGCTCTCCCCATCCCATCATGTCTTCAACTGCCTCTTCGAGTGCCCCTTGCGAAGTCTGTGCGCACCCGGCAAGCATGCAATGTAGCGGATGTAAAAAGTCACGCTACTGCAGTCCAGAGCACCAGACACGGGTACGTTGACCCATCGACGACCGTCCTTTCATTTCCTCACGCGTTCGCAACCTGTACCAGGCATGGAAGAAGCACAAGGATCTGTGCAAGCTCTACAAAGCTGCTGCCCGACCAGATGGCTCGATGCCACCGCGTGTCATGTACTGTGGACTATGTGGCAAGAGCGACGGGCCACTCACCAAAACGGAGTGTTGCGGCGAGACTATATGCGACGACTATGACAAGTATGTCATGTTCACGTACAGCCGCGATAGCTGCAGAAGGAACCACGACCGCTATACACTCTGCATGCTCCATAAGAACGAAGGCCACAAGAGTAGCGATTGGAAGACGTGCATCCAGTGCCGGTACGGGATTGATGATATAGAGAAGTACGCCCCGTGTCACATGGCACAGAGACTCTTCCGTTGCTTATACAGCGCACTTGCTAGCTATGTCTGGTTTGGAACAAACCAGTTCAACTTTGAGACGCTGCCCCACCCGCCCGCGTTCCCGCACAAATTCTGCGACACGTGCCACAAACCTGTCAAGCAGAATACCATGGACTACTCCCGCAGTCGTAACGGCGGTGTGACATGCGGACCCTGTGTGGACGGTGCGAGCTGGAAGGGGCTACCCCCAGGCGTCAGACCCCGGCAGGTATTCAGAATGGGAGGCGGGGGCGCGTTCCCCAACAAACCGGTCTAACGGACTTCTGTTACTTCTTGAACCCTGTCATCGAAGAGCTGGAACGCGTAGCGATTGATAGTCTGAATGCATGTACAACATGGACGTCCTTTTACAACTCGGCACGCGCGGTTCCCTTCTTGGGTGCTTCAAGATTCAGTTCGAGAGGTAACATCGCTATGGTATCGTGGTTCATGGCACAATGATCTCCGTCGGGCCTCGCAGCCCAAGCCTGCTCCACGCGGGATGCGCGTATCCCAATCCTATCACTGACCGCCGTGCTCAATACGTTGGCTATCTGTGCGCAGAGATGGAAGGAATGAGTCGAACGCGTCTACAAACTTGGCCAATCTGTGACGATCCAGCCCCTGAAAGTGGGTCACGAACTTGATCCTCGCCCACGAGTCAGATCCAGTCTTGCCTCTGGAGGCATGCAGTTCAAGGATGAACGACATCGTACAGATATGGGGTTCGTCTTTCGACGTGACGTGTACTTCGCCCTGTCTCCAGATCTTCCGCTGCATACCACGATCGTGGTGCAGCAACATGCTATCTGGGTCGGTGATCCAAGTGAAGAGTTTAGCAAACTCATTTGTCAAGAAGGACCTGTCGTTGTCTAAGACGATGAGAGATATATGTGGTGGTGGCGTGACGAAGCTGAGGCAAGGCAGGATGTACGAGAGTGCGCGCGCAGAGTCTACGAACGCGAGTTCGTGTAGTTCTGCGCCGGGCTCGACGCCCACTTCGATCACTTCACCTGGGAACAGTCTGGGGTACTTGTTCCACTGAGGGCTGAAGTGCTCTGGGTCATACAGGCCAAACCCGAGCACCACCAGGCGCATCAAATGTTTGGGAATACGTCGCAAGCAGCTATTCAGCAGTGCATAGTTGGCCGGGGCGTCACGGCCAGTATCTCCGCCTGTCATCGGATTACAGCCGAAGACCCAACCAACGATGCCATGGCCCTCATGACTGCGATACAAACTCTTACCGGGAGTGTCGGAAAGAGATCCCATTGGCATCTCTGAAACGAGATGTCGCAGTGTATGGCCGTAGATTCTGTTGATGTGCTCGAGGAATCGCGTTACCCCTGGGCAAGGTCAATTGGTCAGGCCCTTACCCGGATGTGAAGGAAGAGCACACGTACTGTCGTTGTATCGAGATATCCGGTGGTATTCCGCGTTCGCCTCTTGGTTGATGTTGAGGGTGGGTGGATTAAGCAAGGCGAACCATAGATCTTTATAGGCCTCATAGAGGCATGCCTGCATGTGTGCAGATCGCCATCGACTCCAGAGCCTTTGCTCTTGTGGTGATGGCATTGGAACAGGATCGAGAGCTGGCACAGTGGTAGACATGGCTGAGAATAGTGGGGAAGATCACAATGAGGATACGAGGGCAACAAGAGAGTGGCAGAAAGTTGGCGTAGGGATGGCGAACCCGCGTTCTTATGACGGTATATCCTAGCGCTCGTGCCATCGTAGCCACCCTGCAACAAGGGCGGGTCAAGCAGCCTTCGAGCGAAGCAAGCAACTGTAGTATAGCCACGTTCGCACAAACGAACGGGCACCTACAGGTCAAAACAGCACGCACAGAAGCTGCGATACTTGGACCAACACTCTGACTGTGTCCTTCACGACGAATCACAAAAGCATAATGTCCGAGGAAAACAATCGGCCGCCGCAAGGGTCGGCCAATCCAATAACAAACGACCAGCACCTACACATATACAACGAACACAGCTTCGTCCCACCCTCCTCTCTCAACGCCGGTCGTGCGTCCACACCCGCCGCACGCGGTAGTCCGTCACTCATCGAGTTGAGCCCGGTTGCGTCTGCGTGTATATCGCGCAACTCTAGGCTGAACAGGATTCGCGAAGGGCCCGCTCGTCGCCTGATAGTGCTCCAGCGACGGCAGCAAGCGCGGTCCTGATACGCATAACCGCGCGTTCCTCGTCCTCTCCATCACCTTCCCTCCCCACGCACAACCCTAACCCTAACATCATCAGTGCGTCGTCCAATCGACGACGCACGTCCGGGCGCCCAGCCCCGACCCTATCCCTATCCCTCGCCCATAAACCAACCATGCCCAAAGCAAAAGAATGAGACATGACATGACCACAACACCTCTCCCTACCCCTCCTCCCCTTCCAAGCAGATCTGCGCCCGAACGCGGTAAACAGCCCAGCCGCCTCCGCGCCCCTCCGGCGCCGCCCCGCCCTTTATCATATGTATAGCGGGGGACAGTATAAACGGCAGCTCGTATGTTTTCGCGAGTCTTCGCGAGTGAGGGGCAGATTACTCCGGCGGCGCGTCTTTCGCGAGCGATTCTTGGCGGTCTTTCTCGCGCTGCTCGATCTTCCACGCCACGGCGCGCCCCGTCCATCCCACCATGTCAACGTCGCGCGAAACTTCGTCTTCCAGGAAAGGATGTTCCTGTAAATGGGATGAGGTCAGTCAGGCGCTTGAAAGAGACCAACAGTCGAAGGGGAGCAAGGACGCTGTCAAGCGGAGCGTGTCGTGCACGCAAGCGCCCGCGATCATACATCTCCCCGATCGGTGCATGATCGAAATGAGATCACGTACCAGCAGCTCAGCGTAACTCGCCCGCCCCTCCGGCTGCTTGACGAGGCAGCGGGCAACCCAGTCCTGCGCAGTTGCGCTGTACGAGTCTGGTAATATCGGCGGGTCGCCATGTACGATTGCCTTCCGAGTCTGTCAGATGCGAGCGCCACAGCGGGAGAAGCACAGATGACGCACTTGTAATTGTGCGAACACGTTGCTGTAGGTTTCAGGTGGGTATGGGTAGGCGCCGAGCGCGATCTCGATTGTTGCGAGTCCGACGGACCAGACGTCCGACGACACAGTGTATGTCGAGATGGCGTTCTGAGACTCGCCCTTGATACGTTCGGGCTGTATGAGGATAACATCATGAGGTTCAGCGGTCAATCGACGTGGAAAAGGCACGCACGGCCATGTAAGACTGGCAGCCGATGTTCGTCTTTGCCAAAGACTTTTCAAGCTGACCGGAGACGCCGAAATCGCAGAGCTTGACCTGGCCCTTCAGGTTGATGAGCACATTTGTAGGCTTGATGTCTGGGGGTTTCGTCAGCGATGCCGGACAAAGGAAGACATGGTGGTCGCACCTCGATGGATGATCTGTAATTCGTCCTTCAGAAACTTCAACCCCCGCACCATGCTCCCCACGATCCTAGCGAGCACATCCTCTGGCACGCCGACGCCATACAGCTTGTCCACGCTCCCGGCGTCCATGTACTCCATGCAGTAGTACACGCAACTCTCGATGAAGAACGCGCCGTAGAACTCGACTATGGATGGGTGCACGGCTCGATGTAGAACGTCGAGCTCCATAAGAATTGCGTTTAGTTTGCTTTCCTCGAGCTCGAGCCTGATCTCCTTCATGGCCATTGCGACTTTCGTCGGCTTGTGCAGGACGCGCTGAACGGTGCCGTACGCGCCCTTCCCGAGCTCGTCCTCGAGTTGTAATTGGTCCATGTTGATGCTGAACGAAGCGCCATTGGAAAAGTCGACGCCGGACGCGTGTAGTACGGCCTTGCCGTTGAAGTTGAGCGCGCCTGAGGGATCGCTGCGGTACCGAAGAGGGGTATGTCAGCGAACGACGATCAAGGACATCAAGACGCTAGGATAGTCAAAAAGCGAACTTGTGACGTCGCGATCTCCAATCGTGATATGGGGGTGAATGTGTGCGTGGGCGGCGGGGAAGGAGGGTTGCTGCGAACGGGGCACGCAACAGGGTATGACGTAGGGGTACATCGCGCGCGCGCCTCGCGATGCGATAGCTCGAAAGGCAAATCTGAGCTGCGCGCAATGGCGCGCGGTTGGCAGCCTCATCGCCACCCCGGCGCCCGAGCAGCTCGCGTAGATAGCAGCAATTGGATATCCACATCTAACTGCCCGCCTCTGACCGGAAATGCGGAGGATCCGTGCGCCGGCTGACATAGCCACAGCACGGAAGCGCAGAACCGAATTAGAACGCGGACGGGGGAAAGATCCAAGAATGTAATACGAGAAAGAAAGGGAGCACGCACACAATCTTCCGGAAGTTCGCAAACGGAGTGCCGGTGACCACTGGCTTGCGCGGCTGCCACTCGCGGTTCAGGCTGGGCGCGCCGGCACCGAGACCCGCGTTGGCGGCGCTGGAGTTGTCCTCGCCGGTGATGTCGCTCAGCTTGAAGCCGGGCTTGTTGCGCTTGAGGCCGCCCATACCTGGTCGACCGGACGGCATCCGGGGCACGGCCGGTGCGCTCGCGGGGCCGCGGTCGCCGAGCTGCATGCGGCCGAGGGCGGCGGCGGTCGCATCGGGGTTGGCCGAGGGTGGCTGCTGGGCGCGGTTCGCCATCTGGTGGCTGTCAGCGGCGATCGATGGGGCAGGGGAGAACGTGACCGACCGCGGCCATCTTTGCCTGGAGGGAGGGCGGGATGGGCGTCGCGCCGCCGCGCTGACCGCCGCGATTCTGGAGGAGGGATCCCACATTGCGGTTCGATGGTGCGCCGGGCGCGGAGCGTGCGGGCAGCGGGGATGGCCTGGATTCGGCCATAGGTACTCGAGAATGTCGGGTTGACAGTAAGAGGATTAAAGCAAAGTCGGGCACATCTCCTTGCGTCATATCCCGGCCCCGTCCCTCGCGGCGGCACTTGCCGAGAACCTATATTTCCTCTCCTTCCTTCTCGAACTTTACAATTATGCGCTTCCAATTATACGTACGAACGCGTTGCGCCGTCCAGACGAATAGATAAATATATGGTCATCCGCGTATACAATGCATCACACAGTCCGATCAATCTCTTACCATACACGTCCTTTGTCGTGTCTGTACACGTACTAAAGACCAAACTTGACCACCACGCCCATCATCACGCTGGCGGACCTCTGCTCGAAGCTCATCGCGGTCCTCCCGAATCCGCAGCTCTCTGCCTTCGCTGCCTCCGCCTGCGACCAGCTCGAGCACATCAACAACTCGCCCAACGCGCCCGCTCTATACGCCTCCGCGGCAGCTGCCGCTCTCGTCTCGCTCGTCATGTTCAACCGCGTAAAGGGCCTGTTCTCGGGTGGTCTTGACGACCCGACGGTCATCAACGTAAAGTGGAACCGCGAAAGGTACAGTGATTTACTCTGACAAGTATAATGGGTTGATCTAAAGGCGAAATACGCGCAGACTGGTCATTCCGCTCAAGAACGGTCTCCGCGTCCCGCTCTCAGAGCTCCGGGCAGCACTCGCAGAGCGCACATCACTGCCGCCGAATGCATTCAAGCTCATCCACAAGGGTGCAGTCCTAAAAGACGACTCTGCACTGTGTGCGTCCAATTGCATTAGGCTTCGACTTCAATCTTAGTTGACAATGTGTCCATGTAGTGAGCGCCTATAGCATCGCACCGGGCGCAACCCTCCAACTTCTCGAGATCAACGCCGCGCCCTCCGCTCCCGCGCCCAAGGCGCCCAAAACGGAAGAGTCGACGATCGCGCAGATTCGTGCAGAGCTCGCGCAAGTGCAATCGAACTTGCAACCCGGCGTGGAGGCGTTCATCGCCGCGCTCTCCCCCGATACACCAAACGCCACTTCATCTGCCGCCGCACCTCAGCCCATCGCGACCGTCACCTCTGCATCCGCACCTACTCCCGCGCCAGCAGAAAAGCCCGCGGTGTTGCAGGGCACGAATACGTTGACGGAACAGCATACGAAGCTGGGCGAGCTGTTGTTGCAAGCGTTGTTGAGGCTCGACGCGATCAACATTGAGAGTGGATGGCCGGATGCGAGAGCAGAGAGGAAGGGTGCTGTCAAGACTGTACAGGGTGTACTCGACCGCGTTGACGGCGCATGGAAAGACGCGAAAGCGAGGGGCGTGTCGTAGATGCATCTTGTAATGCTGGGCGTATGTATATGGAGGTCCTGATATCCTAGACGGGACCGGATAATCTTGAATAATCTCTGTGGTGCAATTAGCGCTTTGAGGTGCTGCGAGCAGAATCGGATCTTTGACCGCCATGCCCGCAAGTGTGGGTACATACGGATTATCAACGAGGGCTTGAAACCCGTAAAGCCCGATACTGGCGCCGAAGAAAGTACATATGCGACGGAATGTCGTGCTGTACACCCTTCACCTTCCGACGTACTATGGGATCATTGACATCAACCTTCGCCAGGCCAGGATATGAAAGCGTCGATAATCCCACCTCTAACTTGCAACAGCGCAACTTCAAGCAGGTTACCTCGCTTTCAGGTGCGTGGCGATTGCTCGACGACTGCTGCGGGAGGCTGAACTCGGTGCCACAGGGCAAGAGCTTGCGGATATCGTACGCCTGGCTTCCACCGCATTCGGGGATAAAGGCGAGCGCTTTCACGTGCATCACTATCGTCCGGTGGTTCTTGAACTCACCACGACGTTCAGATGATTCGATGTTAGCGCTCCTCGGGGGAGATATAGCCTTGAAGGATGAATTCCTGACAGCGATGGTCCGTGCTACCTTACTCGAAGGTGCAATTTACATCGTCGAGGTGGACTCCGAGCTTGTATCGGCCTCGCTCTGGTTTCGAAAGCCCGTCGGACTATTCAAATCGTGATTGCCTTCCACTCGCCTTGTGTCTACCGGACTTGACTGAAGCTCTCTGCTAGTGAAGCCCAGCGAGCACTGGGGTACGATGAATGGTTCAAGAAGCTACCCGAAGACCTCCAGAGCTGGTGGACCGTAGACGTCCGTCACATCCTCAACCGCCGCTTTCGTGTACTTACGCCATAAACGAGCAGTACTCAACCCAGATGAGGGACTACTCGAAAACGATCATCGATCAGGAGGTATATTGCCTTCGGTACCTAATCAGTCTACGGTATATTGTCGACTTACATGGTACAATCATTCCAGGAATGGGACAAGATTTGGTACTGCAATCTTATGGTCACCGACGTGGACCAACAGAACCAAGGGCACGCAACATTCATGATGGACCAAATGACCGCCCGAGTCCGCGAGGCTGGCGAGATGCTGGGCCTTTCCGCGGGCAGCGAGATCAACGTAAGCAGATGCATCTCCCTAATTAGATATCATATCTGACACGGGGATAGGTATCGAAGTACGAGTCTATGGGGTTCAGAGAGCGAGGGCGTATAGCGTTGCGCAGTCTGGTGAACGAGATTCCGTGTGTCTGGTTGACAAAGGAATGAAGCTTGTATTGTACTGTCGTAGTATCCTAGGATGCCATTTCAGTGGGATGCGTTAATAATAATCCTCGACTGAGGGAGTCCCGAAGACAGGATGTGGATAAGTACCAAGGCTTGACCGAGGCGCGTTTCCCGCATATCGGTTCCTCGGTCCGGACGCCAGGCGCGCACAGCGCTGTCGCGGCCGCCCTTGCGCTCAGACCACCACTATCAGGACATTATCCGAGCGATGATCTCGTCTCGGCCTTGCACTGATGTACGCTGCAAGACACGGGGGAGCTTTCCACTGTCTCAATGTCTCAATGCTTGGACATTCGGCTTGTTCTCAACACGCCGCAACGCCGCGCGACCGCCTCACTTTACAGCTTTGGCCTCGTCTCCATAGCGTCGTTGACATGTTTTGACCGTGTACTGTCTCACGCCTTGGCTCAAGTTGGCTTGCAGACGCAGACGTTGACCAGCGATTCTTGTTCAGAACGGATCAGAAACAATAGCTTAAGCTCAAAGCATCGACGAACCTTGGCGCATGTTTGTAGCATGCCAGGCAGCGTGTTCTGTCTTGTTCTTGCATGCTCACAAGAGACCACGCAGGCCACCGGCTGCTATAAAGCTCTGCATGCAGAGCATTCCCTCTTCGTATCTCTACACTACTTCACTACTTCACTCGAGCAGCAGGCTGCAAGACATAATACGATGAACTTCTCTCACGACCCTTCATCTTACTCTTACCATAGTGGGTCTCCATGCACAAGAGTCTTGTCCCATGCTCACGCCGAGCCAGATACTGCCCCTCAACCATCACACTCTCCATACATTGGGGGTACCTGTCTTGACCACAAAAGTTATGCGTATCAGCCGGACCCAAGAGCCCTATCACTCAACGCAGCCGAACGCAGCGCCATATTCAAAGCCGCATTCGCCCGACACCCCAATGGTCTGGACACGGAGGAAGAATATAGGCGTCTTGCAGTCAAGCTTAACATCACCGTACCGGGCGTGAAGACACGGTGCGCCCCATGTTCCAGAAGCTGGTTCCGTATCAAGTATAGCTGATCAACCTCCCTTCTCAAGCTTCCGCAAGGCCCAGAAACGGCTTCAACAAGGACAGTAGGTCGGGCTTGAAGCCTGAGGGGCTACGTATCGCTGCTGCGAGTGTGATGTTCGACATTGTAACTAGGGCTGTCGATACTGACATTGAGTCCCTCACAGTGTCAAGCACTCACTGTAATGGACCGGTTACGACCCTACACTATGTATCACAACCAGCCTAATTGTACGACATTGCCAATAATAAATGCAGCGCCGTTGTAGGGAGAGCCCTGTGCGTCTCTATCCGGTCAGCAGTAGTGCTTGCACTCTACAAGCAACCTCGGCTCGGTTGCTCTTCGTTCGAACCCTTCCAGCTCTTACATACCACAATCATAGTGTAGTCAGCACCTCGGGGTCTGGACGCACACGGCTGAGTGGGTACATACCGATGCCGAAAAGAACGCATCGACCAGAATTTCATCGCAGACATACATACATCTCATGAGCTTTGCGCTGTACGTCCGCAACCTCAATTTCAAACCGTCTGCGTGCATGAGTTAACTTACGATATGGAGCCTTGTGCCATCTCCGCCAAGCAGACAGCATACGCAACGTCTCGTGGGTCTACGGCCCAGATCTACGCATCACGACCGCCTCGAATATAGCACGGACTTGAACATGGTCTGAGTGGGCATCAGGGTCAGGTACTGACACTGCGCGTCGGCTAAAGCTTGTGTGAGCAGTTGTGGCGAAAGACACTGTTCCGAGCGACAGTGGCTAGATGAACCGCGAAGCAGGACACTCTGTTCTATTCTGCAAGCTTGCAAAGCTGTAGTTATCTCGAAGCCCATGTAGAAGTTGGGCCTTCAGGCTGTAGCGGAGTAGGACCGCATGTCTTGCAGAGAGAGCATCACAGAGAACACGCCGTCCTGATGGTAACGATGCATCGGCCCTGTTGAAGCTCCGGCAAAGATAGCCGGCGGGCGAGTACCCGTTCAGGGAGGCGAAGGGCGTTTCATGCTCCCGAAGACAGCCAGCGGTGTAGAGCGGGTAGCTATGTATAACATACAGAAAAGGCATATCTCAATGACGGTGGGAGGCAGCGGAAGGAGAGCGGCGTTGTGGCTGAGGCCGAGGTGCATCGCCGGAGTTTGCCGCACGTCGACGGTTGCTCTCGACCACGATGAACATGACAGATGGTGACTTCTGTTTGCTAGGAACATGTTGCGACGGGCACGTTCTGTCCCTATACAAGGTGATAGCACCGTCAAATCCGGATGCGTGCTCTATACATCGGTGCCTTACGCTCGCCGTAAGACCGCAGGTACAAAAGGATGAGGTGAACAGGATACGACTGTTCCCAAGACTCGTTGTTCTTTCCTCTCCCTTCTCGCTCCCGGTTTCCTGACGTCCTCTCTCTCAGCGCCCTAACTGCGCGTCCTTTCATTCTCTGGTTCTTCTGTCTGTCTGCTCAGGATGCTCACTTCCGTCTCTCTTTTGGCCCTGCTCGCGGGCTCGGCCCAAGCTTTCTGGCGCTTGCCATGCAATAAGCCCGTCGTGAACGGCCTGTACGTCGCTTTCAGTGACAGTATCGCTCGTATGCGCTGACTGCAGTCAAGGATTGACCCTATCGTTTCTCCCGGAAAGGCGAACAGTCATTCTCACACCATCATGGGCGCCAACGGTACGCAAAGATCGACATCTTTGTTGGTCCGCATGCTCATTCAATGGTCTTATCAGGTATCAACCTGGACTCGACCTACGACGAACTGGTCGCTTCGGACTGCACTACTTGCAAGGTTTCCGCGGACAAGTCTGCTTACTGGATTCCTGGATTGTACTATAAGTACCCGAACGGGTCCTTCCAGTCCGTCGACCATGGCGGCATGCTTGTGTACGTATGCGTCTTATACATGTTGGCGCACTGTCCTGACATCATGTTGGATAGTTACTATCTCCAGCGTGGCGGTTCCAATGAGACCATCAAGGCGTTCCCTCCCGGCCTCCGCATGCTTACCGGCGACCCTTTCGCTCGCAACAACACCGGTAGCATCGAATCTCAGGCCATCAGCTGGAACTGGCATGTGCTTCTGATATGTGAATGTCTGAAACTATATTCTGACTGTCGGATAGCATTGACTATAACCAGAACTACCCCGAGACTCCTGGTTTCGACCAGTTGATCTGCCCCAATGGTCTTCGCGCTCAAGTGTGAGTCAAGATCAATATGGACCGCATGAGCTTGTATTGAGGATATCCAGGTTCTTCCCTTCGTGCTGGGATGGAACCAATCTCGACTCCGCCGACCACAAGTCGCACATGGCCTACCCTGACGGTATCAACAACGGTGTCTGCCCCTCGTCCCACCCGGTCCACTTGATCTCCATCTTTTACGAGATCTACTTCAGTGTCGACCCCTTCAACAAGCTCAACGACGGCGGTAGCTTCGTTCTTTCCACGGGTGACCCTACGGGTTACAGCCTCCACGGCGATTTCTACAACGGCTGGAACCAGGATATCCTTCAGCAAGCTGTCGATCAGTGCACCAACGACAGCGGCGTCCTTGAGGATTGCGGTGTTTTCACTGGCCAGAACCTCATCATTTCCGACGACACTGCCAACTCCTGCTCTGCAACGGACCCGATCGGCGTGAACGTCGATGGCGTGCTGCCCTACCTGCCGAACTGCGTGGCTATCCAGGATGGTCCCCAGGAGGCCACTCCAGGTGTCCTTACCCCGGGTTGCACGCCCGTCTCTGGCACTGGCAACACCACCCCGAAGTCGTCCTTCGCCGCTGTCTCCTCTGCGGTTGCGTCGACTTCCGTCGGTTCCCCGGCTACCACGAAGGTTTCCGTCTCCTCGACTTCGGTCATCGCTGCCCCCACAGTGTCGTCGACCTCCGTCAAGCCTGTAACGCCCAGTTCTTCGGCAGCATCAGTGCCAGTTGCATCGTCTTCCCCAGCCGCCCCTGCAGTGTCGTCGACGTCCGTCAAGCCTGTGGTGCCCAGTTCCTCAGCAGCATCGGTTCCAGTTGCATCATCTGCCCCTGCCGTCTCATCGTCGGTGAGCGCTGTTGTGCCGACTTCGGTCTTGGGCGGAAAGACCGGTGTCCTGGCCGCGACATCCGTCGCTCCCACCGCGACCACCGAGGCGTCTGTAGCGGCCTCTTCCGCCGTCGCACCGTCCGCCCTCCCCACCGGCAAGTCGTCGACATGCGCCGCCAAGGCCAGGCGCGGCAGTTCCAAGTTCGTCAGCAAGCCCAAGCCGAACGTGCACCACTATCGCCAGAACGCCAACCGTGCGCGGTCGTTCTAAGCGTCCCACCGTTTCCCCGGCGTCCCATGAACGCCTCGTCTGTCGTTTCTCTCTTCGATTTGGGTCATCAGGGTTCTCATATATCTGCCGCTCTTCCGTGGTATTCGTTTGGTTGAGAGTCGAGCCAGAGGTTCGACTCTCTTGGCTCGGTCCGCCTACTAGCTACGCGCACACCGAGCCCTCCGTCGGTGATGATGTTGCACGTCCTCACCCACGTCCGCTGTCGAGCAGCCTATTCTGTATATGTCGCTACCACATTGCATCCTTGCTCTGAAATATCAACTCAATTATTTTGTGCCACGCTTCGTGTGATGATAGGACAGATCCCGCGCACAAAAAATGCAATAGCCTTGAATCAGATGTGAAAGAGAGTAGCAGTATAAACTATCGTGGACGGTACAGCCAATCGTGATCATGAACCTGAACCTGAACATACAACACGTCGAATATGTACTACCACGCAGCCTCAGAATGCCGCATTCACCAACTTCTCGAGCGCGTCGGTGGACGCAACCTGGAACTCGCCCGCACCAGAGTCCATGAGCACACCGCCCTTCTTCGTCAAACGACCCTGCGCGCGCACGGCATTGCGCATCCTCTTCTCCGCCTCCGGATCATCATCTGAACCGTCGCCCTTAGCCACGTACGCCTTGCCTTTCGGCCTTGTAGCCTTGTGATTCGCGCTAGACTTGGCCTTCGCATTTGCGGACTTGAGATTACTGGGCGCCTCGCGGAGCGCAAATGCCTTTGCGAGATGTCCCAGATGCAGGTGGCGGATATGGAAGATGTGCTTCTCGTCCGAGGGATGCGTCGCGTAAGCGCGCATATGCGATGCGAAAGCCTGACGAGCGAGCGCCGCATTCTGGTACAGATATCAGCTTTGCACTATGGTGAACGATACCTCAACGACTAACCTCTTGTCGTAGAGCCCAGCGCTCAAACGTGAGTTGCACTTCGGTAGCACGCATCTCGTACTCCTTTCCTTTGCCTCCAAAACCACTCTGAAGCAAGTTCTCCGCCGACGCGCTTGAAAGACGGATGCTGCCGTCCTTCGCCATGCGCTCCTCCACCCATGGGACCCACGCATTCTCGCTTGGCGCGACGATGGCCCACGCCTCTCCGCCTTTGCCAGCACGCGCCGTACGACCCACACGATGGACGTACTCCGTCGCTCCGCCTTCCGTCGGAAGATCGTATTGGACGACGGCGCGAACAAGGGGCAGATCAAGACCGCGTGAGGCGACTGATGTACAGAGAAGAATGGAAGATGATGGGGAGCCGTCCTTGGGCGCTGCAGAGAAGGCACGTAGAGAGGCAAGGCGGGTCGCCAGCGGCAGGGAACCGTGCAGTCGGAATATTGAGGCGTCTGGCAATAGATCGGAGGTCACCGCGACCTTTTCGCCCTTCTTCGTGCTCTCCTCGTCCTTGTCCGAAGCCTCAGCATCAGAGTCTGAGACCTCATCGTCACTGTTGCTATCCATGACAGCACTTGCAAGCAAACGCCAGTGAAAGTCGACTGAGTCCGTACAACTCAAGAAGACGATGATCTTCGAACCGCGTTTGCTCTGTGCCTGAGCCAGCAGCGTACGCAACAGCGCAACGAGGGTGACGAGTCGAAGCTTGAGAGGTACGACGACGTATTTCTGCGAGAGCTGAGAAGGCGGGGTGAACTTATCCCCGGAGGCCTGTGCGGCAGCTTTGACTGCGTCGGTGGCGTTGGCGCCTACGGATTGTGGTACATCCGCTTCTGTGCCGCGTATCATCAACGGCGCCTGCAACGTGTGGCCAGCAAGGATCTGAACATCCTCGCGCATCGTTGCGGAACACAGTAACGTCCGCCTCCTCCGCTCCCAATCCCATCCTCCGACCTCGAGACTCTTTCCCTCATCCACAGCCTGCTTCGCCAACTTCCGTCGGCCATCTAGGCCCGATAGGATGCCCTTGATCGTCTCCTCAAATCCGAGCTCCATGAGCCTGTCCGCCTCGTCGAGGACGAGCCAGCGACATTTGCCCACGTTGAATGACGACGTGTTTTGTAGATGATCGAGGAGGCGACCGGGTGTCGAGACGAGGATCGGTACGCCTTTACGCAAGCGCGCCTTTTCGTGAGCCCGCGTCGCGCCACCGGTCAATACCCCGGACACGAGCCAGCGGGTCATCATGCGGCTTGAGCCCGACTCATCGTCCGGCAACTCGTCCTTCGGCCGTAAGCGTAGTTTGAGCAACTCCTCGACAACGTCGGAGATCTGCTTCGCCAGCTCTCGTGTAGGCGCGATGATAATCGCGAGCGTCCCAATTGATCGGTCGATGTACGAGTGTTCACTCAGGGGGAGGAGGTCGTTGATGATAGGGAGTAGATAGGACAGCGTCTTTCCTGAACCGGTTTGCGATTGGATGAACGCATCACGGAGAGATGCATTGTCCGCATCTGGGGGTGCAAGTAAAGCGGGTATGGTTGCGCATTGGATAGACGTAGGTTTCTCGATGCCCAATTTGGATGACAGGTGCGAAGCCAGCAGAGGATCGAGTCCAAGACCAGCAAAGCTGGAAGAATCCGTCCTCGGAGCATTACTCGGCTTGGATGCCTTTATCGGCTCAGGCACAGACTCTTCTTTCTCAATCCTCGGGTTGTATGAGAAGAGGGATGAGATTATCTGTTTTGGGGCGGTGCGGGATGTAGAAGCCGCCGGAGCAGAAGCAGACGCGGTAGGTTGAGCAGAACCATCCGTACGCGGCCGTTTCTTCGGACGGGCTTCGGCTTCTCGGTCGTGGCCTGTAGACGCCGCAGAAGTAGATGTTGAGGGCGCATCGTGGCGGTATTTGCGCTTTTCGACGCGCTTCGCTTTTACCCTGCAAGTCTCGTACCCACCGTAAGAAAAAATGCGAGACGTCAATAGATTTCGCTACACACCTCTGAGTCCAGCTGCCGCCCTTCTTGGCACTGCCTTTCCTTGAGCTCCCGCCAGCATCAAAGTCCAAGTTCAGCACGAGTCCGTCGTCCATAGTGGTGAGCGTAGGTTGCAAACGAGCGCGGCCTGCCGCACCAAGGCAGCACCAAGGCAGAGCAAAAATCGCGATCACGTGTGATTCCGGGATACGCGTCGTAAAGCGAAGAATTCAGTATCGCCCCGGTAGTCGGCTTTGCGCGTGCACATACGTGTCATCAAACGTTATACGTGAGATCAGTACCTTCGGGCTCTCCGATATGTAAAGAAGTACATCACATGGCAAGTCATCTACAGCAGTACATTGTGTGTGTTGTTCGAAACCGTCAACCGCTCTTGTTACAACATGTATCGGAATCCACGCTTCTCAGCAGGCACGCCACGAGCATCTTCTTCCAAGTCCAGCCTTGCATTCAGCTTCCTTAGGTGTGCTCGGTAGAAGGCGAGCATAATGATTGTCAGGGCTTGACACGATATGCAGATCGCGTATGAGTTGAGGTAGGACAGGCCCCAGCTCGAGGGCCAGACATATCTGAACACGTATCAGAACAATGAAGGCAGAGCGTCATAAGGTTAGACTTACGATCCAGCTACGTTTCCAAGTTGAGCGAATGCATTCGTGAAAGCGAGGGCCACAGCGCGCTTTGAAGGCGGCCGCGCAAACGAGTTGCTGATCCAGGCGTAGAAGATGACATAGCCGGCATAGGATTGCGCCATAAGGAATCTGTGCCGATGTCAGAATGCGATAGAGCACATCCTATGAGTGCACTTACAGCGAGACATATCGGGCCGCCGTATTCAACGTGGCCATCGCGATGACGAACCCGACGATGCCGAGCGATAACGATGCGGCGATGTGCCAGAAGCGCTCGCCGGCTTTGTCTGAATGCCTGAGGTGTATTGATCAGGGCGCGTGTACGAAAGACCGAGTACGAGACATACCACGACAAGAGGTACGTCTCGATAGCAGACCAAATGAACGGCGGGGCGCAGAGCACCAGGGTGATAGTCGTGTTGAATCCCAGCGTTGCGGTCAACGTCGGGAAGAACGCGTTGAAGGAGAGCGATATGACGTTACTGCAAAGTGCAACGGCAAGCCACCACACTTTCCAGTCCGTCATTGCGAGCTTCAACCCATAGAAGACGCTGCCGCTCTCGGTCTCTTGTTCATCGCCGATGCCTGCAAAGTCGCTAGCCATGCGGACCTCGGCTAGTCGGCGCTCTTGTGGGCTTAGCCACGCAGTGTTGTTCGGGAAGTCGGGGAGGATGAATAGGGCCAGGATAGCAAAGAACATCGTGAGAGCGCCCTCTAAGCAGATGGTTAGCCTTGCGTGGTCAGCTGCTCGTAGGGCGCGACTGCTAACCGATGTAGAATAACCATCTGGCAATGAAACAGTGGTTAGATGGGGTTAAGCTAAGTAGAGTATATTCGCATCGTACCTCCAAGCGGCATGACCCAATGCTCCATCCATACCACTGAGCTAGGGGTTTTACTCAGCCACTGGCCACCAACATTTTTGATAGGGGCGTACAATGCCGCTCGCGAGTAACGAGCCAAACGCGTTAGAGATGATGTTTCCGCAGTACAGAATCGATATGCGTGACCCAAGCTCCGACTTGGTGTACCATTTGCTGAGCAGGAAGAGCGCGCCGGGGAAGAATGCAGCCTCGACGAATCCCAGGAAGAAACGCGTCAACAGAGCGCTCACGAAACTGACGAGTATTGGTCAGCGACGGCACTCTGAGGTCTGAATGAGCTCCACTGACTTGGTGGTGATTCCAGTGAGAGTAGATATCATCCCCCAGATGATCATGCACGTAGGTAGGTAGATCCTCGGTCTGCCGATATAGTTCAAGAACATGTTCCTAGGAAAGATCAGTCCCTGACAGAGCGATACAAGCCCAATCTCGACGTACGATGGGACTTGCATGAGGATGTATCCCACATAAAGAATGGACAGTAATGTCGGGAACTGCTGACCCGTAAGGTTGAGATCCTTCTCCAGGCCTTTTAACCTTGCGGCAGCAGCGTTGTTTCTGTCAACCTGGAGAGAAGGCGTTGAGCAAACATAATATGGTCTGAACAAGCTCAAGAGCGCATACATAGTTCAAGATGTATATCACGATCATCTGTATGATTGGCCTCGATGAATGCGCTGGCATGCATGGTAGACAAAGCACATACAATGGACATCCGAAGATCCAGCTTCAAAAGCAACCTGCGCTCCAACTTGCGTCTCGCATCGGTCCCACCGAACTCCTCGTCAACCAGATGCACATCGACTTGACCGGCCACGATGCCGCCCTTCCCCACCGCCGCCTTCTCTTCTGTGGTGAGGGACGACTTCTCGGGATCATGTTCGGCGATCGCAACAGACATCGCGGTGAAGGTTTGGAGAGCTGATCAGGCGCGGACGTTGGGGAGCGCACCAACAGTGGCAGACGACGCTACCCCTGAATACTTTATACAAGTGGCTCGAAAAGTGCTGGCTGAACTCATAGTCCGTCACGAGACGCCAACCAGGCCAAACATAGAAGGTATACGTGAAGGTCCTGTGAACAGAAGAGAGATGCGTATCATGGGGTGGCAAGAAACACCGAGCATTCTTCCAGTTCGAACCCTCGGATGAACGAATGGGTTGTATGGCGGAGGATCTAAATCAACTGCACTTGACATGATCGTTGGGAGAGATCATGAGGAGCGTCGTCGCCGGGCCGACATGATGGACGCGCTCACGTGAGAAAGCGACAACGTACGCCAAGGGAAATTATCTGGTGGCTATGTTGAAGTGAGCAAACAAAACAGGAAGACCACGGAGTTTGAGGAATTGTCCCTCATTCTGCGCTATCGTCAGGACTCGCCGCGATCTTGCCGGAGTTCCTCGGTAAAGCGTCCATGCTCATTTACAGAATGTCGACTCGGTAAAGCACATCTATTCTACCCTCGTTTGCAGTTTGACTATTATCTCTCCTGGATTACTCCGTGGTGAATGAGCTTCCATGTCCATACTAAGAGAGAGAGGAGTCAGAATTCTGCCCATGTAAGATGCACAGCCGGTGCGCACCTCCGGAGCGTTTCCAGGACTAATGGTCGAAGCTTCGGTACATTGTCTTCAGAATGAAGTCCTCTTCCTGAAGGTAAAGCACAATCAGAAGTTGATATGCCTAATCGTAGAAGTATGGCCTACCAACGATGAAGATGAGCTTATCGAATCCTTGATCGCGTGCCGAAGTAGCGTATTTCGTGACATACTCGACAGCAGCGGCGCGGAATTGATGATGCAAGTCGATGCGCATTTCATTCCGTAGCCTCGCCCGTGCTCCAACGAGTTCCTGTTGCGTATTGCGGAGTGAGATGATAGCGCAATACGAATAAGACATGACCAACAGGATTATGAGCTGGACGAAAAGGGAATGAGCTCATGAACCGATGCATCACGGACCAACACACCGTTGAAAAAAAGCTTGCCAGCCTCCTCATTGAGCGTATCAGCCTGCCGACGAAACCATTTACCTCGCGCCATTTCCGTTACTACACTGGCGGGAGGGGTACAACGGTCGCATTGGACGTTGCCAAGACTCTGCAGTGTTGCCACCAGGGAGATGATCTCGGACTCGAGAGTTGATATGGTAGTGTCGTTGCTTCGGACTTGAGCCCGCAATGCCTCTAACTACGTATCATTAGGCCCGGACACAAACATCAGCAAGCGTCAGCGCACCTGTGACTCTAGCGATACGATGATGGCGTCACTGTTTCTTGTGTCCATCGACAACGCCCTTAGCCGTCTCACGTCGGCATTGGTCCTCTCGAGCGCCACTGAGAGCCGCGCAGCTTGTGCCTCTGCAACTGATGTGGCATTTTCTTTGACTCGTGCTTGGTTCCTCAACGTCTCTAGCTGTATGCCGTTAGCGTCGCGAGACCTTCGTCATCTAAGAAGGCGGTTTACCTGTGCGTTAAGTGTAACCATAACGGACTCTCTGTTTCTCACGTCTGCGCGCAGCATCATCAATTCCTCACCCCTCTCTGCGGCTCTCAGTGCTACCGACAGGGAGTGAACCCTCGCTTTCAACGCAGAGATGCTGTCCTGCCCTACTCGGACCTGCGCCTGTAAGTCGAAGATCTGAGCAGCGTCATAGGATCGATCGGTCTCTGCGGTTGAGCCGTAGTGTTGCACAGGTGGCCTCGTGGGAGGTGCATAGCGGGGCAACTGAGGATCTTCGGGTGGGTCGGCGGAAGCCCGAGCAAGAATCCAGCCGAAAGCGGCAGCGCCAGTCACGATGAGACTCTGTCCGACCCAGCCCATGGTCGCTGAAGAGGTCGGGGAAGGCGCCACACGAGCGCATCATCCAACGAGCTTATATCTTGCCATCCAAGGCGCCTATGACCCCACGTCCGGCGCCTGCATCACCCATAGCCAGAAAAGGAAGCCGGAAGGCAGTCCCATGCCAGATGCAGTATGCCTTCTACGCCGCATCGACGAGCGCCTAAACGGACAGGCTGTTCGAAAGAGTCCCACCGGCGAACTGAGGCGCGCAAGGCAGACAAGAGGCTCCATATAGCCTGTGCATGTTATGGAATTGAGGCAAAGAAGGGCAAGGAGCGCTGGACGGTGCGGTCGTCGAGAGCAACGTCTGCCGTGGACCTCGAACTGGCGATCACATTTCATCGAACGCGGCCACGTGAGATTAAGCGCCCCGGCCCGACGTGGCGACGCGCGATGTAGGGCAGAAGCGCACGGAGTGACAGTTACCGGAAGTCTAGAGCTACGATGTATGACAGGACCAGACAGGATGGGCTGCACTCATATGTAACGGTTCCAGGCGGCTCCACAGCTGGATAACCGTGTTTGTCCGTCTAGCATTCAATAATGTACCTCAGGACGTTCTTCGCAAGGTGTGAATATATCATACACGAGATCACTCTCGGTCGTGCAGCAAGACAAGCGCACTTATGTAGATGTAATTCAGACAGTATCGCAGTCAACCGTTCTAGGCAAATAAGACAGGCTCTCCGGAGGGACTCATGATCCGCACCCGCTTCTTCTTCAGATGTACGACCACGACGCCCTCATTCGCTGGGTCAACGTCCGCTCTCAGCTCCCGACTGCGCATACCATAGTCAGTGGATATCATGACAATCCGCGTATAGCAACGCACTTGCGCATCTCCTCGAGGACGCGCGGTTTGATCTTCGCAGCATCCGGCGAAGAGTGTTTCCCGAGGCCGACGATGAACTTGATCGAGGCCTCCCCTCGCGCTTGTGCGGCATCGACTGCCATCCCAGCATACATCGCAGCTTCTGTCGCATACAAACCATGCAGATCAATCCATCCAGGCTGCGGGCTCTAAAGAGATGCAGTCTTAGTGCTGACCTCTTCAAGACCGTGAGTATTGGCATGATGCAGCTCACCTTATTGTTCGCTATACGTGTACTTATTAGTCTGAGTATTTCTCATTAGCAAACTTCTATCTCATACCTTCATATATAAGCTTGCTGGCCTTGGCATTAGCTTCCTCGGCTCGCTTCTTGCATTCACAGCCTGCCGCATACTCCTTCTCGGCTTCCGCCCGAAAGTCGCGCGCAGCCACAGGGATGCTGTTCGCCCAGACGTTCGGTGTTGCGAGAACTCGCGTGCTGCTTCGGGGCCGGAACACAGGTGCGTCAGGGCGAAGGGATGGCGGTGGAGAGGCTGGCGGTGTACTTGGTCCAACTGAAGGTGGCGGCGTGAGAGATGGCGCTTCTGTCGTCGCAAGCGACGGCTTCTCGACGGCAGGGACAACATCCTCGGGCGCAGGTTGTCGGGAACCAACGTTTACCTCGGAGACGAGCTTGAGCTTGCTAGGTGTGGCGTCTTGTTTGGCCGACAGAGGAGCAGATGACCGTATCTCAGCTGCATGACGGTCGTAGAAGTGTATATATAGTGCAAATGCCAACCCCGCGGTGAGCAGGGTCGGGTACGTAGGGAGATCAGGTAGTCGCGGCAAACCGAGGGGCATTGTGCTTCGATAAGCTCTGTTCATGCGTACGCAAAGCTATATACATGCTGGGCACTGGCTTCGCAAACCTAGGACGCGGGGAGTAGGATGCCCAACCCTAGAGCACGCGGAAAGAACGAGGCGCGTCGAATGAAAGAAGGCGGCGCCAGCTGAGCGGGCCCTTCCCGTGTTCGCGCCCGGATAGGCAGGTGGTCTGACAGGGGCAGGGACTCGCGATAAGACCCTACACAACGAGGCAGCGTGGGATATAATGGGTATGCTGAGGCCCGCCTGGTTTATCTCCCATCCAATGTGGAAGCCTTTAGTGCGAGCGCACTTTACGTCGACGATGAAGTAAGCAGCTGTAAGCTCGAGCTAACCTCCGTTCCGCGGAGGATGAGTATGGCTAGTGCCGAGTATGACTGTGATTATGTGCATCCGAGGGCACCGTCAGGCTTCAAGCGCACGACGAGAACACCAGCGTTATCAGGGTGATAGGCGGCATCAAATCTGTAGTAGCTAACCAATAGTTAGCGGATGCATGGAAGTCAGCCAGGAGCAGTGACGAACTTGCTAATAAGATCCTCAATGGCCGACCTGATCGTCACCTGTGCGCTCGGAGAGCGCAAGCCTTTGCCTACGGACATCAAGAAGAAATTGGTCAGATCAGCATGGTGAGGCGGTAAGCCAGAGAAGCGCGCGTGCCTACGATGAACTGGATTTCAGAGTGTCCTTTTCTCTGTGCCTTGATGATAGCCCTCTCCGCGAACTTGACGGCTTCCTTGACATATAGACCGTGAAGGTCAATATCGCCTGATTGACTATTTCTATTGTTTTCTGTACAGTTATCAGTTCCGACAGATCTTCGCCACACAGTAAACTGATGTCTAGAAGAGCATACACCTACCACGGAAGATCCACAGGCTAGCCTCGCGGTTCAAGCGCTCCATTTCAGCCTTATGGGTATTGCCTTCTTCAGATAGTTCTTTAGCGCGTGCCCCTTGGCCAGACCGGTACGCTACTTGGCTCGCATTGAATGCACGCGCCATCGCGTCACCTTCCCGTTGTGCCCGGTCGCGAAGACCGATGAAATGTGGGTTCAGTTGGTTCGCCTGATTGACGTCATATTGGCTAACGGGAGATTGGTTCGACAGTTGACGATGTGCGCTCAGCGAAGCGTACGGCTTGACCGTCCAAAGCCCGCTGTGTTGGACGTTGAGGACGCTGCCGAGCCGAAACATGTTTGTCGTCTCGTCGACTGGACTTGACCTGGCGTTTCCGAGGTGGCCGCCGCTGTTGACCACTTTCGCCCACGCAGTAGCTTCCGATCAAGCACAGGAAGGCAACAGCGGTGAGCGCGGCGACCAGGAAATCCATGGTGAAGGAAAGAGACAGGGGCTGTTCAATTTCGGGATGACCGGAGTGATGGAAGCTTACGCGATGTAGTGATGTCCCACGCTTGCATTCTCGCCCGAACGGCCACTGGAATTTGATGTTATAGCAGAGTGAGGGTATACATGCAGAATACATGGCCTATCGTCCAGAGTTAAGTGAGTCATACAATAATGCAACCGTCGTCTCGCGAATCCAGCTTGCGGGAAATGTCGCCTGCGCCCAGGACGGGCGCCCCGCGCTTGCGTGCACGGTCAACGGCACCACCGCGCTTCAGTTGTACGATGAGTACTCCGGCGTTATCGGGATCCAGGGCGGCAGTAAGTTTGTACCTACACAGCGCCGTGATCAGCATATGCAGGTATGCAACCAACGCCTGAGGTGGACTACGCACTTGCGCATGAGCTCCTCAATCGCCGGCTTGATCTTTGCTTGTCCGTCGAACGAGTGATTTCCCTTACCTGTAAGCGCTGAGTGAGTATACGTCCACAAACAAAACAATAGGTGCACACCAACGATGAGCCTCAGTTCCGATTCGCCTCTACGCTGCGCATCCTCAATGCCCTTGTCGGAGAACTCGATAGCTTCCTTGACGAACAGTCCATGTAGGTCGATTTCCCCCGGCAAACAGGTTTTGTTGTTCTCTACACCAGTTCATATCAGCGTGTGCACACAGTACAACGGTGAGAGTACACACCGCGGAAGATCCATTCGCTGGCCTCGCGGTTTAGACGTCCCATCTCAGCTTTATGCGCCTGACCCTCATTCGACAACTCCTTTGCCCGACCGCGTTCACCTGAGTCGTACGCAGCGCGGCTGTCTTGGAATGCACGCGCCATGGCGTCGCCTTCTTGTCGCGCACGATCGCGTAGACTTGTATAGTGCGGGTCTGCTTGGTTGAGTTGGTTCTGGCGTTCCTGGTTCGGCGGTCGGTTCAGTATGTAGTCTTGAGCGCAGGTTGGAAGTAGTCATACTGTTTGACCTTCCAAAGAACGCCGTGGAGGACCCGAAGGTCGTCTTGGTGGTTGAGGGCGTTGCTGAGCTGGAGGATCCTGCTTGTACTCCGGTCGCCGCACATCCACAGGGGGACGCTGCTGCTGTCGGTGTGATCGTGGCTCGCGGTGGTCATCGCCACCAGTGAAAAGGGTTAGGATAAGACAGAGGACGAGAGAAACGAGTATGACATCGACAATAGATGGCATGGTGGAAGTAAGAGATGGGTTGGGTCGTTCAACGATCTCCGCATCGTTATGAACGTCTAGGCACGCTGCATGGCTGTGGCCCATGCGGGTAACAAGAGGCGCCGTCAACGAGAATGAGGAGCGCAACGAGGTACGCACGAGTGTTCGCGCACATCAAGCGAGGGGTGCACCATAATGAGAAACACGTTGTGTTCCTTGTGCACCTTTGAAAGAAGCAAAGCAGAAAAGCAGAAAAGCAGAAGCAATTGAAGATTACAGCTGTAGTCCATGTATACACTGTCCTATAGTTCGAATGTGGGCACGTAGCGCTTCACATGATGATACATCCGTCGTCCCGCGAATCGAGCTTGCGAGAAAGGTCGTCGGCACCAAGGACGGGAGCACCGCGATCGCGTGCACGGTCGACTGCGCCGCCTTGTCTGAGCTGAACAATGAGTACGCCGGCGTTATCCGGGTCCAGTGCAGCGACAAGGTTATGTCTGCGTGGGGGCGATCAGTGGACGGTGACAGGAGGTGAAAGAGAAGCTACGAACTTGCGCATAAGGTCCTCGATTGCCGGCTTGATCTTGGCATGACCACCCTGCGAGTGAATGCCCTTGCCTGGACGCAAGGCTCGCGTTAGAGAAGTACTGGAGAAGGACGTCGACAACTCACCGACGATGAGTTGGATCTCCGAGTCGCCCCTCCTCTGCGCCTCAATGATTGCCTGGTCCGTATACTCGATGGCCTCCTTGACGAACAGCCCGTGGAGATCTATCTCGCCAGGTTGACTGTCGGTATTGTTCTCTGCAAATCGAGTGATGTCAGTATGAATATTGCCGAGCAAGAGTACGCGCAAGACGCACCCCTGAAGATCCACTCGCTCGCCTCCTTGTTCAACCGTTCCATTTCCGCCTGATGCGCATGCCCCTCGTTCGAAAGCTCCTTTGCGCGAGCCTTCTCACCGGATTGGTACGCGTCGTGGCTGGCATCGAATGCGCGGGCCATTGCGTCGCCTTCCTTTCGCGCGCGGTCGCGTAGGTCGGTATAGTGCGGGTTCGACTGGTTCACTTGGTTAGCGTCCTACAGAGGGGAGAAGTAAGCCTCGGTCCGTAAGGATGTACAGAGAGCACGTACGACATGACCATTCTGACGACGGGGAGGTTGTTGTTGTTGTTGATGAGTTTGCTGCTGTGGGATGTGGGGTTGTTGCTGCTGCTGATGAGGCTTATGGGGTTGCTGCTGCTGATGTTGCTGCTGTTGAGGCGGGTACTGTTGGTGTTGTTGTTGCTGGTGCTGGGCCTGCTGCGCGTATGTCGGCTTGCCCTCCTGTGGGTACTGCGGCTCCTGTTGCCGCTCGTTTGCCCCACAAACGAGCTTGGCAAGAGCGTTGAGGATGCTACCGAACAGGCCCATGATGGTGGAAAGGGGTGAAGGACGGCTTCATCACTCTCAACAACCGGAACGTCATGGTCGCTTTCCGGAATTTCTTCATGGCTGTGGCCCGTGCAGGCCCACGCGCGTCAGTGGCGCCTCCTCAATGCGCACACAGCGCATGCGCAGACACGCCTTCGCAGCGAGGCGGCCACATTCCTCGCCCCTTTCATTCGCATGCATACAGGGGTATCACTCGGATATAAAGAAGCAGGGTAGATTGAGGTCAACTACGAGGTAACAAGACGAAGGAGTGAATACATAGTGGCGATGCCACCGTCCGACGATGTGTAACCAGATCTGCGATGAAAGGCCAGCGCGTTTAACTAGGTGAAGGGGGGAATATTCGGAGCCCAGTAGACATCAAGACGGAAACACCGTGGGTAAAATGAACAGAATGAAGCGAACAGCACAGAAACTAGATCTCGAGACCAACAAGCACAAGTGCAGGGTCGGCCTTGAAGAATGGCTTGGTGACGACTGCGCCACCGGCATACATGAGCGCATGAAGAACGCTGCTGAGCGCTGGCGACGCCTTTTCGAGGGCGATGATGAGTGCCTGGCAATCGAAACACTCGTCCGCAAGATCGAGGAGGGCGACGATATTTTCGCGCAGGTTCACGAGTGCGGCGCCCTTGACGTCGACGTAGAGGGTGCGCGGCTGACCAGGGAGCGCCAGTACGACACCCTCGAGCGCCGTGGGCATCTCAGGTGACGAGATGGTCACGCGCTTGGCGTATGGAAGCGCGCGAGCGGCGTCGTTCGGGAAGAGCGTCGCGAGGATCTCGAGCGCATCGTTGTGCTTTTGCTGTGTGTTCGGCAATTGCTCGTGGAGACTGTCGTAGGACGAGTCGGGCGTGAGTGGCGGCGGGGTCGACGAGTCCGGAACGGGCTGTTGCTTAGTATTCTGAACATTGCGTGGGATCCCGATGGGAGCGACACGAGGTGTGGTGTTCTTATCGTTGAGTTTAACGGGGATGGAATGGGGGTAAATGCTGGCCGGCGCGGGTGAGCCGTAGCGGGTGGCAGGATACGACTCTGGCGCAGCAATGTAAGGCGCCGGACCGTCTCTCACACGGTCCGACGACCCTCTGTCAGGAGGGCATTTCACGTTGGGGGTGTCAAAACCGCCACTGTAACATGCGTTGCGGCGTGAGTAAACGTGCGTCGGAGCTTGCTATGAATGGAAAGACATACCCCGGGCCCGCCAGAGAACGTAGTAGAGTAATAGTAGATGTCACCCGCGCCCTGAACATTGCAGGTCGCGAGCACACTCGGGTTGGCGTCAGTAGCAAAAGCCCCATCTCCAACGGTTTGACGGCCGTTGCTACAGACAAATATCAGTACTGTATATTGCACTGGCTAGTCAAGAAGACAAGGAGACATACGCGGGGCAGAGACTAGATGACTGATTTATGGGTTTCATAAATGTTGAATTCGACATGGTGTGCCAACTTGTCCGGGGTAAGCGACGATGGGTGGAGATTTGCTATGAGACAGAGTCAGCCACCAAGGACTCTGATGAGGGTTGGACAAACGTCCTCGCCCACTTAAGGAAGCGGTCGATCGCACTTACCAAGGTGATGCGCAAGGGCGAGAGCGACTGTTGTCTGAGCTGCGTGCGGAGGGCGACGGAGTGGTCGAAGTCGCAAGTCAGGACAAGACGCCAGGGGTATCCACTTGCTTACATAACCTTCTCACACCAATCGGCACAGCCGCGGCCGTAACACGGAGTCGGACCTCGGCATAATTCTGTTGTCCGACCGCCATGTCCCTACCTGGTTCAGAGCCCGCCGGCTCCGGAACCGTACCAGAACCCAGCTCTGTTTCATCTAAACCAACAGTGAACTGTCTACCTGTGGAGATCCTATCAAGCATCTTCTGTCTCCTCTCAGCCTCTGCGGATCCGAACGAGAACGATCTTCACGCGCTCGCGCCTCCTTGGGGTTCAGTCTTGCACGTTTGCAAGTGGTGGAGACTCGTAGCTCTGGGGGCCAAAGATCTCTGGCGTAATATACCTCTCGGCCATTATGAATGGACCAACATGGCACTGAAGTCCTCCCATCCGCGTACCATCTCTGTCGAGCTACCCATTCTCAATCTTACGCGCGATACGCTCGACCAGTTTGTGTGGTTGTACGCATCTGCACTTATTGCCTTGGAATCTGCGGGATCTAGAGCCCATCGAATTCACCTGGTCCTACAATCCAGAGACGAATCCTCGCCGGAAGGTCATTTACTCAAATGTCTGCGCTCGTTGGATCTGAATGAGTTGGTTGATCTTCGTCTACAAGGACACACGGAAGCCATCTATGTACACCAATCGACTCTACGCTCGCCGCCCGGAAAACTGAGCCGCTTATGCCTTAAGAGCTGCATACTGTCTAGCTGCCCGAACGTTTTTCCGACTCAATTGACGAACCTGCAGTTGATTAACTGTGCGCTCATGTCGGACTTCCCCCTCGCCATGTTCATCGATACCATTAAGCTGCTTCAATCTCTCGTTGTACTCAAGGTTGAAGGCATGATATTGACGACGCCATCCGAGACGTCAGACGCTATACACCCCGACCGCATTCAAGTATATCTACCGCACCTCGATCACTTCAGGCTCAAGGGCGAGTTTGCCCTTCTACTGGCATATCTAGTCAACATCGACGTGCCCCCCACGTGTTCTCTGCAACTGATCACGCTCGTCGGAGACAACACGTCGACATCGTTACGCGACACTGTTCATCACCTGGTTCAGCTAGTGACCCCGCGAATCATCTCGGCGATGAGCGGCCCGGATGTGAGGATGGACATATCTCTCAGCCCGCCGCCCAAAGAGCGCTATCGTGGCAACCTGGGAGTTACCGTACGACGCTGCGAAGGGGACGTTGTTCGCCACGAACCCACTTGGTGCTTTCTCGAATGGGAGGCGAGCCCAGAACGCGCCACACTTCGCGAAGTGCTTGCTTTCATACCGAGCGATGTTGTCATTCGCATTATGAACGTCCTCGTAGATCTCAACGCGGACGAGTGGGTGACAATGCTCCCACTCCTTTCCAGAGTGCGGCGGATCGACTTCACGTCTTACGCACATGCGGCAAACTTCCTTCTCGCTCGCCACCACATCAATCAGCAGGAACTACGCCATCTCGAGAAGATCGTCATCACCGATACCAAGCCACTTCTCGACGAAAATTGCGATCCTTGGCCGGCTATGCTGGATCTTCTCAAGATCACGAAGGGTTGGACCGACTTCACGTTCAGCATACATGCCAGCAAGACCGAGCTCACAGTGGATGACCGAGCGTCGCTGAGTTCCTACGGCGAGATCATCGATCTGGCTCCGGGTAGATGGCATTGGTTTTGTCACGACATGCATGCAGCGGGGCCAGTCGAGTAGATGTGAGTTGATGATTCTGATCACGTTTACAAGCGCGCTAACCAAAGCTTGGTACAACAGGGCCTTCCGCTGTTCAATCTCATGGCAATGGTTCATCATACGAGTTTCTGAATGCATTCATCACATATCATACAATGAAACATGTTCATTCTGAAGTGGGATGGGTATGGGAAACTGGACATGCTGAAGGCCCGAGAAACTCGGCTGAACTCCATACATAGCCTGAGCGTGTCTGTTGTGAGACGAATCCGAATACTGAGCAGTCGAGCGGCGAGCCAAAGCTCTGGCCATCATGATATCTTCCGGAACCGTTCACGTTGCACAATTTGGCGCGTAAAGCAATAACGTCAATTCTTAAGAGCAAGGGAGTGGCACCCCGGTTTGAACTAGCTATTATGTAACGGCATATGAGTGGTTGGGTGGAGATCTGCACCTCTCGCAAGCGAGGGAGGCCATCCTCGCCCATTCCATCCGAGGGGTATATGGAGATCGCCAGAGATCCGGGGTAGTGCGCGCACCATCCCTGAGCTATACACACGCAGCACAGAACACCACAGAGTCGCTGGCCCAATATGAATAAATCTACAGGTCATGTGCGTCACCCTTGCCGGCAAAAGATAACTTGAAGTAGTAGAATCAGTGTACAACTATTCTTAACGGGAAAGTGGTTGATGGTCATTCAATGGACTGTCATATTCGTAGGGAGCGGTCAGCTGTCACTGAGTAGAAGAGTACTAATCGTCAATGAGGATTCCGTTCATGGTGGTTCTTGGGTGGTTCGGATTGCAGAGCCCTGAGAGCGGCACTGGCCCGGCTTTCGCGCCGAACCGCCGAACAGTCATTTCCTCGACTTATTTAAACTTGAACTTGAACCAACATGTCCACTGTCCAGACTCCCATGATGGATGGCTACTCGACCACAGTGCCTCTGAATGCCCTGCCTGAGGACCGTCGCTCCTCAGTCAGCGGCTTGCCCGTCGAGATTCTCTCTGCTATATTCTGTCACCTGGCGTCTTCCGCAGCGCCTACTCTGAAGGAACTTCACGCCCCCGCTCCCCCGTGGTGTCCCGTTCTCCACGTTTGTCGCTGGTGGAGGCGCATCGCTCTTGAAACGAAGGATCTCTGGAGGCTGATACCGCTTGGTAACGCCGAATGGACGAAGATGGCCTTGAGGTTGTCGCATCCGCGCAGCATATCCCTCATTGTCCCCGAAATCGAGCCTGTCGATGGATCGGAGACGACTCATGATTTTCTCCCCGTCGTCATGCTAGTACTCCCGGAACTTCACCGTGCTTACTGCATTCATCTTGGCTTCGATTGGACGGCCGTCTTCATGCCTCATGCCAACGACCGCAGTTTATTTGCAAGGCTCAAGAACGTGGATCCGGTTGAACTCGTCGACCTCCGCCTACAAGCAGACGACATTTACGCCCCAGTGCACAGTGCGGTCTTCAAGAGCGAACCCGCTCGCCTACGCTCTCTGAACATGGATTCCTACGTGCTTCACGAACATCCAGATGTATTCGCGAATACTTTGACGACGCTACGATTAGACGACTGCAGTCTGACACCGACTTACAATCTGACCGACTTGATCAGCAACATTGCTCTTATGCAGTCTTTAGAAGTGCTGGAGGTATCATACCTCAGTCCGGAAGTCCTGGAAACCCTCTCGTTTGGAGTAGAAGGCATTCGCCATCGCGTCCTTCTTCCGCATCTCAAGGACCTCACAATCCAGGGCCCATACCTCATTATCAACGCGTGTCTAACAGGTATCGAATCACCGCCTCACTGCTTCATGCGACTCAAGACACGTACTTATCGTGGCTATCATGAACCATCGTCCGCAGACTCGGTTCGGAGTCTGAGTCAATCACTAGGTCCTCGATTCGCTTCGAGCATGAGCGACTCCCGGATGCGCCTGAATGTTACGCTTGGTGATGCCATTTACGGTCGCGGAACTTTTGAGGTCAAGCTTCGCGGCGGCCAGGATCGCCGCATTCCAGGCACTCGATGTGCCTTTGAATGGGGCACGGATGCCATTGTAGACGATGAACACGTCGACCTAGCGCCATTGTCAAGCCTCGTCGCTATTCTTCCGAATGACATCGCGATCTCCTCGATTTCCATCGACGTGGAACTGACGGCCGACGATTGGCGGATGCTGCACCCGCTGCTCGCCAGAGTCCGGGTGTTGCGGTTCCGGTTTCCTCAAACTGTGAAGGATTTTCCGCTCGTTTGCCGCGGTTTGGATGACGCCGAGATGCCTCAGCTTGAGGAGATCGAGTTCAACTGCCTAAGGTTGCCGGGTGCGCAGACGGGGACATATTTCTCCCTCATGCGCGCGGTCATCCAGAACTGCCTCCCGCGGGGCGGATTCAAGATCATGATGCTTGTCGGTCGTGGATGGCCGACCCAAGAAGACCTAGAGACGATAGGATCCTACGGCGGAATTCCTGACGGAAAAGGGTCCGAACGACGCCGCTTGATGGGGTATGTCTGCTTTAGTGATTCATCGTGAAATAAGTGGGATGAGTGCTGATTGTTGCGTAGGACCTGGCTATCATATTAAGTCAAGTAATATGCGGAGCCAGAACTAGACGGAGTGACGGTTCCGAAGGCCTACGGAAACTCGCTTGGAGGGACCTTCGAGATTGGCTATTCTTGTGAAAGATGTAGACTACCCTAAGCTCGGTGTTTTCACCTTTGTAACAGTGCCGGAAAACCCAGGATTTCCTTGTCAGTCGTGACAACGCGTAGTCAGGTCTTGCCAGGCCTGATAAGAGATGGGGCCTGATAACATTCCACAAGGGGAGATCAGGCGTAGCGAGGCCTGGCAAGGCATTGCGAGCGTGATAAGGCATTGCGAGCGTTGCAAAGCGTAGCAGGGCATTGCGGGCATTGCAACGCTTGGTCAGGCTATCTAGAATACTACTGCTTATACACCTCGCACTTCAATTTTCTTTCTCAATAATCACGCAACAAGAGTATGGGCAAGATATAGAATACGGATCTAAGACATATGTATGTACATGGAGGACACAACGGAAGCAACGTAGTGTACCACAGATACCAGTACTAATACAAAAGCATACAAGCAAATGTACATACAAGGCACAGCGGCGTAAGTACAATACGAGCATGCAAAATAACCGAGGAAATCACGCTGCACTACAAGACCTCCTACTCCGACTCGATGGTTCAGGTACAAAGCAATCGTGTACCGGTAGTGCCGGCGCCAGCGCGCACGGGCTGAGATGAACGCTGAGCCCAGGAGCCGCACGATGTGCGAACTGCGAAGGGAGTGGGCGAATGGTGGTGCGGGCACCCGGTGGCTTCACGCGAGGGGGCGGTCGGTGCGGAAGGGGGAGGATGTTGCAGTAGGCACGAGGAGTAGCATCAGACGAAAGGGAGCGTCCTGTGGGAGGTTATTACGGCGGAGGGCCATGGTGGTGGAAGGCGAGGGCGACTTGGTGGTTGAAGCGAGCGCGCGCGTC